CCCCCCCCCCACTTTCCTCTACTTGGGTATTTTTGTGTGCTCTCTCAGGCACTGATGGTGTCTTTCAGTCTGCTGCCTTGTGCTTGTCAGTGTTGGAAACGCTTGATGTGTCATATGATTTCTCCCTGCATCGTCCTCTTCTCTCATTCCCAGAGTTGGTATTTAGACATGAAACCTACTCATCTGGTTTCTCTGTTTTTCATTCTTGCCCCTCTACTGAATCTTTGTTTTGGTTTTGGTTATCATGTATGAATTTCCACAAGCTAGCTTTCTTCCGTTTGCTGTGATTGGTATGGAACTCAGGGTCCCCAGCATATTCTAGGCAAAGTGCTAATAAACAGTATCAAATTGTCCTCAAAAACAAACTTGTTATGTGTAATATTTAGTGAGGAAAAGAAATAAAAGTTCTTTGATAAACTTTTTTTCTTTTAGCACAATGTAAAGCATGTACAGAATTGAAAAAGTTTGATTACCATATTGTGAAAATTGCATTTCTGAAACGTGAATTTTTTTGTATATTACTTGATTTTAGTTACTTTGGCCAGTGAAATATTTATTAACACATGTTATGTACCATGCTAAAGATACAGCTGGTATAGAAAAGTCTTAGTACCTATTTTCATGGAGAATGTTGTCTTTCAGGGCCACAGACTTTAGAAAATCAGTGAAAATGAAGTATGACATCAGTGCATAGCATCATGGGTCTGTGGGACATAGCCTTCTCTAGATATCAGGAATTCTTTAATACAATGATGGTTAGAGTAAATCTTGAAAGAGGAATCAAAGAAAGCAGTGATTGAGAGAAGTGGAAAGAAGCTTGATAAATTTGAGGACTGAACATGGTTTACCATAGTAGGAATATGATGAAACTGGCGAGTTTACAGGAGACTGTTACAATGAACTTCAAAATTTTCACTTTATTTTAAGGGTGTTGGGAAGACATGAAAGGATTTGAAACAGAAAATTGATACATATTTATATAAAGACCATTTATGCTGCAATTTAAAGAATTGATTGGATAGCTGTAAGCATTGGGCCGGGAATAAGAGAGGAGGTTATTGTAGTAAATTATCTGCTAGATTGAACAAAGATGGTGGTAGGGAGAAATAAACTGCTTTTGAGACAGACTGAGAAGTCTTGATTGTGGGAGAAAAGAGATTAGGTATTGTCAAGACTTCTTCCAGGTTCCTTCTTCCTTGGGTTGCTTTTGTCTTTTAATGGTGATGGGTGACACAGGGAAGGGAGGGCTCATCTTAGAATCTGTATGCATGGTTTTCAGTGATCAAGCAGCACCCAACTGTAGCTGTAGTTGGAGCTCTGAGGAGAGCTCTGGGTTAGAGAGAGCCTTGGGGTCTGTGACCTGGAGACATAATTAAAGGCTAGTGAGTGGTTTATAAAGTGCAAATTGGTTAATAATTGTCTTTTGAGCTTGCTCTCTGGGTCTAGTTTTATTTGCCCAGAGCATTGTGCAAACATTTCTACCACCACTTGGGGCCTCTTGGACTCCTTTCTCTACTTTTCCTGTCTTCTGGGGTACTTGACTAGAATGGCTTGGTGGCCTCTTTACTTTGTATTTCCCTTTAGCTAGGGATCATGTGTTTGATAAATTTTTCCAGTTTCATCCATAGATTTACTTCTTTTCCAGAAGGAGAACTTATGGATTGTGATGGAAAATCAGAATCTAGTCCTGAGCGAGAAGCTGTGGATGACGAAGCAAAGGGAGTAGAAGGAACAGATGGTGTCAAAAAGAGAAAAAGGAAGCCATACAGACCAGGTGAAGTTCTAATGTAATCAAAACTGGCCACTTTAAGAGGATACTGAATATCAGGATGAGGCATAGCATCTTAACCACTGTCTAAAACTTGTGTTTATAGATACAGAATTGACTTCTTGAGTGTGCTTTGTAGATGACAAATTCTTTAGGCTGAGTGTCTATGTAACAAATTATTATTATTGCCTTACTCTAAATTTAATTCTTTTAAAAAATGATTTACTGGATTGCTTTTTACTGACAGTTACTGTCTGGACCAGTTATGTGTTTCTGCTGATGAGTACATTTGTCTTACTTTTCAGCATTCACTTTCTAATATTTTTACTTTTTAAAAACTTATGTCAGCATTTATGCAGGAGTGCCAGTAAGCACAGTATGAGTGTGAACAAGAAAGGTTCTTATTCTTCCTAGTATTTATAGTCCCCTTAATATATAACAGACTGAGAACTTTCTTATTTTCTGTCTTTCTTAGGGGCAGAGGGGAAAACCGCCTTGCTTGTCAGATTTTATTTACCTTACTGAAAAAAAATTATGGGAATTCCACAATACAGAAATTGTAGGCCGTATTTTAACATCATTTATTAATGTCTGTTTATCAGTAAATGAGATATTAAATTGAATCAGTATAATCTTTATTCTTCTGATGGCTTATATTTTATTAAAATATAATGGACCACATCCATTATAAGGACTGGGGATCAGTTTCCTTCAGGTCATCGTCATGGTGTGCTCCGTTTTGTTCTAATCATTGGGCCTACAAGTGCTCTTAGTCAAGTCAGACGTTGCAGATTCTCTCTGAAACTTGGATGTTTCATTTTGTTTTCTTTTTGTGGTTCACGGGAAGTTGTCCCTTTAATTGAGGGGCCATGAGGGCACACAGTATATCGCCTGATGACTTTATCATTTCGCCAAAGCTGATAATGTTGACTGGGACAGCACTTCATTCCGACTTAGTTTGCATGCACTTAGGACATGTATATGAGGACATGCTGTACATTATCCATATTTTACCAGTGAGGGAACTGGGGCACTGAAAAATTAAATAAACTGCCCGAATTTAGTTATTGAATAGAATTATGTAGCCTGACTCCAGATTCTGAGCTTTTAACGACAGCATTCTGTGTATCGTGTCTGAAGGTCCTCTTGGTAAGGAAGAGCTAGACATGGTCCCCTGAAGCATTCTTCACTAGTGAGTGTGTCATGTAGTCTCATTATGATTATTATGTTTATCATGATTAGCCTCAGTGTACAGATACTGTGGGGTGTGAGCTCATCACACATGAGCACAATCCATGATTCAGGACCTGCTTGGCCTTGTCTGGAGGAGGACCTGCATACAATACAAGTCTTTCTCTACTCTAGCAGAGTTGGATTCTTGTTTGATTAGTGATAGCAATGGCTTTGACTTTCAGTTTTTACTTATTTCTATCCTTTTCTATTTTATTAAAAATGAGTTTGTTGATTTAGATTAGACCAGACTAAATTTTGGAAAATGCCTTAGTGTTAAACACAGACATTTCATACTACTTACTGTAGAACTATAGGGAGAAGTTGATTATTTATCTGCTTACCCAATTTCTTTTTTGGATAGGCATTGGTGGATTCATGGTACGGCAAAGAAGTCGAACTGGGCAAGGAAAAACCAAAAGATCCGTGATCAGAAAAGATTCCTCAGGCTCTATTTCTGAGCAGTTACCTAGCAGAGATGATGGTATGGTACTGATTTTGTTTGATATAACCCCCTAAGTCTTGGTATTTCTATTAGAACCATTTTAAATAATGCTACCATCATGATCTTATTGCCTTTTACTGATCAAAGGATTTGAGTGCCTGTAGATTTCAGACTTAGTATATAGTAGTCAAATTTGATAAGGAAATGGTTTAAATTCAATAAACTTTATTCCTTTGAGTAGTTTTTTTTTTAACCCTCTTTTTCTTTTGGTGCTGGGGATTAAACCCAGGGCTTTATGCTCGCTATGTATACATATTACCCTGAGCTACCAGACCCTTGTAAATTTTTTTAAAGCACCCCTCCCCATATTAAATATATTTCCTGTATTAAATATAAACTGCAGACACTGAGAATCAGTTGGCTAAACTGATCTGGTAACCTCAGCAGAGGCCTTCCTTTGCCTGCCTTATGTACTTTGCATAAAACTTGAAACTTGTAGGCTAGTTAATAGAAAATGATGGAGGTACCCCAACAACTCTTAACCAACTTGTATTTTATAAACCCATCTTTTCAGTGAACATTCTGTCATCCTTACTTAGCATTTCAGAGATAGCTAAATAATTGCTTAAGCCACAACTTTGTCAGTTAGGAGTACACTGCTGTTTTCTCACTCTGTGAAGTGGTTCTGATGCAGACATCATTATCTGCATGCTATGGTATGTATGACTGCATGTTTTGAAATGTTCAATGTATGATGCAAGAATACTGGAGGAGATTTCAGCATGTCCTCTAGGGCTTGGACCTCAGGTGAATTAATATACTGCCCATTTTCAGGAGGCTCTGTGATGGTTTTCAGTAAATTTCCAATACGACTTTACTTGGCTTTAATAAGCCCTGATTAAGGAAGCCGATGTGTTCATTAAAACTTCTTAGTTTTCCATGTCTTCTGTACTCCAGAAATTTCTTAAGATTCACATTTTTAGTTATATATTTTCAACTGTATCTAATAAAAACTTACAAATTGAGTTTTTTGATTTTTATATGCATTTTTTTCTGAATTGCCTTTTTGATATTTTAGTACTTGAGTTTCTTTTTAAAGCTTCTACTTTATGTGTCTTTTAATCCTTCATGTAATTATCTGTTTTAAAATATAAAATTTCTGAAGCCTTTACATGTCTGATTCTATTCTTTATATCTGTTGTCTCTATTAGTGTCTCATTTCATTGTAGAGATATATATATATATATATTTGCTTAATTACTTCCTGTAAACTTTGGGGCATTCTCTGAACTCTTTTAAGAAAATTGAGGGTGTGTTCTTCCAGACATTTGCCTTTGTTACTTGCGGGAACATGGGGTTACATTATTATTACTTCAGGGCCACTTTAAGCTACATGCTTAGTTTGAAGTATTTCTGTTCAATCACGTTTTATAAATTGAGGAGTTTTACACATTGGGGCTATATTGAGTTTGTGAACTATCAGGGAAGAGTTTTATTTTTTGCCTTTGGGCTGAGCACCAAATTCTGTGACACAATGACAAGTAGTTTTCTTTGCTGTTGGTGTTGGGGCGCTGGAGGTGGGTGGTGGTTTGGGTGGGCAGGCTATATTTCTTGTTTGATATGCCCTGTGTCAGCCAACTTTCTATTACTGTGACAAAATACCTGGAAAAATCAATCTAAAGGAGGACGGGATTTATTTTGGTTCAGAGTTTTGGAGATTTCAGCCCATGGTTAGCTGGTCCTGTTGATCTGAGTCCAGGATGAGGAGGCATATTGTGGCAGGGACATGTGGCAAAGGATGCTGCACACCTCCTGGCAGTGGGGAGAGAGAAAATCCAGAGGCTTCACTTCTCAGTGGTTCCACCACCTCCTGAGAACTCCAGGGCTGGTGATCAGGCTTTGTACACATGCATTTGAGAGACATGCAAGATCCAAATAGTTAGGCCCCATTAATGGAGTCTGTCACCATTCCACTTCTCTCAAGGCAACCACAGTTACACTTTTTACCTTGGAGAGCACCCTTAACCTTCATCTTCTAGTCTGCATTTCTGCTCTGAAAATTGGAGTTCTAGGTCACTGGATTTTAGCATTCAGAGTTTTACTTCTTTGCTTGCTTCTGTGGCTCCTTCTTTACCTTAACTTGTAATTGGTATACATGTTAAAAGGTCATTTCTGAAAGAAATGTTTGATATTTTCAGAAGAGTCAGTCTGTAGTCCAGCCACAGAATCGCCCATGTTGGCTTTCAGAAGAGATGCCCCACGTGCCCTGCCCTTAGCTGTGTCTGTCATTTGTGTGCTCATCTCTCTGCCCTGTGTGCTTCACTTGTTTCTCTGATATTTCACAGTCCAGTGTTTTTTCTGTGGCTATTTTCAGAATTTAAGAATGAATGTTCATTGCATGAACATATTCGTTATCTATGAGCATATTTATAGATAGTAATGTTTTCACAATGTAAACCCCATTTACAGTGAATTTCTGAACTTGGAATTGGTGAATTAAAGAATACACATTTTTAAAAAGATTTTTGTTGTCGGTTTCCATTATATTTTACAAAAAAATGTTATACCTACTCAGTTTCCTTTAGGGGAGTATATGAGAAGCTTTCCCCACATATTCATGAGCATTTCATTTTTTTTTTTTAAGTCTGTACCAAAATGTTGTATTAAAAAAACAAAAGTGCTTTGCCAGGAAATGGTGGTAATTAAACAAGAATAGGAAACATAATAGTACTAAATAGACATGAAATGGAATTTTTATGATGCTTAAAACTTACTAATAAACTTGCTTTGAGATCTTTTTGTGTCACAAAAGCTTGTTCATTTACGTGGAACTGTATATGTTGGTCAGCTGTAAAAGTTTCTTTCCTTGGGTTGAATTGTCTGAAATTTAAATGCACATAAGTGTGTTACTCTTATTTCAGGCTGGAGTGAGCAATTACCAGATGCCCTACTTGATGAATCTGTTTCTGTTGCTGAAAGCACTGAAAAAATAAAGAAGAGATACCGAAAAAGGAAAAATAAGCTTGAAGAAACATTCCCTGCCTACTTACAAGTAATATATTGCTTTACATTATATTATACAGCATTAGTTGAGGAAGTGTATTGAGCTTTTAAAAATAGACTTGTGGTTTTTGCTAGTGTTCTACTTTTTTTAATTTAATCATTACAAATGTCTTTCCAGGCCCCATAAGAATTAACATTTGCCCCCCACCCCGATCCCCCGCCCTTTTTTTTTTTTGCACCTTGGTACTTCACATAAATTTTTTTTTTTTTTCATCCCACCTGTTCACTTCTGAGCATTCTGTAAACCAAAATAAGTCACTTTGGAATGGGGAAATCTGTCTTTTAAACCATTCACACACTTGTATAATGTACCAAACCCAAGTCTTAATTGACATTTCCCTTTGCAAATGTACCCTGTGATAATTATGTTTATCCAACAAAAAAAAGTTTTTATCAGCAGACATCACAGCTTTAATAATTGTCTGCTGCTTTTAGAGGCCTAGTAAGCAAAGATTCAAAGCCAAAGAGTTTCAAAATTCATACTAGAAAGATCTCTCTCAACAAGAAGGAATTATATTTGGAAAGTATAGACTGTAATAAAGGAAATCTTTCTAGTTCATCTTGTAAACATTAAGTCACAGAAGAATTCAAGAAGTTGTGCATTATAGCCATCTACTCACCCTAGGGCTGGAATTAAACATCCAGCTCTATCACCAGTTAATTCTAGATTCCTGAGCTTGTCATTCATCCTTCTGGACTTCTATTTCTTCACACATAAAAAGTTAAACTAGAATAGACTGAGTGCCCACCTAAGTTCACTGTGTAAGACTGTCTATCTGATGTGTCCCTCCTGCAGAACAGTGGCCTATGTAGATACTTGTGTGAGTTGTATTCATTTGTTAACCTTGATTTTTTCCACGTAGCCATTATAACTTGGTTTTAAAATATACTTTCTTTCACTTACGATACAACTTGCTCAGTTTTCTTTTTTTAGTAACTAGACTACCAACATCCTAATGGCCATGTTCACATTAAAGAGTTCAGCTATTAAAATCAGAGTCCTGAGTTTAAATATCACTGTGCTACTACTTAATTCAGTTGATTTTGTTTACCACGTTTTTGCCCCAGTTTTCCCATCTGTAAAATCATGGAAATAGCAACCTCATAGAAATGGTCTGAGATCTTATAAGAATATGGATGTTGAGCACCTAACTCTTGCCTTACTTTTACATATCCTTAAGAAATGTTTTAGGTTCCCTCTTTCCCTTTATGTCCCCCCAATGCTTTGCATCTTTTTTTTTTTTTTTTCAAAAACGGGATTTTTATTGGTCAAGAAATAGACCCATTTTTCATTTGGCTCATCTTTACTTTACCTCTATTCTTTCTTTATGCTCTTCAGCATTTTTCCTGGTGATAAAATATTGCTAGAAAAGAAATGGACCATTTCCATCCAGTGTTCTACCATTGTGGATATTCATATTTTTTTCATATTTTATTCATTTCAAAAGTATGAAAATTTCAAATCAGGTGTACGTATTCATTACTCCACCAGACTTCACCCCCCAAATCCCTTTCAAAAGTTAGCATTGTTAACATTCTGCTGTATGTCCTTTTAGAACTTTTTTATAATTTATTTTTACTTTCTTATAATAGTCTCTGCATACTTTGCTGGATGCATCTTTCAGCTGTTCTCTGTGTAGTAATGTATTCTGGGGCTTTTCTTGATACCACTGTCTCTGCATACTTTTAAAAACTGTTATATAGTATGAGTACCTCTGATTTATTTAGTCATGTGCCTTCTGAAGGACATCAAGGTTGCTTTCCCTTTTGATATTATAAAAATGCTAAAGTGAATCCTTTTAAAAGTTAATGTGTATTTGGCAATAGTGTATCAAATGTTTATAGCTACTGCAAAATCATTCTGTACAAGGGGTCCTTTTTCCAACAGGCTACATAATACAAAATAGACAAAGGGTTGGGTTTAAGCATATGAAAAAGGGTCCTGAGTGCTTCCTTTTGGTCTTCTGTATTGATCTTTGAGAAGTTCTGGGGAGATCTGGAATTACCAGAAACCCAGCTGGAAGCACCAGCCACTAGATCAGGGGAAGTGTGTAGAGATGCAGAAGAGTTCATCTGGAGAAATAGAAAGCCAGAATAGCTGCAAGTGTTGCACACATGGTATGGTTAAAATGACTTCTAAAACCCTCTTTCAGATTTATAGTGTAAGTCTTCTGTGTGGCTATATGAATCAACATGAGGTTACTAAATCTACCTGAATGTGTGCATATTAAAACTGTAGATCAAAGTCTTATGCTATCCTTTGCAAGTAATCTGTAAATATTAATAATATTCATGAAGCTTTAGTGTTTCTTACAGTATGAATTAAGGTGCCTATAGTATTGTAAATCTGTCATCTTTTAAATTTAATTGCACCTTAATCTTCCAGAATTGAATTATTGACTTGTCATTGCTAGAAACACATTTGATATAATTTTGTGTTCATATTTGTATAATTTTATTTGTCTCAGCAAACCTACCAAAAAAAAATCTTAATATAAGGGAATTCTCCATTGAAAGAATTCACAGAATTCTTTGTTCTTTCTGTATTTCTCTATTTTATTTCTGTATTGTTAAAAACAAAGCTTTTCTATTATTTCTATTTCCTTGTCAAAAATGATGACAGAATAATGTTGTCTTTTTAGAATTTTACAACTAATCATTTTCTTATGTGCTTATCTTTGTCTAGGAAGCTTTCTTTGGAAAAGATCTTCTGGATACAAGTAGACAAAACAAGCTGAGTTTAGATAATCTAGCAGAAGATGCAGCTCAGCTTTCCTATAAAACAAACATGAACACAGGTTTCTTGGATCCTTCCTTAGATCCACTACTTAGTTCATCCTCAGCTCCATCAAAACCTGGAACTCAGGGTATGTAGAATAATTAACAAGTGTTTTCTTTATATCCTATGACATTTACTTTCTGTGTGATTACACTTCAGAAATGCTTTTATTTGGCCTCATGCATTTTAAGAATCAATTTTATTAATGTATAATTCACATTTAGGAAATGCAGGTATTTTAAGTGGACAGTTTTATAAGATTGGCAAGTTAATTTACCTCTGTAACTGTCTTTGAAATTCAGAGTTGTGAAGGAAAATGTTTGGTTTACACTTTGCTGAGGACAATGTAAACCGGTATAATTTGGGTATAGTTGGTGAGCTATAAGTACATTCTTCAATTTAAGTAAGGTATATTTGTTTTAATTACATAGTCCAAAGAAATTTGAAACAGAGGCAAACCAGAAAGAATGCTTCAGAGAGAAACTTGCGGATAGACCATGTTAATCCCGGAACATATATAGGGCACAATCATGGGTTTCCCACCTCTGACAGGGTGGAGCACGTATCTCTCTGTTGTGGGAATGAGATTCTCCCATGTCTTGTAGGATATTTAATAGCATCTCTGATCTAATGAGGTCATGACTGTCAAAAATGTCTCCAGATATTGCCTCACATAGGCAAAGCTGCCCCCTGTTTGCGAGCCGTTGTTCTAGGTACAGAAAATATGGCAACTATGAAGAATTGAAGAAAGTGGCAGAACTTGGTATGCTTCAAAAGTAAGATTAATGTCAACAATGCTCTTGGAGTTCATTTGAATATATGTGTTGGGATCATAGTGGGGTTTTTTTCCCCCCACTTAAATATTACCAATTATAAATTAATGTTTTTTTTCCTGACAAGCTTCTTTTGCCATTGATTGACATTTACTTTTCGTTAATTTTATAAATTCATTTTGAAAAACAATTTTAAGTCAACTTTCCACTAGAAAAAAAATGACTTGTTATTAAGTAGTTATAGTTTTGTTAACTTCGCATTGTTGTGTATTAAAATATAGCCAGTCCTCTGCAGCTGTTATTATCATCACAGAGGACCAATTTAAGGGACTTGAGCACCTGATCCCCTGCAAATACTGAGGGATCACCTGTATAGACTTTTGTGTTGTGTTTGACTTAAATTAGAAGTAGTCTTACCTCCTCTCGTGTGCATATTCATGTCTGGTCTTCCTCACCATGGACAACGAGTGGTGAACACACTGGACCAATGTCAATGTCCATGGTCTTTCTTTACCCTTAGCAGATATTAAAAAAAAAAAAAAAAACAATTTTACATTAATTCTGTTATTTCATCTTTATCAATATGTTGTTTAAATAATGTATAATAAACTGAAGGTGGGATTACACACATGTAATCCCAGCAACTTGAGAGATTGAGGCAGGAGAATCCCAAGTTTGAGATCAGTGTCAGCATCTTAGAGAGACCCTGTACAAAAAAGACTATAATGAAATACTTATGGGTCTTCAAATGATTTTTTTTTAAAACATGCCATTTAAGGACTTAAACAGAAGTTGTTGCACTTGAGTTTTATAAGGAAAAAATGAAATTAGATGTAAAATGTTTTTGTTTTCTTTGGTTGCTGTGACCAAAATTAGTAGAGGGAAAGTTTATTTGGGGCTCACTATTTCAGAGAACTCAGTCCATAGATGGCCAGCTCCATTGCTCTGGGTCCAAGGTAAGGTAGCACATCATGGAGGAAGGGTCCAGAGATGGGGTGGGAGGAGCTGCTTAACTCATGGCTAGGTTAAGAAGCAGAGAGAGGAAATCAGGATTGGGCTTCAGGGAAGAACGGCACTTCTAGGACTTACCTTCAGTGACCCTCCTCTTTTAGTCACATCCCACCTGCCTACAGTTACCACCTGGGCTGCTCATTCAAACTAGATTGGACTGATTAGGTTACAGCTCTCACAAAACTGTTGAAGAAATAATGACTGTCTAGGAAGACCAAAACTTAGATGACTAGAATATCACCCATTTCAAAACCTAAATTTAATATTCTTTCGATTTGACCCAGCCTTTGCCTTTATAATGAAAAATTAACAAACTAGAGTTTTCTTTTTTAATGTCATCTTGTCCAATGTAGCCTATTAAATTATTTTTAATGATTTGTTGATAAGATATAAAATATTTTACTGTAGGTAGGTACAACATACTTTTTAAACAGCCTTTTAAAATTTAGTTATATAAATATAGAATTTAATTACTTCAAGACAAAACAGAAAACTACAAATGACCCCTTAAAGGATTGTCCAGAATCTCTTTCTTGCAAATACACTGTTACCTAGATAGATTAATGTAATACTTTTATTTCTTTAAAATTGTTCTGAATATTTGGGTATACAAAACTTATTTCAGCTTGTTGCAATTTGAAAGTCTATGATGTTATTTTTTTTGTTTTGAATTCTGTTTGAGAGGTGTATGTTTGTTTTTGTTTTTTACTATAAAGAGAGAATTTTTTTAATATTTATTTTTTAGTTTTCGGTGGACACAACATCTTCATTTGTATGTGGTTCTAAGGATCGAACCCAGTTCCCCATGCATGCCAGGCGAGCACGCTACCGCTTGAGCCACATCCCCAGCCCCAAGTGGTGCACCAGAACTGTGTGTGTTTCACAGTGGTGTCTGATCTGGAGGATTACTTTTATGCCTCCCCACTTTTTTTTTTTTTCAAATATTTATTTTTTAGGTGTAGATGGACACAACACAATGCCCTTATTTTTTATGTGGTGCTGAGGATCGAACCCGGGTCTCGCCTGTTCTAGGCGAGTGTTCCACCACTGAGCCACAATCCCAGCCCCTTGCCTCCCCACTTTTTATTGCTAAATAAAAACACACTTGAAATGGATCAAAAATTTCAGATGTTCTTTAACTGAATGACAAATACAATTACTAAAGCTGGCCTAAATCAGAGTTCAAATATTTCCTATTTGATTAAGCCAAAAACACTTAGAATCTTCCTTGACTTTTCATTTTCTTAAATTCCACATCCTATCTGTCCCCAGTTTGTTTGTCTTCAAAATATATCCCAAAGCCAACACTTCTGCCTTCACCTTGTCCGTCGATGCAGCACAGACTTCGTTACCACCCACTGAACCTGCAGCAGGTCTCCACCCTTCTAGTATTGCTGACCCTTGCCCCACCCCTGTGTGCAGGGCAGCCCTCCAACAGCTTCCCCTGCACTATAGATAAAGCCCAGTCTTCACATGATCCACCAAACGGCATGATCTTGCACTAGCTGCTGCTTGTTTCCTCCCACTCTTTGCCTTTATTAACTTGAGCACAGGGGGCCTCCTGGGTCAACAGCCCCTCTCTGGCCAGGGCTGGTACAGCTATTTTCCTTGTGCTTGGCAAGTCTTCTACATCTTTGTGCATAGGACTCCTTCATTTCCTTGGAGTCTGTGTTCATTCCTTTCACTGAACAGCTCTTCCCTGACTGCTGTTTCCACTGCAGCATCCCCACAGCTTATTTTGATCTTTTTTCTCATTACATGGCATCCTTTTCTTATTGTCTAATTCCCCGTGAGAAAGTGAACCCTTTGAGGGCAGGTCCTTTGCCTTAGTCCCTGCCTCTTGTTCCAGTGGTTGGAACAGTGCTAGATACGTAAACCCATAATCTGTTTCTGTTGGTACTGAAGTGGTGCTGGAATCAATGAATGAAGGAGCAGTCTTATTGCTCCTTGGCTTATGCTTTGCAAGAAATTTTAAAATAATGAATTTGCCTTTCATGTTTTATTAACCTTTTATTTTCTAGATGTTATTTTTTTCATAGACAACACTGCATAGTGAATTTTTTTGGCTTTTGTTTCTTATAGCATTCTATCTCACTTTTATCGCCTACAGGTTTCAAATTTCATTTTGACAATACAGATCAGTCACACAAAAAATAGACTAAATTTTTAATATTTTTGTTACTCAAAACTTGATGGCCTTTGGTATGAAAAATCCTTTACTTTAGAAGTAATAATGGTCACTTTTTTATCATTCTAGCACTTGCCTCAGCATCTGCTATACTCCAGGTATTAGTAAATGCATACATTGGATAAATTAGGGCATTTTATTAGAGTTTAATTTCTAGGAAAACATTGAAATTTGAAAAATTGCTTCCTGGATTTAGGTTCTGCTGATGACCCTCTAGCTGATATCTCTGAAGTCTTAAACACAGACGATGACATTCTTGGAATGATCTCAGATGACCTAGCAAAGTCGGTTGATCGTTCAGGTATGTGTCCACCCTGTTTGCCTGATTCCTGTCTTGACATGAGGTGTGTGTGGAGCCAACCAGTCTTCAGCCTATTCCTGGAAACTCAGTGGATTTTGGTGGTTTTGTGTTTGGGCTCTGTCTGGGACCTGGCATTTACTTGGCCTGTCCTGGTTTTCCTGGTTTAAGGGTGCAGCAGGGCAATCTGTTTCCTTTCTGTTGTATCAGGTGCAAGGCATGTTGCCTCACAGCCTTGCTGTGTCGGGCCTCTTCTTGTGTTTGCATTTCCTTCACTTCTTGCTCCTCTGGTAACCATCCATTTTATTTGGTTTGGGTCTTATAGGTCTTGATTTATGCACTTTCCAGGTTGACAGCTCACCTTTTCCATTTGGTAAGAAACTGAGCAATGGATGACCGCTGACTAGAAGTAGTCTTCTCTTTGTAGTGGTTTCAGCTGAAACAGCCTGTAGGTGCATGCATATTTTAGTCGTGCTAATTCATCACTAATCCACACTTGGCTTTTCCTTTTTTGTGTACAGCTAAAGCATAGTATAGCTATACTGTGCTTTGGATGACTTTCTTAGTAAAATTTTTTAAATGAATGGTTCTATTATTATTGATATGTAATTTATAATATTACCGAAATGTTAAAGTTAGTTCTTCATGCAAGTTCAGATGAGAGGAGACTAAATTTTTACTTTTAAAGAGTCTATTAGAAAGCATAAAAAAATACATGAGAGACCACATTATTGTGACTGTTGCTGAAACTACTGACATGTATGAGCTGAGGGATGTTACAGTATTAGTAACATAATTTATTTTCAGAATATGACTACAAAATTTTAAAGATAATTTATGATTAAAACTATAAAGGATAATGTTTACTAAACATTAATAGGGAATTTAGAGCTTTCCTCTAATTGATGGTAAAACTTCTCTCTCCTGTTTCACATATTACATATAGTAATTGGACATTACATTTGATGCCACTATTTTCATATTAAAGCAGTTATTTGTATAATTACTTCTCCTAGATTCCTGGCTTCATATAGGGTTTAGTTTTGCAGAAATTATATCAAGTTAATATCAGATAAGTTATTTTGTTCCTCAGGAGGTGTATTTACTTTGAATAAGACTACTTTGGGACTTGGGGTATTGCTCAGTGATAGAATGCTTGCCTTGCATGCACAAGGCCCAGATTCCAGCCCCAGTATTGGAGAAAAAAAATGTCAGGTGGTATCTAAGTTTACAGACATGTTGTACCTGATTTTTACTAATGGATTATACAAATTGATACAAGAATCTCAATTAATTCAGAACTGTAGACTTCATGTGTCTGCTTTAGTCTTACTATTCTTTAGGAATGCAGAACGGTAGTGCTGTACATTTTGTGTGAATATCCTGAAGTGACCTTTTAATTTGTTTACCTTGCTTTTTTAGATATTGGTCCTATTGCTGATGATCCTTCCTCTTTGCCTCAGCCAAGCATTGGTCAGAGTTCACGACCGTTAAGTGAGGAGCAGCTAGATGGAATCCTCAGTCCTGAGCTAGACAAAATGGTCACAGATGGTAAAATATTTGCCCTACATCTAGGCTTTCTAAAAGACATGAGTAAATATGACTTTCAAAGATTTCTGCATGCTTATGATTTGATTTCTATTTTCATAATTTCTGTATCAATTAAATGATGTTTTCTATCAGTTTAATGAATTAGAAGTTGTTAATATTTCTATTTCTTTTATCCTAGGAGCAATTCTTGGAAAGTTATATAAAATTCCAGGTATTTGTGCTCTGAATTTTCAGTTTATAAGAATGGCATTCCCCATCTACTGATCTTTTAATCTTATTACTATTGTTACTTTGCCTCTTAGAGCTGGGAGGAAAGGATGTTGAGGACTTGTTCACTGCGGTACTTAGCCCCGTGACCACTCAGCCCCCTCCATTACCACAGCCTCCCCCTGCACCACAGCTCTTGCCAGTACACAATCAGGGTATGTTACAGTTTGCACAAGGTTGTTCTGTATCACAGGTACATGTGTATATGTGTGTCCATACATATAAGCAAATTTTGTCCTGTTTTTTAGTGACCATATATACAAATTGATAGAAAACTCACCTCTGTTGTGATGGAAAAAATACTAACTTCTGTCCCATACCTCTCTCCCTCTACAAGTCTGCAGTTGGTTAGGTTTTGGGCTGTGGGAGAGGATGTGTATGGTTCCTGCCCTCTCTCCTTAACCCCTGCCCCAGCTCACTTTCACTCTGGTCATCCCCTACACAGTGGCTGTTCTGTTTGGAGGACCATACCCTACTATCACCTGGCTGCCTTGTAACCAGTGGTCTGGTTTTGCCTGCACTGTCCTTTACTCAGAGTTTAGCCAGTCACATCTCCACCTCAGCTCCATGCTTTTTTAGCTGTAGTGTGCAGCATGATTAGAAATGCCTGTCTGGATCAGTAAGGCTATACCTGTAAGTTGTAGGCACTTTAAAGATCAAGATTAAGGTCCCGTGACTTGCTCATCACTGTAAACTCTCTCACAGAGCATGTGTTCAGTACAACCTTTAGAGTAGATCAATGACCTTACCACAAGCCTGTGGACACTGAAATTTCCTGTGCTGTAGAAATTTGCCTATTTTTTGTTTGTTTGGTTTTTGTCAGTTTTCTTTGACCTATCTGTAACTAACCTGCAATATAACATAGGTTTAAGGCTTCAGTTCCCTCCTCTTCCCAGAGAACTGAAATCTGATAGCCTAGAATGAAAATCTGCAGGAATAGATAGGGAGGAAGAGTGCCGCAGGCATGAGAACCATTTCTTTAGAAAGGACCTTAGAATTCCACAGACAGGTGCAGTTTCGAAGTTTGAGCTTAAGAACATTTCTCTATTGTCAATGTTTCATGTCTATTTATGCTGAAATAATATGATACCTTTATAAACTCTTATTCTTTTTTATATAATTGATAAAACATGCAAATAACTTCTTTACTACCAATTTTATGTAAACATGAAAAATTCTGTAATTGAAAATGGAATTATATTTGAAAATGTTTCTAACTCTACTAGTTTATATCTACTAATATAAATCCTCCTTGATTTTTACTGGATTAAGCATATGGTCACCATTGGGTAAAACCCCCACATGGCTCTTGCTTCCTGTAATTATTCCTATGTGATTTTATAATGGTTAGGAATTCTTCAGTACTTCTCAGCATATAAAAACTATTTTTCTTCATGTTTTCTGTAACTTAAAGTAGGTATTCTAGAGATCACATCAGTTTAAAGACATGTTCCTTAATGAAAGCTGTTAATTATTATGAAAATCACTTCATTTGAAGTACATTCTTATTTTTAGAAAGGTTTTAAGGAGATGTATTTTTTGGGGGGTGGGGGCTAGCTCTAATAGGCAATTCAAGAGGAGTAATAAGGCTGCCTACCCTGACAAATTATAACCCTAATGTAGACTTTTTGGTGTACACCTGGCTTATAGAAGAGTGTCATTCAAGAAGAGCCTCAAGAACCACTAAGATGTCAGTGTTTATGTTTGAAAGAATAGTAGTTCTAATTTATGGGTAAAACATGATCAGGTTTTATAAGTGAGACACTTAAGTATTCAAGAAGGGCAACTTTAACATTTCCCAGAGTGAAGGAAAGGGATAAATGGGCCGTGCTTTATTGGGCACAACTGAAGTATTGATAGCTGTGAAAGCAGGCAGAGGTGGGTTGCCTATTTCCTCCAGGCTTCTGTGAGCCAATGTAATGCCAGTGTAATGAGACTGCTCAGTCACATGTTTTGGCAAACTAGGATTGGTGCCAGTATTGGACAAAAACAGTTGTAGTAATGAGTTTATTGTGGTTGGGAGTAAGTTACAATGTAAGTCTATGTCAAGTTATTGAAATGCTAACAAAAGAAAGGAATAGATACGAGAAAGTAAAGTTAGAATAAATAGAATTATGTTATTGTATGGATGTAAGATGGAAGGAGAAGGGAGGAAATAAAATGAATTAAACTATACACAAGCCAAGCTGGCCTAGAGGATAATCATGCCCCAACCTAGAAACATGAGAAAGGAACATAAGGAGCATGTGTACTGTAGAAGGTAATGTGGTGCACTGGATTTAGTTTTAGACAGCTTTTAGTTTGGTAAATGTTGGACATTCACCTTGTTGTGTCTTACAGGCAGTTGCAGTTAGAGCTGTAGATGAAAGTGCTATAATCCCCCATGTAGTGTTGCTAGCTGAAGTTGTGTGGGAAGGATGAGATTATTTTTTTTCAGGGACTATATTGCCAATTGTTACAGAATATTGACGGAGCTCTTCTTTTTAATTAAATTTAATGAAGTACATGCTGAACTTACCTGATTTGTGTTAGGTATGCAATTCTGTGATCCTTATCTTTCCCCATTTTGAGGAATAGGTGAAAATGGAAAAAAGTAGAGATTGAGACATTGAATGAGAGTATCTTAGAAATGGTGACAGTAGAGACAGGTTATAAAGTGCAGTGGGTGGATGAGTACAGTTCTTAAAAACTGTTGTCTTTGGCAGACTGTGGAAGACTTGGTAGTGCTGGTGGAGTGACTCCAATAGGAGTGTTAAGAAAGCAAGGCAGAGTTCAGTGCATGGATGGTAATCCATGGGGTCAGAAAGTGAAGAGGGAAAATTTCAGGAAGACTGAGAGGTCCCTTTATGTAAAAGTGAAGTGAAGTGAAGTAACTTTTCAAGTCTTACCATGAGTCATGCCTCAACAGTTTTACTTTTATAAACTAATGTTACTGGAGACCTAGGCCAGAGACCTAACAAGATCCTGGTGAATCAGGTTTGTCCACTCTTGCCAAGGTAATCAAATAAAAAAGTAATGATAAAAAGCAAGAAAGGAGCTATAATCAGTGCTGCTGTCCTGGGAAGTAGCCTTGTCTTTGGATGTACTGACAGGAGCTGTCATGATTGTGTACCGAAGGGAAGCTGGATGTATGCATAGTCAAAAACTCCCCGTCACACTGTGGCCTGGCTGATCATTACCTCAGGATTAGTTAGGCAGGGCCTTATCTATGAAAAAGAAAGTTGCTGTTGCCTAGTGGGTAGTTTTAACTCATCACAAGAGATCAATCAGACCTTTTTTTCTTGGGATCCAGGGTAAGAAACTATGGGAGGGAAGTGACTCAGAGCAAAAGAGACAGATACAAATTGGAGGCAGATGTGCCCAACTTTTCTGCTGCTTTTAGTTATCTCTTGGACATTTGCAGGCCCAATGAAGAGTTGGTGTTTTTAATAAAAGCAGCCTCTATGTCCTTGTTACACTAACAAAGTTGGTTAGGTGCAGTAGATTTGAAGAGAAAAATGACCACCTCTTAGTTAAATTAATAATGAAAGAATGATGCTTTGAGTTTTACTTTTTTGTGCCCTTGAAACAAATTGTTTAACTCTCTTCTTCTTTTTTTCTTAAATGAGGTACACATAATAACTATTTTATTGGGCTGTTGTGAGGGTATAAAGACACAATAGATGTAAAGCTTTTAGAATAGCTGCTGTTATTAGGGAAATAATAATGTGGTTGTAATAGGTAGTGCTGATGATTAGCCAGCTGCAGGACAGTGATTAACCTTTGGTTATCCTAATTATCAGAAAGGTATTTGTTATTTTTCACTAAATCCTCAGATTCCTTAATAGAACCAACTTCTTGCCAAAGTTGAAAAGAGAAGTAGCATTCTATTTTGAATAAAAAGCAGAAATCTTTACCTTGATTCCTTCTAGCACACTGTATCACGGAACATTAGTCATTGTGAAAGCCCTCTAGCATCCAGCTCTGGCGTGCAGTGGAATAAGCCCTCTTGTGAAGGTCCTGGAGACCGCCTCCAGCCCTGTCTGTGCTCGGCTTCCATCTCTGCCTATGTGCACTAGAGCTGAGTTCACACTGAGAGTGCATTGGGCTTTGGAACATCACGTACATGTACACATGTGAGCATTAGACTTGAGGTTTTTCTTTTATCTAATATTATATCAACGTGACCAGGCTGGGAGTTCTCTACCACCCCAAAGAATATCATGGTATTTGTGTCACTAGACAGTGAGGTGAGTCTCCTGTAATAGCTCCTCTTACATTCCACCAATTACAGGGGCCATATGTTAGAGTATGTCTCCACAGTTCATCATGTTTAATTGGCATGGCTCTTTTAAAAGTATGTGAAAAGTTTTTTTGTTTATTGTTGTTGTGTTTTGTTTCATTGCTGGAAAACTTCCCCAGTAAGGACAATTATCTTATTTCCAATAGTTTAGACAAGTAGACCATCATAGTAAATATTGGAGATACACATTTAAGGAGGGTTGTGAAGAAACCCAGGGTGGTCTCACACTTTGCCTAATATCTATTTAGAAAAGAAATAATAATATATTTAAAACTCACGAATGAACTGGAAGATTTAAAAATGGTTTTCAGGGCAGAACTGCAAATAATGAAAATTAAGGCAAAACTGCAATTTGTTTCTCTTGTAAAGTTAACATATACTAATAGTTACTGCTTCCCAGTACATAGATCATCTCAACTCACCAAACAGTAACCCCTTTTCATAAATACAATCTAGTTTTGCTTCAAACAAGTAGAGAAGAATTAAGATTCAAACCCAGGACTGTTGTACTTTGAAACTATTTTTAGTACACTATAATTAGGTGAATACAATTGTAGAGACCATATTTCAAAATGTTATAACCAAGTGACCCTTTAAAGAGTATTATACAGTATAATGTTGTGGGGGAAAACTACTTTTAAGTAGAATTAAAATTTTTTATTTAAAAGTATTTCAGCTACTTGTTATTTGTGAATGATATGCAAACCGACTCCCCACCCCCTTCCTTTTTTAAGATGTGTTTTCACGGATGCCACTCATGAATGGCCTTATTGGACCCAGTCCTCATCTCCCACACAGTTCTTTGCCTCCTGGAAGTGGATTGGGAACTTTCTCTGCTATAGCACAATCCCCTTATGCTGATACCAGGTACTTAAAAAGTCTTACATGCTATGGAGAATTAAATGATACTAATTTTAATTGTATCTTAATTGACCTTTTTAAATGCTTGTGTATGATATTGGTGTATGTGGATTTCGCCAGAAATCATCAAGCACATTACTTTTAGCTATTTTGTAATAAATCTTAATTAAAAGTGGTACTGGAGCCTGGAATCAGGAAGTTATTCTTGTTTATGAAGTGAAGGTGTTTATTTTTTTCACCAGGGATAAAAATCCAGCATTTAATCCAATAGCAAGTGATCCTAACAGCTCTTGGACACCATCAGCTCCCCCTGTGGAGGGAGAAAATGACACAATGTCGAATGCCCAGAGGAGTACACTTAAGTGGGAGAAAGAGGAAGCTCTGGGTGAAATGGCAACAGTGGCACCAGTTCTCTACACAAATATTAACTTCCCCAATTTAAAGGAAGAATTCCCTGGTGAGTCACGGACCGTTTCTGCCCATTTATTCACCGATATTTTCAAGTATAAGGGTTTCTTCTACAGATGGGAAGCCCCTGCATCTTCACTGTGGTTCATCAGTCTGACTGTCCACAGTATAACGATTCTCTAGCTATCTAGAAATGCTTTTGCTTTTGCTTAGTTCTGTGCATTACATTCATTTGCATATTTTCAAACCTTTGTTTCAAATACTGAAATTATCAGTTTTCTAGTGCCTTGCAGTGCATGCACAAGTCCATATTGTGCAATTCTAAACCAAAAATGTTCCTGGAACGGGAAGTATCCTATAATTCCTAATATTAAGTTAAACTTAAATCAGTCACTTTTAAGTTGTTGGTATTGAAACTTACTCAGTGTCATCTTCCTTTTGTTTCCCTCCATTCCTTTCTGACCTGTGGGTATCCTGGATCTGTTTGGAAAATCAGAGGAAACAATAGTGCTGTTTTTGAAATTTTGACTAAATGGAGGGTGAAACTTTTAGATTAATGAATTGTCAGTTATCGAGTACTTATAAGCAACACTTTTGTATTATTTTGAGTTTATGTTGCCAGATAAACCAGGATTTAAAATTTATTAAAATTCTGTCTTATGATAATTTCCCAGCCATCTTTCAACACTCAGGCTCTTTTAAGTTACTGGAGTGCATCTGGATGTATTTTTTCTCACATGGACCCCTGGGCATGTTAGTTGATCTCCCTTTAGTACTTTATTCAATGTACAGAAATAAATCAAATATACTTCCCTATCTAATAGTTTAAATCAGTGGTTTAATGCAATATCTCCATTCTTTAGCTACATTTTATAACCACACTTACATTTGTTGCTCATAGATGAGCAACTGTTTCTATTAAAACAGTTTGGTCAGCATAAATTGCTCTTAAAGCAGAGCTATAGATTTGTGCTTCTTTTTAGTGATTTTCTTAAAAAAGTTTACTTTGTGATTGAAAAACCTCTTGAAATACAATGATAAGGCTGTTGGTCTGTCAGTTGACTTTTGGTTTCATTGGCTTTTTGGAAACTTTTTTGGCCGGGGCAGGGGTGGGGCAGTGCTTGCATGGAACCAAGGGCCGTGTGCTTGCTAGGTTCATACTCTGCCAGTGAATTACACAGCTGTATCTAGCCCCTTAATGTGGAGTCAGACTTTTTTGTTTTTATCATTAACGGTTGATCTCACCAATACTTGATTTTATATACCATCAAGGCACTAAATTTTATATAAATTATTTAAAATAATTACTTTTCTATGTTGCTGATGAGGTGGTTATTTATTATGATCATGATCATTTCCTTTAGTTCAAAATGATAGATTTCTGTTTAGTGTAGATTATTTAGAAAACTTTCACTTTGATTCTGATATAGATAGATAGATAGATATAGATATGTAGATATGTAGATATATAGATATAATACACATACACATATGTTTTTATTTCAGGGAATTTATTATACTTGGTTTAAATTTGACTAGTTGGCCCCTTGAATTAAAAAACTTGCCAACTTTATAAGGCAGATTGCTAATAAGGCAACCCTTCTTTCAGAGAATATTTGTTTGACTTACTACGTGTCAGGAACTTGCTATTTTTTTAAGAACTTACTGTAGTAGTACAGTGATCCCTTATTCCAGACACTGGGACCAGAAGTGTTTCAGATTTTGAAATATTTGCATATGCATAATGAAATTTTCTTGGGAATATCTTTGAGATTGGACCTAAGTCTAAACATAAAATTCATTTATTTTCATTTACACCATATACACATAGCCTAAAGGACTTTATACAATATTTAAGTACACCAGTGTTTTGACTATGACTTTTATCACATGAGATCAGGCACAGATCCATTTGTGGTGTCATATTAGTCCACAAATAGTTTTGGATTTTGTACCACTTCAGATTTCTGATTTTCAGATAGGGATGTTCAACCTGTACTAAGTCTGGAAGATGTGGTCTGAATAAGATTAACTGTCAGCAGTTCATCAATTTCTTTTTGTTACAATACATTGTAAGCATGCCTCTGAAAAACGTGTATTCTGTTCTTTTGTTGTAGACTGGACTACTCGAGTGAAGCAAATTGCTAAGTTGTGGAGAAAAGCAAGCTCTCAGGAGAGAGCTCCATATGTGGTATTTAAAAGAACTAAGTGTTGTCTTCTTTCGGGGCGGCGGGGGGGGGGCAATACTGGAATTGAACTTCAGGGCCTCACACAAGCTGGGCAAGTGCTCTGCCACAGAGTTGAATCCCCAGTTCATGAGTTAAGTCTTTAAAACACAGCATTTAATCTTTATTTTTGTTGTCTTTGCTTAATGAAAAGATTTTCCACTGAAGAAAATGCTTGTTAATACTTGCATAATTAATAGGCAACTTTATTTTGTCGTGATGTCCTAATTCATTATCTCTCTCTTAAGACAGAGTGTGACATTTTTATAAAGTCAGGGACAGACCAGGATGAGGAATTTTAGGAGCATGTTTACTTCGTTTCACTTGTTCTCTTTAGCAAAGAGTACTCAGTTTGGAGATGGGATTAGTATGCCTCTGTTTCTTCCACAATAAGTTCTTTTGTTGTTTGTTAGGTTTACTAGGGAATCTTTATGCATCTTGAAAGAAACACATTTAGACATCTTTAAGGAGCTTGTGAAACATGGTCTTAGTCAGGAATTGGAGAATTTTTAAAAGAGCCAAGTAAGATTGTTAGCCCAAATCAAATCTTTGGCTTTCATTGTAAATAAAACTAAATATTATTGTTTGGAAAAATATATACAGTTATTTTCCATTCAATCACCAATGAACATATTTTCAGTTATTTGATTATTTTGCATAGAGTATTTAAAGAACTTATACACATATATACACATATGTAGCATACACACATATATCCATGTGTTTATTTAATAATGTTCATACACCTATAAGTGTGTGTATATGTTTTTCTTATTGGATTAGATTAGATTGTTTTACCTTGGATTTAGTAAGGCAATGACAAGGTATTCTTAATGTTTCTCTGTAATTTTATGTAATGGTAAGTTTCAAATATACAGATTTTCTGTCGAGTGGACCAATTTTCCTTTCCTCTAAATTGATGGATATGTTAATTCTTTCATTTTCTAAGGATATTTAAGAGTATTAGAAAGAAAAATACTAGATTACACCTGGGATCTCCTAGGCTTTTTCAGATAAATAGATAGAAACATCTTAAACTGATAACGAGGACATGTGCTATAAATAGAGAAGGTGGGCTAATGTCCAAAACCTTTCTTAGGAGAGGCTGTAAGTTCTATAGGATAATATTCAACTATTTTTGAGTACTTAACCCAACTTTTTCTTGCTTTTGTATGGTAAAGTTCAGCATAGTTTTATTTTTATTCCTGAGTAACCACATTGACATATACTGGAAAATAACATTTTTCTCTTTTTGTCAAAGCAAAAAGCCAGAGATAACAGAGCTGCTTTACGTATTAATAAAGTCCAGATGTCTAATGATTCCATGAAAAGGCAGCAGCAGCAAGATTGCATCGATCCCAGCTCTCGCATCGATTCAGATCTTTTTAAAGATCCATTAAAGCAAAGAGAATCAGAACATGAACAGGAATGGAAATTTAGACAGGTATGAGGTTTGGAGATGATTTTCTTTTTTAAATTGCGTTTTTGTTCTTTGAGAAGTGAGGTATTTACTTCTTAATAGAACATTTTTACCTTTTTTGGTAAAATATATTTAAATTGATTTGAGAAGTTTATTGAAATATTATAAATAATAGACTGCCCTAGGCAAAATTGGGAATCCTCTGATGAATAATCATCTCTTCTCTAGGACTATACAGTCTAATATGGAAGCAATCTGGTAGCTATTGACCTCAAACAAATTAATTTCCTATTGCCTTTTCTACCTGTGATAGTTATTTTCTTCTTAACATGTGATTGCTTTTTCTATCTTGTTTTAATAGCAAATGCGTCAGAAAAGTAAGCAGCAAGCTAAGATTGAAGCCACACAAAAATTAGAACAAGTTAAAAATGAGCAGCAGCAGCAACAGCAGCAGCAACAACAGCAGCAGCAGCAGCAGCAGCAGCAGCAGCAGCTTAGTTCCCAGCACCTTCTGGTGCCATCTGGGTCTGATACTCCAAGCAGTGGGGTCCAAAGTCCCTTGACACCTCAGCCTGGCAATGGAAACATGTCTCCTGCACAGGCATTCCATAAAGACCTGTTCTCAAAACAGCTGCCTGGTATCCCTGCTTCCACACCTTCAGATGATGTGTTTGTCAAGCCGCAAGCTCCACCCCCTCCTCCAGCCCCGTCTCGGGTACCCATTCAGGAGAGTCTTTCTCAGTCTCAGACTTCTCAGCCACCTTCTCCACAAATGTTTTCTCCTGGGTCTTCTAGCTCCCGACCACCATCTCCATTGGATCCTTATGCAAAAATGGTTGGTACCCCTAGACCCCCTCCTGGGGGACATAGCTTTCCCAGAAGAAATTCTGTCACACCGGTGGAAAACTCTGTGCCTTTATCATCCGTACCAAGGCCCATTCAGATGAGTGAGACCACAGCCAGTAGGCCACCCCCAGCCAGAGATCTGTGTTCTTCTTCTACAACAATTAGTGACCCCTATGCAAAACCTCCAGACACCCCTAGGCCTTTAATGACAGATCAGTTTCCCAAACCTTTGGGCCCATCCCGGTCTCCTGTAGTTTCAGAACAAACTGCAAGAGGTCCTCCAGCAGGTGGAACCAGTGATCACTTTACTAAACCCTCCCCTAGGGCGGATACGTTTCAAAGACCACGGGTACCTGACCCGTATGCACGACCTTTGCTAACACCAACACCACTTGATAGTGGTCCTGGACCTTTTAAGACTCCACTGCACCCTCCTCCATCCTCTCAGGATCCTTATGGGTCAGTATCCCAGGCATCAAGGCGACTGTCTGTCGACCCTTATGAAAGGCCTGCCTTGACACCAAGACCTGTAGATAATTTTTCTCATAGTCAGTCAAATGATCCATATAGCCAACCTCCCCTAACTCCACATCCAGCAGTGAATGAATCTTTTCCCCATTCTTCAAGGGCTTTTTCTCAGCCTGGAACCATATCAAGGTCAGCATCTCAGGACCTGTATTCCCAGTCCCCAGGAACTCCGCGACCTGTAGATTCTTATTCCCAACCCTCAGGAACTGCTCGGTCCAATGCAGACCCTTATTCTCAACCTCCTGGAACTCCTCGGCCTACCACCATTGACCCATATACTCAGCAGCCACCAACACCCAGGCCATCTGCACAGACAGAAGTGTTTGTTACACCTGCAGCTAATCAAAGGCACTCTGATCCGTATGCTCATCCTCCTGGAACACCAAGACCTGGAATTTCTGTTCCCTACTCTCAGCCACCAGCAACACCAAGACCAAGGACTTCAGAGGGTTTTACTAGGTCCTCAGGTACAAGACCAGCCCTCATATCAAATCAGGATCCTTTCCTGCAAGCAGCACAACACAGAGCACCAGCCTTACCTGGCCCTTTGGTAAGGCCACCTGATACATGTTCCCAAACACCTAGGCCACCTGGACCTGGCCTTGCAGACTCATTCAGCCGTGTTTCCCCATCTGCTGTTCGCGATCCCTATGATCAACCTCCAATGACTCCAAGGCCTCAGTCTGACTCTTTTGGAACTGGTCAAGTTACTCGTGATGTTGCTGACCAGCCGGGGCCTGGGTCAGAGGGAAGCTTCAGCACATCTGTAGACTCTCCCATGAGTTCCCAAGGCCAGCAGTTTTCTGGTGTCTCCCAGGTTGCTGGACCTGCACCAACTTCGGGGGGAACTGACACACAGAACACTGTAAATATGTCTCAAGCAGATGCAGAGAAGCTGAGACAGGTAATCATGGCACACGTTTTCAATGTCTTAAATGTATCTTTTGTGGAAGCCATTCATTTAATCAAATGGTAATTTCTATACAAGTGTTAATTTTATTTAATGTTATTGTTTTGTAATACAAAGAAGAAAAATAAAATTTGTAAAATTAACACCAGTTGAATTACATTTAATCGTATCTAATTTCAGTCTTTATGAATTTGTTAAAGAATCTTTTGATATGAAAGCTGAAAGTTTCATGATAGCTGAATGGCAAATGGAACCAAATGACTAATTTGTTTTTTATAGTGTATCAAGTAATTAAATATGTGTTTTTATCAAACTTTGAAACATTTAGACATTTTAAATATTACCATAGCCCCATAATGAAAACATTATGATGTTAAAAACCACTAGTTACTGGAAATCCCAGTGATTTTTGTTTCTTTGCATTTAGCGGCAGAAACTACGTGAAATCATCCTGCAGCAGCAGCAGCAAAAGAAGATTGCTAGTCGACAGGAGAAGGGGCCTCAGGATGCACCTGGAGTGCCTGCCCCGGTGTCCCTTCCTCACTGGCAACCAGAGAGTATCAACCAGGCTTTCACTCGGCCTCCACCCCCTTATCCTGGGAACATTCGATCACCTGTTATCCCTCCTGTCGGACCTAGATATGCTATTTTCCCCAAAGATCAGCGTGCTCCCTATCCTCCTGATGTTCCTGGTATGGGGATGAGGCCACATGGATTTAGGTAGTGCTTTTAATTTTCTGCCTGATTTAAATTGCTGTTAGAAGTAACTAGATAAACGGAGTTGGTATTAACCAATAAGCTGTTAACACTTTCTACTTCTTGCTCCCCTCTCACATAAATCAATGTTATTTTCCACAAACGAGAGGTCAGGGACTTTCTCCCTTCTTAAAAACTCTAAATGGCTTAAGCACAGTCCCTTCATGACTAAGTATTATCTAGGACTTATAGCCATATTGATGTAGCTCATCATAGTAGTCAGTATCCCCCAAAATGTAGCTGCTACATGCAGGCAGAACCTTTTTTGATGTGACAAGTGAGGAGACTTGTGCACTCAGCACATTTTTATTCTTTTCATTTCATTTAAGGTGCAAAATATTGGTGGAACAGAATTCTAAAGAAAGGATGTTTCTCTTTAGGAACTTTTCATGACAAGGTTGGGTTGTAAAGGTAGCAGAAATGAATCATGACCATGTTTCCTTTTTTAAAGTGGCTACTAGGTCTATCTAGACTAACGCCCTAGTTATAATGAGGAAAGGGTTATTTAAGATGTAATTTTTGGGAGAAATGTGATTTATTTATTTATTTTTAAATGTTTATTTATTTATTTATTTATTTATTATTGTTGGTCGTTCAAAACATTACATAGTTCTTAATATATCATATTTCACAGTTTGATTCAAGTGGGTTATGAACTCCCAATTTTACCCCGTATACAGATTGCTGTATCACATCAGTTACCCTTCCATTGATTTACATATTGCCGTTCTAGTGACTGATGTATTCTGCTGTCTGTCCTATTCTCTACTATCCCCCCTCCCCTCCTCTCCCCTCCCCTTTTCTCTCTCTACCCCCTCTACTGTAAATCATTTCTTCCACTTGTATTATCTTGTTTTACCCCTCCTTTCCTCTTATATGTAATTTTGTATAACCCTGAGGATCACCTTCCATTTCCATGCGATTTCCCTTCTCACTCCCTTTCCCTCCCACCTCTCATCCCTGTTTAATGTTAATCTTCTTCTCAAGCTCTTTGTCCCTACCCTGTCCTTGATTACTCCCCTTATTTCAAGGGGTTCTTTTGGCTTTGTTTTTTAGAGATTGGCTAGCTTCACTTAGCATAATCTGCTCTAATGCCATCCATTTCCCTCCAAATTCTATGATTTTGTCATTTTTTAATGCAGAGTAGTACTCCATTGTGTATAAATGCCACATTTTTTTTTTATCCATTCATCTATTGAACGGCATCTAGGTTGGTTCCACAATCTTGCTATCGTGAATTGTGCTGCTATGAACATCGATGTAGCAGTGTCCCTGTAGCATGCTCTTATTAGGTCTTTAGGGAATAGACCAAGAAGGGGAATAGCTGGGTCAAATGGTGGTTCCATTCCCAGCTTTCCAAGAAGAAATGTGATTTAATCTTGTACTATGTCTCTGTGTTGCATGCTTACCCTTACTTCCCCATTTTTGTCTACCTTTTGTCCTTTTTCCTACAGGAAAAAACTACACTCTCCACAAACATTTTCATTCTTATTTCTAAATGGTGGATCTCCATATGCTTGGTGGCTGGCTGTTCCTGGGTTTACATGATCTAATAGAGAGAGGCATTTATTGTAGGGAGTTTAGCAAACCTTACTGTATATGGGTACTTACAAGTACTTTTTAAGTTGGCAGTGACATTTTGCTAAATCATTGCATGTAGCAATGATATTTCAAAACTTTCTTTTTTCAACCTAATTCTGAATTCAAGAAAATACTGAAATATTTGCCCCCCTCCCTTTTTTTTAGATTTGGATTTCCAGGAGGGAGTCATGGTACGGTATCCAGTCAGGACCGATTCCTAGTGCCTCCTTCACAAATAGCAGGAGCTGGAGTTCCTCCGCATCTGAGAAGATCAATGTCTGTAGAAATGCCTGGACCTTTAAATAACTCGCAGATGAATAATCCGGTTGGACTTCCTCAGCATTTTCCACCACAGAACCTGCCAGTTCAGCAGCATAATATACTGGGCCAGGCATTTATTGAATTGAGGCATAGGGCCCCAGATGGAAGACCACGACTGCCCTTCCCTGCTTCTGGCAATGTTATAGAGCCACCTTCTCATCCCAGACATGGAAACTTCATTCCTCGTCCAGACTTCCCAGGCCCAAGACACACAGACTCCATGAGACGACCTCCCCAGGGTCTACCTCATCAGCTCCCTGTGCATCCAGATTTGGAGCCAGTGCCTCCACCTCAGCAGGAACAGGGCCACCCTGCCCATCCATCTTCTGTGGTCATGAGACCTCTGGGTCATTCCTTGGGTGGAGGGTATTCTGAGGCTCCCTTGACAGCAACTGTGACAGCTGAAAGAGCACCTGGTAATGTACAAATGGCCAGTCGGTCTTCTGATGGTTTGGAGGAAAAACTTGATTCTGATGACCCTTCTGTGAAAGAACTGGATGTTAAAGACCTTGAGGGGGTTGAAGTCAAAGATTTGGATGATGAAGATCTTGAAAATTTAAATTTAGATCCAGAGGATGGCAAAGGAGATGAATTGGATACTTTAGATAATTTGGAAACTAATGATCCCAACCTGGATGATCTCTTAAGGTCAGGAGAGTTTGATATCATTGCATACACAGATCCAGAACTTGACCTAGGAGACAAGAAGAGTATGTTTAATGAGGAACTAGACCTTAATGTTCCAATTGATGATAAATTAGATAATCAGTGTGTATCTGAACCAAAAAAAAAGGAGCAAGAAGACAAAGCTGTGGTTCTTTCTGATAACCATTTGCCACAGAAAAAATCCACTGTTACCAATGAGATAAAAACAGAAGTCCTATCTCCAAATTCTAAAGAGGAAACCAAATGTGAAACTGAGCAAAGCGATGAGGCTAAAGATGCTCTGGTTACTCCCAGCCCCCAAGCTTCTGCTCACACAGACCTGAATGATGGGGAAAAGAATCCTTTGCCATCTTCTGATTCAGACCTACTTGAGAAAAGAAGTAATCAAGAAACTGCTGGCTCCAGTGCAAGTGTTATCCAAGGATCTGCGTCACTGCCAGCTCAAGATGTGGTGAACTCTTGTGACATCACTGGATCAACTCCAGTTCTCTCAAGTTTGCTTGCTCATGAAAAATCTGATAATTTGGACATGAGGTCTTTGGGGTCTCCCCCACCAACGCTGCCAGCCTCACCCTCCAGTCGTGTGTCGAGCCTGCCTCCTACTTTAGTGGCACCACCTGGCCCTGTTCTGGATAATGCTGTGAATTCTAATGTGACTGTGGTCTCCAGGGTGAACCATGCTTTTCCTCAGGGGGTACAGGTAAATCCAGGATTTATTCCAGGTCAGTCATCAGTTAACCACAATTTGGGGACAGGAAAACCTGCAAATCAGACTGTGCCTCTCACAAGTCAGTCTGGTCCCAGTGGCATATCAGGACCCCAGCAGCTTATGATTCCTCAAACATTAGCCCAGCAGAATAGAGAGAGGCCCCTCCTCCTTGAAGAGCAGCCCCTGCTTCTACAAGATCTTCTGGATCAGGAGCGGCAAGAACAGCAGCAGCAAAGACAGATGCAAGCCATGATTCGGCAGCGCTCAGAACCATTCTTTCCTAATATTGGTAGGCATTCCCTTGTGTCTTAAAATAGATTCCTGTGGGCATTAGGATGACCTGCAATATGCTTGGAACATTTCATTATTGAAATTATATTCTGAATAGAGCACTGAGAATTTCTCTGTTCCTCCTGAACTTTAAGCAGAAAACAATTACAAGCTTTAGATTCCTTCCAGGTAAATCAAGAGATTGAAAACTTGGAGTTGTGATCCTTGTTCTACCTGTCACCCTATTGCTGCTGTGTATTTTCAATCATGGAATAATGAATTTAAGGAAATTATTATAGAAATAAAGCTTTCTGCTATCCTTTTGCACATAGTAAATTCTTAGTAGTTTTTTTCCCATAGCCCTATTTAACTTATCTCTATTGGTTTACTAATATTAACAACAAAAATAGAGCCATGAAGCCCAAGACGTCAGTGCTCCAGAGTGTAATCAGTCCACAGAAGGCACTTGCCTGAGGGTTGCTTCTCCTAAGTGAAGAACATGTGCTACCCTGTATGTGCTACCAATTTTGTCATGGAGCTCCTTTTCTCCATTTATATTCAAAAAGATATTTCTTGGTAGCCTCCCAATACTTTTGAGCGCTGACCTCAAGGAATTTATACATTTTTCTTCTAAAGAGAGAAGACTGATTTATTTCTTAGTATTTAAATATCTGCGGGTTCTTATTCCTGAAGCTACAGTGGTAAACCATCCTGACCAGCATTGCAGAAGTTTGGATGGGAGGGACTTGTATTGCTGAACATTTTTGCTATGCTCTCGCTTAGACTCAATAGACTTCTTTATTTAGTTACTGCAGGACTGAGTGTTAAAGTGTGCTTCAATTATGGATTACTGAAGTGTAATCAATCAAATTCAGAATAAAGTTGTTAACGATTATGAGATAATTCCCTCATAATTCCCTCATCTAGTATAAAAACCTGTACTGATTATTAAATAATAATAAGGTGGTATGGAGATCTGTAAATTGCACAATGTTTGTTGTACTTACATGTCATTTAATGTACCTTGAGCCAAGTACTATGAAGTAAGTAACTTTTAAAATATATTTTTTTTCTTTAGATTTTGATGCAATTACAGATCCTATAATGAAAGCCAAAATGGTGGCCCTCAAAGGCATAAACAAAGTGATGGCACAGAGCACTCTAGGCATGCCACCAATGGTGATGAGCAGGTAGGTTCAGGTGCGCGTCCCATGGGTGTCTGAACTGCATGTGGTTGGTGCTAGTCCTGGAAAGAACATGCGAGACTCGCTCGCTTTCCAGAAATGAACAGTGGTTGTGATACTGTGGGATACGGTGAGAAAGAGCTGTACATGTATAAAGAATCTCCATTAATTTTAGGTAGGGTAAACACAAAGTGCGGGGTGGGGGGGTTGTTTTGTTTCATTAGCAGTGCTTACTAAAAATTTTTCAGTTAACATAAAAGCGTTGATTAAGGCAATTGTGAATTCAGCTCTAAAAATATCACCAAACTGATTTTGAACCAGAGAGAAAGTCAAGAACTGATGAAGATGCTAGGACTTGAAGATTTCATAAGTTTTCATGCACAGCAGTAAAAAGGGAATTATGCATTAAAGGTGGCTCTAAGTGTTGTTAGCGTAATTGTGAAAGTAGAATAAGTACGACTACAAGGCCATATTTCTTATATTTTGATCATGAACCACTGTTAGAATTACGTGGCTTTTTGTTGTAGTTTTTTGAAAATGCAGGTTCTTTGTTCAACTGCAGACCTACTGAGTGAGAACATCTAGGGATGGTGCTGCATATTTCCATTTCCAGTGAACACTGTGAATTGTTGTTTGAGAACCTTCAGTACAGCAAGCAGAGAGGCTCAGTTTAGCCTAATAATCTTGTTGAAAAAATTTTTGTTAAAGGGGATATAATTATGGAATCGAACATAAAATTGCATAGATTTAAGAAAAAGATGATACTTCAGAGAAATTTGAATCCTTAATATAGTTTTTGGGGCTGGGGATATAGCTTACTTGGTAGAGTGCTTGCCTCACATATACAAGGCCCTAGGTTTAATCCCCAGCACCCCCCCAAAAAAAAATATAAATACACACACACACACACACACACACACACACCTACCCACCTGTGGATACTCTGGACATGATTAACATTCTTGGAATCAAAGTAAAGGTAGTGGTACCTAGTGCCTAGTGACTTTCAATGCTGAGCAGTGTTAATTAGCACTGTTCCTCCATCACAAGGGTTCTTAACCTTTTTGTCTTGAGACTGCTTGGCATTCTAGTGAAACCTTTGGATTTCTTCTCAGAACATTTTAAATGCAAGCCTCAGAGTCGGAAGTCTTCCAGCATCTGATGCTCATTCAGTATCATCTTCCTACCAGTTAAGCATGTGCTTGTGTGCTCAATGTTTAGTTACTGTTCTCCTTTCACAGAAATGGACATGATGGACCCTTTGAGAGTAGTATGGTAGTTGCATAAGGATGCAGATACCTAAGTCTGGATTGAGTATCATTTTAGACAAAGCTGTAGTCACAGAAGGGGTGGTGAGTGATTCACAGCCCTGAGTCAGAAATCAAAAAGGCACATTCTAAACTTCAGTACTACCTAAATGCCACAGTGTTTGGAGTATGTTTTGAAATGTGTTTGTGCTATGTGTGTATCTTGATATGTTAAAGCACTCTCAATAACTCTGGAGGAAATGTTTTCATATAGGCCATATGTTTCTGCGGAAGGCTTATCAGTCTAATTTGAGTAAGGGACATTTCACTGTATTGGTCAGTCACCAATTGTTAAATGGCTTTTTCAGTAGATTCAGAAATATATCTACTGAAAATATATGAACTTTTGAGTAAAATTTTTTGTTTTAGGATATAAATAGATAAGCTGCTAATTAATTTTTAATAAAAATTAGAAAAGGAAAAAATGTCCTTAGTTTATGTAATAAAGCTGAATCTTTGCTTTATTTTTTATGCCTAAAGGCTTGAATTCAATTCATATTAGAGTCACGTAACAGAATCCAGCCTCTGGAATTAGTTTAGCTGGCTTTTTTCCATAGCCTCCCTGAAACTATCCCCAGATGCTGTTAGAGTAACAGTCACCCAGGTTCACAGATGGTGAAGTGGAGAAGGTTCTGCTGGATACACAGAAAATGGAGCTTATGAGGCCTCTTGACAGGGACACATTGCCACAATTCTTTCTTCCCTGGAGAAGAACATTCTTGGGCACCTGAAACAAGTTTTAGTTTGCGAAGCTCACCGTTTGACACATAGTGGGTTTTTTTTTCTTACAGGTTCCCCTTCATGGGCCCACCAGTGGCTGGAGCACAGGGCAGTGAAGGACAGAACCTGGTTCCTCAGGCTGTTGCCCAGGTAACCCTGCTCATGTGTCACTCTGGAGGGCACACTGTCCTGTTTCCCACCAAACCCATCTCACAGTAAGGCCACTCCACACAGGAGGGTAGCCTACAGCCCTGCCTGTTTGTACTGTCAGTGCAGCAGAAATGGAGGGGTTAAACTGCTTTTAGAACAGAAAACAAGTTGAGGTTAAAAACATTGAATGTAATTTCTGGAAAGGACCTACACTTAAGGGTAGAAAGTCACCTGGCAGGAAACCAAATGACTAGGGCATCTGGTTGTACATACATACATGCATACATTTATTGCCCCCGGAAGACGAACTTTGGAATGAATCTATTATGTTTAGAATGTAAAACAGTAGCAACAAAAGAGCAGAATCATTCTGTTTTGACATGGGTGGTTGTGTTTCATATTTTCCTTAGCATGACTTAGTTCTGAGGATATGCTCTGTTTAAAATAAGCTTGAAGTGTGAATATTTATTTTATATTCTTGCTGTTAGGTAGTTTCTGGAGAAGTGGAATTCCTCATTTCATGTGGTATTTCTACAGTGGTGTTTTGTTGTTGTTGTTTTTTGGGGTTTTTTTTTTGTTTTTTGTTTTTTGTTTTTTTTGTTTTGGTTTTTTGGTTAAATGTATCTACCTGGAAAACCAGAGCTACATCCTGTATTAGCCATAATAGTGGGTGCATTTTGACTGCCAGTTGCACTTATTTATGCTGTTGATTATATCTTTTTTCCTTATTAAAAGGAGACACCATTTGATACACTGGAAATAGCATAGATTAAATTTTTAAAAACCAACTCTGAATTTTCTCTGCAACTTGGGGCAAGTTTTTTAATCTCTCTTCTGCTCTGTCAAATGTCATGCCAACCTCATTGCAGTGTTACAAAGATTGCACTTTGTGCATTGTGGCTGCTTAGTATCATTTATAATTGTGACTATTTGTACAGTTTTTGTCTATCAGAACTTGTGACAATCATGTAAACAGTTTTTCAAAATCCATTTTATTAATCAGGTGGTTGCCTAGGAATTATTAAAATAACACTCACCTTCAAAGAAACAAGATATTTATTTATAAAATAAGACATTTCTATTAGTGAATTTCTCTTTTACTATTTGTATGTAAGAACATTATTTCTTATAAATAACTGCTATGGACTGGTGTTTAAAAATGTGGAACGTGTGTTTATCAATTCAATGATAGAAGAAATTAAGTAGACTTAATTAAGAAGTGAGGTTTTTCTATGGCTCTCTCACCTAGTACTAGCAGTATTGGATTTATGCTAATATTATATTTCTTATATAATTGTTTATCACAAACATAATTATTTTTATCTGAAATCATGCAAATATAATATTACAGAGACATAAAATAAAATTTCATAATTTAGATCATCACCCCACTAATTTTTCTTAATTTTTATAAAAATCAAAACTAAAGATATTTTAGAAAATTAAAGGGTTTATTTTTTTTCTATTTTTCTTTCATTTTTCTTTCCTTTTTTTTCCTTCTTTTTATAAAGTTTTTTCTTTTCCCTTTATCTGAAGTGTGGAATTAAACATATTTGTAAATTTTACTTATTTTAGGATGGCAGTATAACACATCAGATTTCTAGGCCTAATCCTCCAAATTTTGGTCCAGGCTTTGTCAGTAAGTATAAATCTAATAAGTCACATGTTTTCTGGGGTTGCTTGTTTGACTTGTGTTTGTGCTGTTCTGAGCAGTTGGAGTTAGTTTAGGAGTGCTGCCTTCACCTGAGGTTCTCCTTTTTTAACAGGCATCCCTCCCTGTTAGGGTTGTCTTCTGCAAGGCATGTATTTTCGTTGCTTTTTTTCACCATGCATGAAGAATTAGAAATACGTATTTTAATACAGAAAAGTCATCTTCCCCATTCTCTTCAAAACTGTTGTTGCTGTTTTTGTTTGTAGATTGGGCACTTTACAGTCTGTAGAATTAGAACACCATTTGCTCTCATGACAGTCTACCTAAGTGACAGGGATGCTAACTGGGAAAGACAAAGGGCGTATGCTCAGAGAGAAGCTAGTTTGCAGCATGGTGTGAAGGTCAAGTAAGCAGGATGCCCCTGAGTCCTTTCTAGTTAACCTCAGGGGTCCCAAGGTGGTTCAGGATAGTATTTAAAAGTTCTGCCCAAACTGAACCTTTTGAAATCTTCAGACTGTTTAGCTAACTTTTTTCACCATTATCTTTCATTTTGCTCACCTCTGCTCTCCTGGTTCCAGAAACCAGAAAGGCTTTCCTTGCGGTAGGTCTCATTCTACCAGAAGCAGAACTTCTGAAACCTTGTGAAAAAGCCTGTTCTTGAAAAATGCCCTTCAAATTTTATAGACTAGATTTCAAGTTCATACATGTGCTGGAACTTCTGGGTTTAGGAACAAACCCAAAGTTTGACCTTTTGGAATTCCCCTGCACTAATTATGATTATAATTTGAATAATATTTGCATTAAAAACATCTACTGTAACCAACTGGCTTTTTCTGGCTTTATTGTGCCCATTGGCTTTGGTTGGATTCTTAATGTATGATGATATTGTTATCATTGATGTTATTTTCAGATGTCCTTCTAGGATTGTATTTCTTTCTTTGTCTTGCTGTGAGTCAAAGAGGTATACTCACAATTTTTCACTACATGAGATGACCCCCTACACTTTTTTTGGGGTGGGGTGGGGTTGGCATCAATGGAGTAAAGTGCCCTTAGAAAGTGAGGAGGGGAGTGGAGTGTTGGTGCAAGAGGAAGAGAAGTGACTGTCTGGGGAGATACAGCCGCAATCCTAGGAGTAGAAAAGATTTTACTTGCTTAACTGTTCCCTCCCCTTATTTATAGAGATGTAAGTTACAAAATCAATAAAACAAATTACCAGTGTTTTCAATTTATGGATGTCCTTTATAAAAAGTAGGTTTCACATTGGTCCTTCACATTGGATCCAATATTGTGAATCCCCCCACCACCCTGGTTTTGTGTATTTTTTTCACTAGTAAGGAAGAGGGCAAGCTTTATAAATTAAGGGAAATTCAATGGGAAATGATTACCTGGTCCATTCTCTGGACCTTAATAGGACAGACTTAACTTTGTCTCTTCAAAATTGGTAAAGTTGAATTCATAAACATATAACTTATTGTTTGACTTTTGGGTTAGATCATTTGATAGTCTTGTAGGTAGAAAGCATTTCATTTCTACGATTGTGTTTTGTAGTATTTATAAGTATTAACTTAACCAGTGTCCTAAGTATGTATTTTCTGGTTTCCTTCATTAAATGTTTTTCTAAACTCTTCTACTTTATAATTACATAATAATCTAATATTTAGAATCCTGTTTTCAAATTTTCTATTAAATGATTATGATGAAACTGTGTTTCCTTACAAAATAGATTTGTGTAACTCTTGATGATAATCTCAGGCCCTTTAGAAAATAAACACAGATGAATTTTTTATTTTTCCCTCAGATGACTCACAACGTAAACAGTATGAAGAATGGCTTCAGGAGACCCAGCAGCTTCTTCAGATGCAGCAGAAGTATCTTGAAGAACAAATTGGTGCACATAGAAAATCTAAGAAGGCCCTTTCAGCTAAACAGCGCACTGCCAAGAAGGCAGGGCGAGAATTCCCAGAAGAGGATGCAGAGCAGCTCAAGCATGTTACTGAGCAGCAAAGCATGGTTCAGAAGCAGCTGGAGCAGGTAACAGATAGGTTGTTGGATGGAAGCCTTCAGCACCAGAGTGATGTGTGATGTGTGGCTCACTGGGAGCGCAGGGTCCTGGTTGGTATTAAATGTCATGTGTAAGTACATTGCCTGGGCACTGCTTATTAACCACAGCCATAACAACCCCAGTCCTCTCCTGAGAGTGGCCATCCAAGCACATAGGTACTAACTGCCATGGAGAGATCAGTTTTCATAGTTCTGATTTAGAAGAACTATTTTTATATTTTTAGCAACCCTAGGATCTTCAAAGAAATTCTATTATTTACTCTGCACTAAGAAATCACTCTACGCTCCTGTGTCATCTAAGAGTCTTTGGTGTGTGTGTTTGGTGGGGTTGTTGGTGGATATTTAACTCAAGGGTGCTTTACTACTGAGCTATACCTGCAGCCTTTCTTTATTTTTATTTTGAGACAGGTTCATGATAAGTTGCTGAGGCTGGCCTTGAACTTGGGATCCTCCTGCCTTGACTTCTCAGTTTCTGGGATCACAAGCTATGCCCTATTCCTGGCTACAGTGTGTGACTTTTTTGAGAACATGGTTCACAGGGAGATTCTAGATGGAAGTAGAATTAGGGATGAGAAATATGCTTTCTGTAGGCGTTGACCTTTTTTTACTACCTTGGGTTCCTTGGTTTCCAGTGGAATTTCAGATACAACATTTGAATTGTTCTGGTAGTTCTTATGCTTTTTAAATTATTTTTTTCTTAGTGTTTTGGTTTTAAAATACATTGGTATATCTTATGTAAGTGACTCAGTTTTGAAAAATGAATCCTTTTTGCTGTTATCTTGCATTATACACCAGAAATTTCTTAAGATATTAAAGCTGAATAATTATACTGAAAAGAAAAATTCTCTTTAAAACAAAGTATTCACAGTGATTTTAGAGCGCACACCTAGGTATTTACCCAAGCCCCCCCTCCCAAAAGAAAAACACCTTTAGGTTTGCGCAAAAACCTCTACATGAATATTTATATTCATTGAAAACTGGAATGATTGGCTGGTCACATTGGTACCTGTTTAGCTCCCACCACTCAGGTGGCTGAGGTAGGAGCATCTCTTGAGCCTATGAGTTCAAGACCAGTGTGGGCAACATAGAAAGACCCACATCTCAAAAAAATGACCCCCACCCCAAAGATGAAAGGTTAAAGTGTGGTACCCCATACAGTGGAATCCACACAATGTTAACAATTGAGCTTCTGATAGATGCAGTCAACTTGAATCTCAAGAGCATTATGCTGAGGAAATCCCAAAAGGTTTATGTACTGGTTCTAATTGCATTACTTTCTTGAAATTATAGAATTATAAAGATGAATAATAGCTGAACGATGGCCATGAGTGAGGGATGGAAGAGTATACGATATAAATAAGTGGCATAATGGAGTTTTCAGGAGTCATGGATTGCGTCTCTGTCTTGTGATGATGGTGATATTAATTCCATATGTGTTAAAATTCTTAGATTTATACATCAAAAATTAAACTCTGCCTCTAATTTGTCAATCATAATGTTTACATTACAATTTTAAAGAAAGCCAGGTGTGTTAGTGCTAGAAGGGGACAGAGTATACTGACTCAGCAGAGTTGGAATGCTGCTGTGTTAGGAGCACTTGGGAAATACCCTGCATCTCATCACGTTCAGCCCTGTTTTCTACTTCTGGAAATAATACTGGCACATTTTCCTGATGAGAACTGCTGAGTCAGTCCAGTTTCCGGTGATGTGTTTGTTGCAGGTAGCTAACTATTTTTTTTATGGCTTTGGACTCCAGTCTCCCCTGTAAGCCATAGCTACCAAAATAATATACCAGTGGCAGGTGATTATAATATTGCTATAGTTTAAAACTAGAACCATTATAAAATGAGAAGCTTCTTTTCTTTTTACATTTTAAACTTAAATATTTAGTGTGGGTAAATGTTCTTTTAAAAGTAGATAATTTCATAATTAAGTATATTTAGCACTTTTACTGACTTTGCTGTATCTGTATGAGATGTTTTTGTCAAAGGCCTAGTTTTTGCACATATCCCCATAGATCAGATCCTCTAGAGAAGCTAATACTGCACTTAATTTGAAAAGTGAGACACATTGTTACAACATAGTTGCCTATGACCCAGCCTGATCTCAGAAACAAAGGTAACAAAGGTGGTTGATAGTAAAGTTTTTAAAAGTAGTCAGAAATGCCAGAGGAAAGACATGTGTTTATGTGCATAGAAATCATCCTAGGGTAGATGCTGTTTCAGGTGCTGTGTACCGCACTGACATCAGTGCAGTGCAGTGCAGTGCCTCAGTTCTCACTGGTAAACTGGGTAGAAAAGACAAAGACAAGAAATGAGAAGTCACACAGCTACTAGAGAAAAGACCAAACACCCTTACTTATAGAAGACGTTGGTCTGGCTGGGAAACATAAGAAATTGAAAGTTGAAAAACGACTGTTAGGGCCACTTGGGAAGCACCCTGGCATCTCATCCTGTTCAGCCTTGTTCAGTATATCAGTATAATATTTATTGAAAATCAAGTGATTTTGAAAGATACATAATAATATTTTGCATTCCTTCTTTCCCTGCCTTCCTCATGGCAAGGTCAACAGAAAGATGGACTACTATTTGACTGATATTTTGTCCTAGTACTTGGCGCATTGAGACACAAACATTTTTGGAATGATTGAATTGACATTAGTCATTAATTAGAGCCTGATTAGAAACAATTGATAATATTATCTCAGAGCTTGTATAGGTTTCAAAAATTATGATTTTGAGTATGGTATCCATCAAATACAAAGAATGTTATAAATCTAGTTTTTGGATAGGATATTGTTTGGAGGTTTTTTTAAAATTTTGTTTTATGTACAAAGAGCTAGCATGGTCTCTTTCATTGAGTGGCTGCCTTGAGCAGTCCACTCAAGGAAGATCACTTAGTCCAACTTAACGAGGCCTGTGCCCTTCATGTACAGACGGGAACATTGGTGTGCAGGTTGAGGCTGCATTTCTGGTGAGCAAACATGGCAATTGCAAGAACCCTGTCTGAATTTTCATATTATAATAGACGTATTGATGACCTATTTTGCATTCAAGGGTCGAGGTAAAAGGAGAGAGCTAGGGCATGCCTACAGTCTTCCTACATCTCAGGGAGGAGCGTGGCATACATGCTAGTAGTTCATTTTGTTTAAAATGTACTATTTTGAAAAAAAAAATGTACTATTTTGTATATTTAAGAAGCAAAATTTTAATGTTTAAAAAGTTAAAATTCGAGGTGCTGGGGTTGTGGCTCAGTGGTAGAACACTCGCCTAGCACATGAAAGGCACTGAGTTTAATCCTCAGCATCACATAAAAATAAATAAATTAAAAGTATTATGTCCAACTACAACTAAAAAAATGTTTTAAAATTTTAAATTCGAGTTAAATCTCAAGTTATTCTGACCTTATATATTTGTGTAATTTCTAAGGCCTTATAAATTAGCTGCTTCCTGTATAACTGTGTGCATTGTTTTATCTTTTCAATGGGTAGCTTAAATGATATATAACTTACTTAATACTTATTTCAGATTCGTAAACAACAGAAAGAGCATGCTGAGTTGATTGAAGATTATCGGATCAAGCAGCAGCAGCAGCAGCAGTGTGCACTGGGACCCCCCATCCTAATGCCTGGTGTCCAGCCCCAACCAACCCTGGTTCCAGGTGCCACTCCACCCACCATGAGCCAACCTAACTTCCCCATAGTGCCACAGCAGCTGCAGCACCAGCAGCACACAGCCGTCATCCCTGGCCACGCTAGCCCTGCTCGAATGCCCAGTCTACCTGGCTGGCAACCTACCAATGCTCCTGCTCACCTGCCCCTCAATCCTCCTCGGATTCAGCCCCCAATTGCCCAAATACCAATGAAACCTTGCACATCAGCCCCAGGTACAGTGTCCAATGCAAACCCACAGAGTGGGCCACCACCACGAGTCGAATTTGATGATAACAACCCTTTCAGTGAAAGTTTTCAAGAACGGGAGCGGAAGGAACGTTTACGAGAACAGCAGGAAAGACAAAGAATCCAGTTGATGCAAGAAGTAGACAGACAGAGAGCTTTGCAGCAGAGGATGGAAATGGAGCAGCATGGCCTGATGGGCACTGAGCTGGCCTGCAGGACATCTGTGAACCAGGTTCCATTCTATGGTTCTGACCGTCCTTGCGATTTTATGCAGCCTCCACGACCCCTTCAGCAGTCTCCACAACACCAACAGCAGATGGGGCAGGTTTTACAGCAGCAGAATGTACAACACAGATCTGTTAATTCACCCCCCACCCAAAATTTTACTCAAACCAATGAACGAAGACAGGTGGTACCTCCCTCATTTGTTCCTGATTCACCGTCTGTTCCTAGTGGAAGCCCCAGCTTCCATTCTGTTAAGCAGGGGCATGGAAGTCTTTCTGGAACCACCTTGCAGCAGTCCCCATTGAGGCCCCCATTCACCCCTGCTTTACCAGTAACACCTCCAGTAGCAAACAGCGGCCTCCCCTGTGGCCCAGACCCTACCATAACCCATGGACAGAGTTATCCGGGATCAACTCAATCTCTCATTCAGTTGTACTCTGATATAATCCCAGAAGAAAAAGGGAAGAAGCGCAGAACAAGGAAGAAGAAGAAAGACGATGATGCAGAATCCACCAAAGCACCATCAACTCCTCACTCAGATACGACTGCTCCCCCAACACCAGGCATCTCAGAAACTGCTTCCACTCCCTCGGCAAGCACACCTGGTGAGCGTCCTCAGCAGGGAGAGGAGACAGGGCAACCAGGGGGCCCTTCACCTGCCAGTGTGGCAGCAGCCCAGCCATGTGCAGAGTTGGAAAACAGACTTCCCAGTAATGATTTCTCACAAGGAGCTCCAAACCCACAGACTTATGCAAATTCGGAGGTGGATGAGCTCTCCATAGAAACCCTTGCCAAAAGTGAAGAAGTGAAACTGGAAAAAGCTGAATCAGAGCCATGCCCGGGTCAAGAGGACACTAAATTGGAGGAGCAAACTGGTAGCAAGGAAGCAGACACTGCAGCTGGTCCTGTCTCCTTGGTGCAGAGTCCTCCCCATTTGGCTGGAGTCCATGTTACCAAAGGAGAGTCAGGGAATGAACTTCTAAAACACTTGTTGAAAAATAAAAAATCATCTTCCCTTTTAAGTCAGAGATCAGAGAGCAGTTTCTGTTCAGAAGACAACAGTGCAAAGGATAACAAACTGGTAGACACACAGAACCCAGTGGAAGGATTGGTAAGTGTGAATCATGAAAACAACTACTTTTTGTTTTGTTTTAAATTATACCTATCCCGGATTCCAATGGCTTATCGTTTTCAATATGGTTCTGCAACCTTTTAACTCTAAAGACCCACTGTATATTTTGTTGTTTCTATCTCCATGGAATCTGTTTTTTTACTTAACCTATAAACAATAATAAGTAATATTTTGTTTATTTAAAAAAAAAAAAAGACATGGCTTGCAGTTTCATGCATAACATGTCTTTCTGCTGGTTACCACACTGAGCTCATCTAACTTAAGAAAGGAGATAAATGTGCCTGGATTTTAAACAAGCATGTAATTTCCATTAACCTCTTTAAAATGTGGAAGATGGTTCTTGTAACCCTGTTAATGTCCTCAAATGCTCAGGGATCACCCACTCTGGAAACCATGTTGTCATCACTAATTAATATTGTACAGCTATAATCTTACATGTCAACAGTGTTTCATTGTGGTTTTCTCACTATCAGTATTCTACTTATTTGAAGTTATCAACATTGGATTTGCTTTTGTTTTTCATTTGTAAGAAGAGCTTAATTGCAAATATGACATCAAGCTCTGCAACTGGTTGTTTTCACCCTTGAGAATAATGCCTAAAAAAGAGGGAATAATATTTTTAGAAAACAGTCAAAACCTTTGGCACCACTATACGTCTTCCCTCCCTAGATTTTGGTACTGTGTTAGGAATAAGATCCATAGATTTGAACAGGTCGGGCATAAACTAAGACTCAAACGTGTTGATAGTTCACTTACTTTTAACTTTCCAATTACATTAGCAAACTTTGGGGGCTCAAATGCAAGGTGATTTTGGATGTGGCAACAACCAGTTGCCAAAAACAGATGGAGGAAGTGAAATCAAGAAACAGCGAAGCAAACGGACTCAGAGGACTGGGGAGAAGGCGGCACCTCGCTCAAAGAAAAGGAAAAAGGATGAAGAGGAGAAGCAGACCATGTACTCCAACTCCGACTCCTTCACCCATCTGAAACAGGTGAGTCTTTCAGAGCAGCCACCTTAAAACTTGTAGGAAGTAAGAGCGCAAGTGCTTTTCAGCCTGTGAAATCCAGCTTTCTCTTTATTTTGATGATTTCCAAATTAAAGTAGAGAGCTACAAGAATAAAGGACACCTGGACTAGAAACCCAGTAGATTTCCTCTTTCCAAGCAATATTGTACCTTATCATCTTGGCCCCTGAAATTCACAGCACAGTAGACAGATCAGTTAAGCGATGGTCAGGAGCAGCCTTGGCACCAGGAAAAACTATCCTCACTTCTTGTGACTGCAGCCACAGGACTCTGCTCATCTAAACTCTACTCTTCCGCATCTATGGTGGTTACAGAGCAGGGAGATGGCTCCTGACTGCTGCTGGTGGTGCCTAGCCTCAGCTCAGGCCTGATTTCTTGCCGAGCAAAGGGGAGGAACCTGTATTTCTTGAGACACCTTGGTAACATCCTTTTAGGACAGATGAGAACAGAGCTTATTTTGGAGCTCATTATTTCTCTCTCCAACATTTTGATACTTCAAAATTTTAAGTCTCATTTTTCTCACGTCTTATTTGCCTAAATTGCTTCGGGTCTTAGGAAGTTGAGGAACACTCAGTTTTGCTTATCGTGTACATTACTCTTAAATGTGTTTTTTAATAGCAGCTCTCTCTGCTCCCTCTAATGGAACCGATCATTGGAGTGAACTTTGCGCACTTTCTTCCTTATGGCAGTGGCCAATTTAATAGTGGGAATCGACTTCTAGGAACTTTTGGCAGTGCCACCCTTGAAGGGGTTTCGGACTACTATTCTCAGTTGATCTACAAGGTATGTTTCTTCACCAGGGTGTTGCCTTGCTTCATCTTTGGATGCCTTATCACAGTTGGTGGAGTGTGTCTTGGTTTTGCACCTAGTTTACATCTAAAAAACAGCCAACAGATAAGAATTTTACCTGGTGAGGTAGTTCTCACACGAATACTTGAAAGTTTCTCCAGGGCTCACTGCCTCCTGTACCTTCCCATAAGAGTCCTCTGAATCCCCTGAAGTTAGAGCTCTTGGAGCTAACTCCTTGGTCTTCTTTGGGGCCAGCTTTGAGTGAACCAGATTCCTTCCCACCCCCAGCCCCCCAAAAAAGATATTTTCTGTAGGTAAGAATACAAATTTTAAAAGTTTCCATGGTAAGGGAAATACAGGTTCCTTATAACCTTTATTATATTATAAAATGAATTCAAATTCCTAGTAAATACTGGGATTTTTAAAAAGTGGTTAAGGTCAGGTTTGGTGGTACACACCTGCAATGCCAGCAACTCAGGAGGCTGAGGCGGGAGAATCACAAATTCAAGGCCAGCCTCAGCAGCTTATTGAGACCCTAAGCACTTAGTAAGGCCCTGTCTCAAAAATAAAAAGGATTGGGGATATAGCTCAGTGGTAAAGCACCTATGGTTTCAATCCCTAGTATTTAATAAAAGGGAAAAAAAAAAGGTTAGCCTTTTACCTTGAAAAATGAAATTAAAACGTTCTAAATACATTTTATCTGATAATTCTGACACTAGTTGCTAGGCTATTAAAATACTATAAAACCAAATCAGTTTATCTTTTGGTATTACTTTTCTAACAGTTTCATAATGGCATCTCACACACACCTTCAATTCACATCTGACTTATTTTAAAAGATCATTTTTGCAAAGTGTTTGAGAGTATTTTCCTGAGGTCTTCTCTTCTGACTTTAATATTTGAAAACTTCTCTCATGCTCCCTCTTCTGTCCATGTGGGCTGTTCTTCAGTTACAAACCCTCTCAGTGCAAGATGTTTATCACCATTACTTCATGAACTTAATGAAATCCCATAAATCTTTGCAAGATTTAATTCCACTCTACTTTTGATTTGCATGGCATTGTGGTAGATTCCAACGTTCCTTGAGATGATAAACAATAAGTGGCAAGTTGGTGGAAAATATTAAACTGGGAGAGATGTTTGAAAAACCTGTTAATATATTTGGTCCTTATAGCACTTTGTTACTCCTTTTGCCTTTTTTTTTACGAGATCTTGAACAATCAGATCTTAAGTTGCAATTAAAGTTTAGGATTACAAATTCTTCAGTTTTTCATAGAACTAGGGCATATCTTTATGAGAATTTAATAAAATAAATTTTTAGAACTTATTACAATTTATTAGAGTTTTAAAGCTGTCTTTTACTAATTGTTATAACCATGAAATCTGAAAAGGAGTAGCATACAATAGTCTCAGACCTAATGGAAATTTGCTTCTTCATTGCAAAGCTAAGTACTCAAGCTCCAGGTCCAATAAGCAAATGGATCATAATGTATCCACAAAATCATAAGTGGTAGTTCTGCAAAACCCCTTCTAGCTTTATATGTATATTTTTCTTCCTGGTGTGCATTTGGAAATGAAGATGCAACTTGAGTACATTTTTGTAGCCTTGCTTCTATTTGCTAAAAATTCACAGAACTAGGTATTAGCAAGCTCGTTGCATATTTGCTCAGTAGCATATAATTTAAAATTTTTTGGTCTCCTGCAGCAGAATAATTTAAGTAATCCTCCAACACCCCCTGCCTCTCTTCCTCCTACACCACCTCCTATGGCTTGTCAGAAGATGGCAAATGGTTTTGCAACAACTGAAGAACTTGCTGGAAAAGCTGGAGTGTTGGTGAGCCATGAAGGTATGATTGTGCCTCAATGTTTTATACCTATGATAAGTGAACCTTTACCAGCTGTGTCTGGTACAGTGACAGTAGTACTGTCCAGTGCTGTCTGCTTATCAACTTTCACTAGATGTACTTATGGTTTTATATGTTGGCTTTTGCAGTTACCAAAGCTCTAGGACCAAAGCCGTTTCCACTGCCCTTCCGGCCCCAGGACGACTTGCTGGCCAGAGCTCTTGCTCAAGGCCCAAAGACAGTCGATGTTCCAGCATCTCTCCCAACACCACCTCACAATAATCAGGAAGAATTAAGGTACAAGTGAATTTTTTTCTTAAATTGTTGATATTTCTTTTTCTTATGTACTTAGTATAATGTGTAAAGAAATAGTATATAAAAACATTGGATAGGTAAAATTTGGATAATGTTCTTGAGCTTATTAATTTTATAAGACATTGTTACTACCAGATATATTATGTATTTTTAAAATCTTGCATAATTTAGAGAATTCAACAAATGGTAATTGAACAGACATTAAAGCAATGAAAGACCTTCATGGGAAGGATTTCAAAGATCACCGTCGTCTGCAGGCTGTGAGGGTCATGTGCTGGGTGCACTGATGCTCATGGATGTCTGAAGGAAAGATAAGCACCTGCAGTTACTAGAGTGCTGCTGTGCAGAGAGCTTGTCACCAATTTGTGTTAATTCTTTGACTCCAGGATTGTGATTGGGGAGAATCAGGTTCCCATAGTAGTTAATCAACACCCAACTAGTTAGTTCCAAGGAGTTGAGATATACTTCAAGTTTTTATCTTTTCCTTGGAAAATCTGGCATAATAACTTCTATTTGATGAGACATCCACTGACTCTCAGTCTCTTACTTTACTAATGAGAAAACTGGACCAAAGAAAAGAGCAGCTTGTCGGTTCAGAGTCCAGGTCTTCTTTCTCTTGTACCTCACTGCCGAGAGTAGGCATCATTGCTCTTTTCAGGGGCTGTGAACAGCGGCTTGCTGGGCATGGTGTTTGGTGACCCAGCACAGTGTCTGCTCCAACCCTGGACTTCATAGGATGCTGTGCAGAAGCCTTTCTCAGGTCTCCGTCAGCATGAGCGGGAGGCATGGGAGACAGACAGCAGTCCCAGGAATAGTCTGCAGCTGTTAGTCTGGGACTTCACCATTTCCCTGGTGGATCCAGGTCCTAGACTAGACAGGAGGGACCACTTTCTTCTTTTTTCACCTTACTTTGTCAGTTAAGAAAAAGAAGTATCTGTGAAGCCACAGCACCCAGGTTTTCTCCCCTCTTGCCACGGTAAGCAACAGCAGCCAGATGGCTGTTTTCACAGCCACTGGCTGTTGGCTTGCAGCTGTGATGCTGAATGTGTGCATGGATTCCTCCTTCCTGTTCAAGTAACAGGAGGCTTCCTTAGTCTCAGTGACCTGGAGTTTTGCAGAGGTGTTAGTATTCATCTTCCTCTTTGGCAAGTCTTTAAACTTTGATACTGAAGCTTTGGTCAGAAGGAAACACAGCTGTTTACACTATTTCATAGCTAAACCTGTTTATATTTTTCCCAAGAGAGTCCTTGTTTGACCTTGAGCTGATTGATTTGCTGCTTATGTTATTGCCATTGATCACTCAGAGAGCATCCTTGTTGTGGGATACATGGAGTTGGTTTGAGAAGGCCCTGTGGTGGGTTTGCATGCTATGATGTGTGTGTGCTCCTCTTCCAGGATACAGGATCACTGTGGTGATCGGGACACTCCTGAGAGCTTCGTTCCCTCGTCCTCTCCTGAGAGTGTGGTTGGAGTGGAAGTGAGCAGGTATCCAGATCTGTCATTGGTCAAGGAGGAGCCTCCAGAGCCAGTGCCATCCCCCATCATTCCGATTCTTCCTAGCACAACTGTGAAAAGTAAGACCACTTAGCCTCTTTACCTCTTCATTTCTCGCTGGTTTCCTATTATCATATTTTGACCTTGAAGAGTCATTAACGTGTCTTTCTCTCCCCTACCTCCACTCCTTTCAAGGTTCAGAATCAAGAAGGAATGACATCAAAACTGAGCCAGGCACTTTATTTTTTACATCACCTTTTGGTTCATCCCCAAATGGTCCCAGATCCGGTCTCATATCTGTAGCAATTACCCTGCATCCTACAGCTGCTGAGGTAAAGATGAAATGACTTCTTGATGCCATGGAGTATGTCCCATTATTGAAGATATTGATGGTTGACATAAATTGCAGTCACCGAGAACAAAAGATAAAGTTGAGGGTAGGGTGAATGGGCATTTAGTCCTCTAGGCTGCTTCTGAGCACTGGCATTAGCAGGAGATTGATCTTAACCAAAGTCAAGGCAGAAAGGGATGTTGGAGTCCACATGTTCCTATTAAAAGATATGTACATTTAGAGAGGCACTTTTTCAAAACTTAAGGCTGCAGAAAATTAACCATCAATAAAGAATGTTATCAGCAATAAAAGTTTTGCAGAAGTAGTAGAAAAGTCTTTTTTAGGTAGCAGCTGCTATGTCAAATACTAGTGAGTTGCTGAGGATTTTTAAATCTTTATAAACTGAATTCTGCAGAGACATTTTATTGGAGACCAAGCTCATAATGCTATATCACAATATTTTGGTCGTTAACAGAATAGCATTCTTGTGGACTGTTTCACACTTTTGGCCAGAGCTGACTGGTCACCCTGTGATGTGAGCTTGCTCTGAAAACTTTTGAAAAAGGTCAGCTTATCCCTTATGCTCAGGTCTTTATACCTTTCAGGTATTAAGAGAGCTAAATGGCTTAATGTGCTCCCAAGTTGCTCGTATTAGTTGAAATGTCCTCCTGAGGGTCTCTGTTGATGAAGACTTCACTTGTATATTGGTCCATTAAAATGTGTCCCATCACCTCCCCAAGACTCTCAAGTCTAAATAAAAATTGTTGGATTTCCTTGCCCTTTACGCACCAGGCAGACTGCATCCACCCCAAGTGTGTTTCTCTTCAGAGTGGTGGTGCGCTGTGGCCTTCTGGGTGACTAACACAGGCTTTGCGTTTTGTTTTAGAACATTAGCAGTGTTGTGGCTGCGTTTTCCGACCTTCTTCACGTCCGAATTCCTAACAGCTATGAGGTTAGTAATGCTCCAGATGTTCCATCCATGGGTTTGGTCAATAGCCACAGAATAAACCCAGGTTTGGAGTATCGACAGCATTTACTTCTTCGTGGGCCTCCACCAGGATCTGCACACCCTCCCAGATTAGCCAGCTCTTACCGGCTGAAGCAGCCTAATGTACCATTTCCTCCAACAAGCAATGGTGAGCTAGTGAGCTTTTTGTTAATCCCAAATCCATTCTTGACTCAAAATTAAGCTTATTCTTTTTAAAGTCTCAATTTAATTTTCAACAAGTAACAGGCACCGTGCTGGTGTGAGTCCTTGGCTAATTAGCCTTGCTGGGCGGTCTGTTTTCTGTAGTGTGGTGCAGCCACTTGTGCTGTGGTGTGTGGTGTCTTGCTGTCAACCAGGGAGTGTTGAGTGTAGCTGTCTGCAGGCTGTTGGAAGAAGCCTCTGACTTGCTCACCCTTAAGCAGCTTCTGTTCTTCATGTCCCTGAAACCTGTGCCACTGACGGCCTTCTCCAAGTGGTGCTGATAAGGCTGCCAGTCTGACGTGTGTTGCTTGTCTTCTCTTCCTTCTCTCTTCCCCTTGTCTGCATCTACACTGCCCTTGCAGGGCCACCCTCTTCCCAGAGGGACATTCCTGCCCATTACTGAAAAACCACACTCCTGCCTCAGGCCATGCTGGGACCAGCCTACTTTGTCATGTCTCCCTGCTCGCCAGTTTCCTTGGGATCTTTTTTCTGTCGTTACCCTTCTAGAATCTTGTAGCTCCTCAGTTCTCATCTTTAAAGTATTTTTGAGAGCATCCATGCTGCAGTTTGGAATTCTTAGCTGGGAGCTGCTTCTGTCACCCGTGTTTTTCCTGGTTCTTTCTGTCATCTCCCATCCACCTCCCCCATCCCAGAGATGTTCTGAATAGACTCCAAATCCTGAACTTATATTTTAACTTGGTCTTGGGTCTTTGCTTTCTTTCTTTCTGATGTTCCAAGTCATGCTTATTTAAATTTCCTCTGCACATTTCTCTTTATTGTTCATGAAATGTTTTAGTGGCACCTTAACCTCAAACGACAGAAATCTCTCTTCCTCCTCCACTCACTGAGTGCCTTGATTGAATACTAATATATCTTGGTGACTTAGTTTTGTTATTGTTTCATGCTAGCATTGTTTCCCCAGTTGTTTGAGAATAAACGTGTTTCTTTATTTGTACTCCAGTCACATTATTTTTTATCAAAGAATATAAAGTAAGTTGAACCAAGGTCAGTACAGTGTAATCTGATGCCTTATGTCACTGGTCAGTTTTAATTACTAACAAAAGTTGGTTGCCTCTAGGTCTGTCTGGATATAAAGACTCTGGTCATGGTATTGCAGAAAGCACAGCACTCAGACCACAGTGGTGCTGTCACTGCAAAGTGGTTATCCTTGGAAGTGGTGTGCGGAAATCTTTCAAAGACGTGGCCTTCATGAACAAGGTACTGTGCCTTCTGTCTCCACCCCCAACCCCCACCCCTGGAGGTGTCAGTGGCACTGACTGCTCTTCCACCTGGGAGGGGCCCCATGTTCCTGGGGTGACATGAGTATGTTGTCCTCAGGGCTTCAAGCCAGGCAGCTCCAGCAAACTGCAAAGTTGTTTGTGATAAGGACCACAGTTCTGGATAGTGAAATAGGGATGATATAGTTTGCACATTTCTAGGAGAATATAATTATATGCTAAAGATTGGGAGATGGTCACCTTATTTTTAAAATCAAGAAACTTTTTAACATAATGTAAAAATCACAGTCAACATGGAGAGCCTCTTTTATATATATATTTTTAGTTGTAGATGGACACAATAACTTTATTTTATTTTTATGTGGTGCTGAGGATCTAAGCCACTACCTCTCACATGTGAGGCGAGCACTCTACCACTGACTGAGTTATGCCCCAGCCCTATGTCCTCTTTTTAGTAAGAGGATTTTATTAAGTTTTGACTTGTTGAGACGCCCCCCCCACCACACACACACACATTTCTCTCTACTTTTCAGGATTCTCGAGATAGCACCAAGAGAATGGAGAAGGACATCGTCTTTTGTAGTAATAATTGCTTTATTCTTTATTCATCAACTGCACAAGCAAAAAACTCAGAAAACAAGGTAATGTTAGTGCATTAATCTCTGGTAAACAATATGTAGTGAGTGGTTTTGTGTGTTCCAAGTATATAATAGTGAGTAGAAGAGATGTGTCCCTGCCTTGCAGAGCTCTGAGGGAGGGTCCCGGTGCCGCTCACTGCCTTGATGAGGGAAGGCGGCAGCCTTGCCTTTGCTGCTCTTCCACGTGCAGCGAGGGAGTGGGCAGATGAGTCTACGTTCTCAAAGTTCAGAACTAAGTAGAACACTAATACTGAAATCTTGATCCTTACAAATTATGAATCTCTGCAAAATTACAGATTTTTAAGTCTTAATTAACATTTAAAAATACTTTTATTAATATTACTTCAATAGGAAAATTTGTTCAAAAATAAAACTTAAGTCTATTCATGTACTGTGAGAGAAAGCATTTGGCTCACGCCAAGTTGTTTTACTTGATGTAAGTAGTCTGGGTATGTAGTTGATGCAAGTGATATTGTTAATTATATGTTTTGAAAGAAATTTTATCTCGTAAGCAAGACTACTAGTCATGGCTTTCACAGGAGAACATGTTGAAGAGGCTTCTTGCTAACAGGCAATAGTCCTCACTATAATAAAATCCAAGCCATCTGACAAGTAAATTTGGACTTTAAATTTAAATACCCTAGCCTAGGTGAGGAGGTTGTCACCAGGTAGCTTCTTAGGCTGGTGTGCAGTAGCTGCCCACTTTGGGATCCTGGATGAGGCCTTGCTCTTTTCAGTTACCTTTTAGGATGTGGCATGTGAGCAGAAGGACTGTGTGGTTTTGGTGTTCATTACTTTGTGGCAGCCTGGCCCAGCTCTGAGCAGCTGGTCCAAGTGAGGAGCCTAGACACCTGGGCAGGATCTGCTCTTTGGCAGAGAGCCTCTTCCCCATTAATTCCACCTGAGAATAGTGGACAGAAGTGGAGTTAAACTCTTGCCAAATGACATCGCCACATGACACTGTTCTGTTGTACAAATTAAATTAGCTAGAACTTCTGATGGCACTGATTTTTCCAGCTTTTTATAATGGGGAAGGGGAATGTCCAAGAGGGCTTAAGGGGTGAGCATTCTGTAAATGACAACTGTGAAAAAGGCATAGATAGAACCACCCTGGCTGCCCCGCCTTCTCCATTTCTCCAGTAGGACTCTGCCAGCTTCCACTAAGCCCGAAACCTCATGTACCCCATCTTCTCATCAAGTCAGACCCCTGTTAAACCAGCTGCTTGGCTTCTTGCTGAAGTAGAACTACTTTTAGGGCATGTGAGTCACTCTCTTCTTTTTCCTCCATGGCTGCTGCTTACGGCCAGGAATCCACTCCTTCGTTGCCACAGTCACCCACGAGAACGATGCCATCCAGAGTGTTTCACCAGTACAGCAACAACATCTCCACACTGGGTGTGCACTGCCTCCCTCAGCTCCAGGAAGAAACTTCCCCCCCTCCTTCACCGCCCATCACCTTCCCTCCGGCCTTTGAAGCAGCTAAAGTAGAAGCCAAACCCGATGAGCTTAAGGTGACAGTCAAGCTGAAACCTCGGCTCAGGACTGTTCATGGTGGGTTTGAAGACTGTAGGCCACTGAACAAAAAGTGGAGAGGAATGAAATGGAAGAAATGGAGCATTCATATTGTCATCCCCAAGGGGACATTTAAACCACCATGTGAGGATGAGATAGATGAGTTTCTGAAGGAATTAGGCACTTCTCTTAAACCTGACCCTGTGCCCAGAGACTGTCGGAAGTGTTGCTTCTGCCACGGAGAAGGGGATGGGCTGACAGACGGGCCTGCGAGGCTGCTCAACCTTGACTTGGACCTGTGGGTCCACTTGAATTGTGCCCTGTGGTCCACAGAGGTCTATGAGACGCAGGCTGGTGCCTTAATAAATGTGGAGCTAGCTCTGAGGAGAGGCCTACAGATGAAATGTGTCTTCTGTCACAAGACAGGCGCCACCAGTGGATGTCACAGATTTCGATGCACCAACATTTATCACTTCACATGCGCCATTAAAGCACAATGCATGTTTTTTAAGGACAAAACTATGCTTTGCCCCATGCACAAACCAAAGGGAATCCATGAGCAAGAATTAAGTTACTTTGCAGTCTTCAGGAGGGTCTACGTTCAACGTGACGAGGTGCGGCAGATTGCCAGCATCGTGCAGCGGGGGGAGCGGGACCACACCTTTCGTGTTGGGAGCCTCATCTTCCACACGATTGGTCAGCTGCTTCCTCAGCAGATGCAGGCGTTCCACTCGGCTAAGGCTCTCTTCCCCGTGGGCTATGAGGCCAGCCGCTTGTACTGGAGCACGCGCTATGCCAACAGGCGTTGCCGCTACCTCTGCTCCATTGAGGAGAAGGACGGGCGCCCAGAGTTCGTCATCAGGATTGTGGAGCAAGGCCATGAGGACCTCGTCCTGAGTGACACATCACCGAAAGGTCAGGCCTCCCACCTACATGCTCTGCAGAGCCAGGGGCTCGATGTTAGGCTGATGAATGCTTTTCACATCGACATTTTTTGTGGGGTGGGGTGGGGTGGGGTGGGATACCAGGGATTGAACTCAGGCACTCAACCACTGGGCCACATCCCCTGCCCTATTTTGTATCCTCACGTTCAGTTCATGTAACAGCAGATGAGTAGTTTTCATTTACAGATGCGGATCTTGGCCTTCTTGTATTATACCTTGCTATTTGCTATACAGTTTTCTAAGCACTTTTGTAGTCAACATGTATTTGAGCATAAAAGGTTGGTAAAATAAATCTGAGAATAATTTGTAGGTAAAGGTTACCTGCCATTTACCTTGGGGTGTGGGGGCGGGGGTCCTCTTCCTTCTTTCTTTTAAGTACTGGGTATTTTTAAAGTCCTGGTGCTCACTGAGCCACATCCCCAGTCCTTTTTATTTTTTATTTTGAGACAGGGTCTCATTAAGTTGCTTAGGCTGACCTTGAACTTGCAATCCTCCTGCCTTGGCCTCCTAAGTTGCTGGGATTGCAGGTGTGTACCGCTGTGTCCCAATGGGGACCTTCTTAGTGTCAGTTTCTAAAAGGCAGCAACCATATATGAAGTGAACTGTGTATGTTTTCTCAACATCACAGAAGCATCAGATATCATACAAGTTCAGAGCTGGGAACTAGACACTTAATTTTGACTCCAGGGTAAGTCTGATAAGTCATTTTTATTGATGCAGAAAGCACTGGACAGCTGCATTTTAAAAATTGACCATTTTATTAAAAATGTATGAAATGCTCTAAAGATATTCCTAAGAAAATTGTCAATTTCACATTTTAATTTAGATTTGAGGAGAAAGGAACATATATCTACAGATATTATGTATTGGATTAATCATTTTGAAACTAGTATGTTGTTTAATCAGTAAGAAAGTGGATTAGCTAGTTGCATGAATCTCAGTTATCTTAAAGTAACCTTTTTACTTTTACTCTTTATCCATAATGTAACGTTATTTTCCCCCCAATTTCATAAAGTCTTTAAATTGCTGTCACTTAGTAAACAGGTCTGTTAGATTGCTGTCTGTGAGGGGCTGGGCTTCATTCTCTGGGTTTGTGCTTCCCTTGCTTTTCTCCCTGCTTAGCTAAGAGTGAGGTCGTCATAGAAATCACCTTCCTGTCTGCATGCAGGTGTCTGGGATAAGATCTTGGAGCCTGTGGCCAGTGTGAGGAAGACGTCTGAGATGCTCCAGCTCTTCCCTGCCTACTTGAAAGGAGAAGACCTGTTTGGCCTGACTGTCTCCGCAGTGGCACGGATAGCAGAATCAGTGAGTACCTAACTCACGGTCCAGAACAGGAACTGCCTTCTAATTCAGTGGAGCCAGTTGACCACACCATGGCAGGATTTGTGCTTTTCAGAGCAGGATTTTGCTTGTGGGTTGACCCCTGTATCTGGAGGAAAACAGGCACTAATGACAAAGGGAAGACCTCAGTGCAGTATTTCCCTCTCCTCAAAGAAGCTCTGGTCAGTCCTCAGGGTCTCTTCCAGCCCAGAGGCTAGCCAGGGTGGAGGACGCCAGCTGTCATGTCTTCGCTGTCTACGTGGATGGGGAAACCCTCTTCCCTGGCCTTCCGAGGTTCTGCACTTGAGAATGTTGGGGTTCCCTTTTCCTGGCTCTGCATATTTGTGGCCACTCTCCTGGCCTCTTCCTGGGGTCAGTCTCCAGAGGGCAGCAGGCTATAGCAGCGCTTGGTAGAAGGCTCCTCTGGCTCTGTTCAAAAGATAACAAGTGAGTTTGGCAGTGAGGCTGTCTGAACCATGGGTACATAATACTTCTGGAAAATCACATGTTGATAAGGCATTGTATATTTTGGGGGGTATCAGGGATTAAACACAGAGGTGCTTAACCACTGGACTACATCCCAGCCTTTTTTATTTTGAGACAGGACCTTGCTAAGTTGCTCAGGGCATTGCTAAGTTGCTGAGACTGGCTTTGAACTTAAATCTTTCTACCTCAGCCTCCTGAGCTGCTGGGATTATAGGTGTGCACCACCACACCCAGCTAAGGCATTGTTTTCAAGAATAAAAATTCACTGGTGTGTTACCTTAGTTGCAGGCCTGATTGCCTCCTTTGGAATACTCCTGCCTATGATGTCTGTCTTCTATGACTACAGAGAAAAATGTTTCACAAGAAATATGTTCTAGAAAAGACCCTTAATGAATACACCTTTAGTTAGTTGCCACTACACTCCTAGGACATCGCGGATGATACCATGTCATATAGTCATGTTTTAAAGAAGAAATATATGATCAAGAAAGCAAGTCATGTTAAAAAAAATCTTAGCAGCTCTTAGTTTTAAAATTCAGATGGAAGAACTAAGTTGTTAGTCCTTCATGCCCTGTGTTTTGGTTGTTGGTCTTGGAACCTGCGGCACGCACATGTGTGCTTGGTTGTATGGGGTTCTGTGGGTTTGACCTTTCTCTTCAGAGAGCACTTGTCAGGGTTTGCTGAGTTCTGCTTTGAAGCTGAGCCGACAAGCTCATGCTCAAATAGATCTGAGTGCAGGCTGATTATGTTTGATAGGTCAAAAGACCATTTTGTTACCTGGAAAAATGTTTGAGTGGTTTTTGTGGTCCCAGTCACATGGTTATCTTTTTGTGTATTTTGCTTCTTTTCAGCTACCTGGGGTTGAGGCTTGTGAAAACTACACCTTCCGCTATGGCCGGAATCCACTCATGGAACTCCCCCTTGCCGTTAACCCCACAGGTTGTGCCCGTTCTGAACCTAAAATGAGTGCCCATGTCAAGAGGTTTGTGTTAAGGTATTTTGTTTTAACTTCACATAGTACAGCCCAGGGTTTCTAGGCGTATTAGCGGTTTTTGTGCTTTATTTGTCTGCTGCTTACAAACCCTGCTGTCTCTGGCTGTGTATGTGCCTGACTACCTCAGAGGACGCCGTGTGTCTCTGCTAGGCAGCTTTCCGTGTGTTTCTGTTAGTAAGACTTTGAATCAGTCTGGCTTTGGGCATCATTCAGAGGCGTCTTCAGTTTTTCTTTTGTTTCCTGTTGGTACGCCATCATCTGCAGGCCGCACACCCTGAACAGCACCAGCACCTCAAAGTCCTTTCAGAGCACGGTTACTGGGGAGCTGAATGCGCCTTACAGTAAGCAGTTTGTCCACTCCAAGTCATCGCAGTACCGGAGAATGAAGACCGAGTGGAAATCCAATGTGTATCTGGCCCGGTCTCGCATCCAGGTGAGGACTGTGTTCAGAGTCACAGGTGGTGTCTGGCAATAGGAGACATAATAGGATGTGGAAAGCTCTTTGACCTGGCTGTAGGGACGATAGAGTCTGGTTCGCTAGGGCCTCAGGCTTGCTCTGGTAAGCATTCTACCACTGAGCCACAGCTGCATCCCAAGAATCATATTTTGAAGTCCTATTCAGTTTTGTCAGTTTATAACACTAGTAATTTCAAACAGAAGCTGACGTTGAGGATGCACATCTTTGCATCTCAGTGCATACCCTTTGGAACTCTTGGGGAAAAAAATATTGCTATATTTTTGCACACACTAGATTTTTTGGAGAGCTCAGTAGGGCTGTTTTTTGGTGTTTTTTGTTTGTTTGTTTGTTTTGTTTTTAAATATGTACCAGGGATTGAACCCAGGGGTCTTAACCACCTATACATATACCTTCATTTTGTTTACTTATTTTTATGTGGTGCTAAGACTCGAACCCAGGGCCTCGCACAACTAGGCGAGCACGCCACCACTGAGCCACAACCCAGCCCCACCAGCCCTTTTTAATTTATTTTTATTTTACATGGTCTCACTAAGTTGCTGAGGCTGGCTTTGAATTCGCGATCATCCTGCTCGGCCTCCTGAACCACTGGGATTACAGGCGTAATGACAGCCACCCACATGGCTCAGTTGGGATGTTTTAAGCATCTTACAAAAAATGAAAATGTGGGCTGAGATGTGGCTCAAGTGGTAGCGTGCTTGCCTGGTATGTGTGCGGCCCGGGTTCGATCCTCAGCATCACATACCAACAAAGATGCTGTGTCCGCGGAGAACTAAAAAATAAATATTAAAAATTCTCTCTCTATCTCTCTCTCTCTCCTCTCTCACTCTCTCTTTAAAAAAAAAAATGAAAATGTTTTTAAAAGGTGCTCCAATTTTGGAAGTCACCTTATTTTTTGTATGCCGTCTTTCTGTGAAGTCACCACACATGTCTAGGTCGTGAGATGTCTTTAGGTAAGGCCATTTAGGCTGAGCAATCAGAATCCTCATTCGGCTCCTCCCTGAAGACCTCAGTGTTGCAGTCAATGTCCAGCATCTCTCCTTTGTGTCCCAGGGGCAGCTGCAGAGCTCCTCTTGCCAGGCTTGGCCTTCCTGACAGTGCTGTGGGCCCTAGTGCTGCTGGGCGGCACCGCTGCTTCCACTGGCATCAGTGCCCGGCCGCCCTCGAGCGGCCTCTGTTCACCACCTCCCCCATCCCGTGTCGGGCCCAGCCCCTTCATGGCCACCCTGTCATGGCTCCAGGGAGTCCATGGGCTTCGTTGAGGTCGTCTAGGGAGCCCTGATCTGTGTGGACGCTCTCTGGTTCTTTTTGGGGGGGCATCTTTTTCTTCCTCACTGCAAGGTTCCGGATCCTCTCTTTCTTCTTGATATTTGGATATTTCACGGACGTGTACCCAGACTGAGGCCTTTCTTGATGGACTACTTTTCTCACTTGATGAGCCCTTCCACTCTGGAGGACTGTGGCCTCAATCTGAGAAACGCTTGCTGCACAGTTTTGCAAGTCCCTCTTCTGCTTTATCTCTGTAGACCAACACCCCACCCCTGAGGTCTCAGATCTCGAAGCATGGCCCCCAGACTTGTGGAGGAACTTGTTGGGACTGACAGTCTAGTGACCCAGAGGAGGGCTGTCTCCTCCCCAGCTGTTTTCCCAGCTCTCTGCCCCGAGACTTGCTCTGCCTTATTCTGCTGCTCTTCCTCGTGTGTCAGCTAAGAGCCCAGGTCCTCCTGACACTTTCATCCCTGTGTGTAGGTCGTGGATGGAGCTTCTTCCTACTGCTGAGCCCCCCAGACTCTACCGGAGTGAGCACCCTGTCCCTGCCCCTTGTAGTGGGGCTTTATTCACGCTCTAGATGTCTCGGGACGGTGGGCCTCGTGCTGGAGGAGGGTTTCAGTGGTGTCTTTGCTGTGTGCTCCACAGGTCGCCATCAGCCTGAAGCAGCGTTCTTGAGCTCTCTGAGCTCTCGTAGTTTCCTCCTCCTTCCATCGGTCTGCCTCTCTTCCTCTCCTCCTCTCCCTCCCAGTCCTCGTGGCACTGACAGCAGGCTCCTGTGATTTCGTGCACCTGCCATGGAAATACATGCACGTGTGTGCACTCAGGTGAACACGGAGTCACTAGCCTCTCCCACTCCCTCTCTCACTGACCCCAGGCCCCAGATGGCACCATGCTGTGGTGAGCTGCCCCCAGCCACTCCCTAGGGAGTGTGCCATCCCATCCTGAACACAGTCTCCCGGGTGTAGCCCCCCGCATGGAGGCTGAGCCCACAGTAAGGTGTGTGTTCGGCTGTGCTTGCTTTTCCTCGCAGCCGATGGTGCTGGGTTCTGAGCAGGCAGCGCTGCGCATTCCTCCCTGTGGGGTAGGAGACTGCTCTTCTTCTTGTCCCATTTTTGGTAGGTGTTACCATTCCTCATGATTTTGCCACTCTTTCAGTGTGGAGTGGCATTGTGACCTTTGTGACCTTAATTGAAGTTCCCACCCATTGACAAATGGGTGCCTTTCTTGTCTCCTGCTTGGATTCACCTTGGGGAACCAGTGTTCACGTCTTCTGACCACTTTTCAGTTTCTAACAACTGTTAGTTCTCCTGTGAAACATTCTTTGTCTATGAGGAAATATGGTCTCTCTTTTTCTTATGAAGGTTTAAACAGTTAAGTTTCTGTGGCTTCTAGCCTTGGTCAAGTCCATATTCTTCATATGCACTCTCAGGTACTTTCCTCTTGTGATGCGAGACAGATTTGCTTACTCCCCTTGGGCGACCAGTTGTGACTCATTCACGTCCAGCTGAGTTTTCACACTCCTGGAATCACTGCACAGGAAGTTGCTGTAGGCAGAGAAGGGTCTGGATGCTGTTTCCCTGTCTTCCTGTCTGTTCTGAACTGCTGGGCTCCCCAGGGTTCTCCGTTGCTGCCTTCTGCTCAGAACTGAAGGCAGAGACCCAAATCAGGTTTAGGAAATGCAGACACTGATGAGATTTTGACATATTTTTTCAGTATGTTGTTTTTCTACAATTTGTAGTGATACAAACTTGATTTTATTTATTTGTTTGTTGATTTCTATGCTGGGGATTGAACCCAGAGGTGGTTAACCACTGAGCCCCATCCCCAGCCCTTTTTATATTGTATTTTGAAACAGGGTCTTGCAGAGTTGGTTAGGGCCTTGCTGAGTTGCTGAGGCTTTAAACTTGCAATCCTCCTGCCTCAACCTCTGAGCCACTGGGATCACAGGTGGGGGTCACTACACCCAGCATGATGAAGACTTCACAGCACTGCATGTAGTGTGTAATTTCAGGGCTCTCACAGACATCCTAAGCTGCCCCAGGAGAGTTGGGCTGCTGTGGTTCAGCCTGTTCAAGTTGCAGTACATTCTTGCCCAGAATTTTTTATTAGAGCAAAGATAATGCCTTCCTTAAGAGTTTCGTTTGTGGGCTGGGGATGTGGCTCAAGCGGTAGCGCGCTCGCCTGGCATGCGTGCAGCCCGGGTTCGATCCTCAGCACCACATTCAAACAAAGATGTTGTGTCCGCCGAAAACTAATATATATATATATATAAAAGAGTTTCGTTTGTTTTCAACTTTCCTGATAATTACAGCAGAGTCATGTTTTTGCTTCTTCTCTTTGCCTTCTAGGAAATTCAGCCAAACCTAAAACCTGTTCATAGTAATAATTCCTCATAGTTATCTGTTTCTGTTTTACTAAATTGATTGTCATGTCAAGTCCTTCTTGAAACAGTAGCAGGAGAACATACCCACCAGAAGCTGTTCCTGCCTTGGTGGGTGGAGCTCACCCAGTGCTCTGTGAGAACAGGGCCTGCTGCGTGGTGTGTACACAGTCTGCAGCGTTCCTTTACAGATGGCCTTGGTCTGCTGTGTGCTGCCATGACAGGACATCATACGGTAGCAGCTCCCAGAACACAGAACTTGACTTGGCTCACCATTTTGGAGTGTGGGAAGGTCAAGATTAAGGGGTCAGATGCACTTGGTGAGGGCCTTCTTGCCATATCTTCCTGGGTAGAAGGCCAAACAGCAAGTGCAGCAGGGAAGTAGACCTAGTCCACCTGTCAGGACCAGTCGCTCCCAGGATGACTAGCCCATTTTCAAAATATCAGCACCAACCTTGCACAGGAGCAGAGAGAGCCCCCCTGGCCCGAGCCCCCGAAGCCCCACCTGTCAACCCTATTGCACAGGCAGCGAGTTTCCCACTGTGGACCTTGGGGCACATTCACAACAATACAGCTGTGCTCTTAAGAATTTAGTATAAAGACACAGGAACCAAGTAGCAGTGGCACAGCCCTAGGTGGCAAGCTTTTCAGAAACTAAGATATTCAGTGAAAAGATGGCTTGGGTCAAGGTGAAAACCTCAAGTGTGGCTTTTGATAGACCCAGGAGAGCACCGTGGTGTCTGTAACCAGAGTGTGATGTGTGCTTTCTCCCAGGGCCTCGGCCTGTATGCTGCCCGGGACATAGAGAAGCACACCATGGTCATCGAGTACATCGGGACTATCATTCGAAATGAAGTGGCCAACAGGAAAGAGAAGCTGTACGAGTCCCAGGTAGGCTCTGGTCCCTGTGATGAATAGACTGAACACAATCCCTCATCTCTGTCCCTGTGCCTTCCACACACCTCACAGGCTGGGCCACATCCGTGTACTGTGTTTGGTCTCGAACCAACACTGTGTCTGCATACCTTTGCATTGTTCTGTGGTCTTGTGCCTTCGGTTTTGTTTGTCGGTGGTGGTATTGTGAAGGTGTAGCTGTAGATTATTGGGCCTGGCTGCGTTGGACCCATGGCTCCATGCTTGCTGTTGGTCCCATGCAGATTCACCTGCCGCAGTTGGCCCAGTGGCCCTAGGGAGTGCGGTCAGGGTGCATTTGATGGAGCAGCTGGGCCTGCTGCTGAGGGTCTGGGTGGGAGAGTTTGGGTTGTGCACTGAGTCGCCTGCTTTCTCTGTAGAACCGCGGTGTGTACATGTTCCGTATGGACAGTGACCACGTGATCGACGCAACACTCACTGGAGGGCCTGCAAGGTGAGGCGAAAAGGACCCAGGGAACAGGATTCTGCAGGAGCTTGGTGCAGAGGGGAGGCGGCCAAAGCAGGGGAAGAGCTCACACTGCGACCAGCACAGGTTACAGACATGGGCTACTGAGTTTTAAGAACCATTTTTATTTAGAAATTTGTCTTGTTAACGGGTTAATAGAAATATAATAATTTAAAAGTTTGCCCTGTGAATGGAAGTTGTAAAGAGTTCCTCCAGTTGTGTTACAATCAAAAGTTTCTGACATGGTGGCTTGCAGATACATCAACCATTCGTGTGCGCCTAATTGTGTGGCCGAAGTGGTGACTTTTGAGAGAGGACACAAAATCATCATCAGCTCCAATCGGCGAATCCAGAAAGGAGAAGAGGTGAGGGCAGGGGTGTGCCGCTGTCTGTGCCTGGTGGGAGCACGCCCTCCTGCCCACAGCACCTGCTCGGATGTTTCCTGATTGGGAGGAAAGTCCTGGGGAGGTGACCTTGCCCCCGCGGGTCACCCACAGCCAGCGCCCCCTCCACCACACAGCAGCCTCCCGCTCCCTGCCCTTCGCTTCCACACAGCGGCACCCTCAGGTGTCTCGGGGTCCTTCCTGTCCTCTGACCCTGTGCCGTCTGGCAGATCCTCTCTGGAGATGGACGTCACTGATCGCTGTGTGCAGAACACAGACTTGGTGCTCTTTGTCCCCGGGCACGCGATGGTGTGGGCGCTGGTGTTGGGAGGGCCGTAGGTGCAGATCTGGGGAGCCATGTGCTCCAGATAGCTCGTCTTCACACTCACAGTCAATATAAGCTTGCAGATTTTTCACATCAACAGATTTTCCAATAATTTTAGGTATTTTGTGGTTTTTGTCTTCAAAATGCTGAACGCTACACTTGACATGAGTCCCCTTGGTCTCATAAGATCACTTGGCCTAGGGTTTCACCTTTTAAGATTGTTGAGTTGACTGCCTCGTTTTGATTTCTCCACTCTGTCACATGTGATCAGCATCTTGCTCTTGGTGCCCTGGGTCGAGAGCTGTGTTTCTTGGGAAGCGAGGAGCCCGAGGGGCTGTGGTGGACCCAGCCTTTCTGAGCACAGTTGGGATCCCACCTGTGTGCCTGGTCATGCTTTTGGAATCCACTTTTCTAATCAAGAATAAGGGAATGACTAGACCCAAGGCCCTTTGACATCTCAGAGTGACCTGAGGGAAGGGGACAGGACATAGAGCACCAGCAGTGTGCTGTGAAGGCTGGGCGGAGCCTGCTGAGCCTGGCCCAGCTGCCCTTCTGTTGAGTCTTGAATAAGTCCTTTAGCCTCTCTAATCCTCTATTATGTTCTGTAAAGTAGTGAAAATAATTTCCTTTTGAAGCTCCTATAAAAATCTAATAGAAGGCAGTAGTGTGTTTACTAAGAGTAGCTGCTCAGTAAACACTTCCTTTCTATGTAGTAAGTCTTGCAAATAACATTCTAGGATGTTGGAGTTGAAAGAGACCCAGGAAGTCACTGGCCCCTTTGATTTGGCTGTGGGATTACCCAGGGGTAGAGGTAGAGGAGACAGCTGGAGGCTGAGGGTGAGGCTTGTCCCGCCATCTCCCACCGCCTCCCACCACCTCGCCAGCTGCTGGGTCTGAGATGGTGGTAATATTTGGCGAGCCCTAAAGGACAGCACCCTTAGTTTCTTCTCTTCAAGGTCCCCACTTGGAGGACTGGGGAGCCTCAGCTGATCAGGTCCTCCTGGAGAGCGTGCCTGTTGGGCGGCTGGTGGGCGGTGCCCGTGAGGGAGGCAGAGCCTCGCTTCCTCGCCTGGGTTTTGGCTGACGCTGTGTCTTTGCTCCGGGCAGCTCTGCTATGACTACAAGTTTGACTTTGAAGACGACCAGCACAAGATCCCGTGTCACTGTGGAGCGGTAAACTGCCGGAAGTGGATGAACTGAATGCATTCCTTGCCATCTCAGCGGGCGGCTTGTCCCTAGGAAGAGGCGACTCAACACACCATTGGAATTTTGCAGACAGAAAGATATTTTTGTTTTCTGTTTTTTATGACTTTTGAAAAATAGCTTCTGGGATTCTGGTTTCCTCGGTCCTTGAGGTTAAGGAGGTGCAGGAGGAAGGGTGAGGGTTGAACAGAGGCACAGATGGTCCAGCACTTTTGCTTGTTTTTCTTTTTCCTTTCTTTTCCTTCTTCTTTGTTTCCCTGTGGGTGGGTTTTGTTTTGTTTTGTTTTGTTTTTTGTTGTGTTTCCTTAATCTCACTAAGGAGAAACTTACTGGGGCAAAGAGCCGATGGCCACCCTGCCCCAGGGCAGGGGCCTCCTATGAATGTAAGACTGCAATCACCAGCCAGGGCGTCCAGAGTGCTGGCCACGCCCCCTGCGGCAGGCCTCTGGTCGAGTGAAGTGGACACCACTGAACAGGAATGTACTGAGATGACTTCCTTAGGGATAGAGCTAAGGGATAATAACTTGCACTAAATACATTTAAATACTTGATTCCATGAGTCAGTTTATTGTAGTTTTTGATTTCTGTAAAATAAGAGAAACTTTTTGTATTTATTATTGAATAAGTGAATGAAGCTATTTTTAAATAAAAGTTAGAAGAAAGCCAAGCTGCTGCTGTTCCCTGCAGACTAACGGACCCTGTCACTTTGTACAAACATGTAAATATTTTGAGAAAAAAAATACAGTATAAAAATAGTTATTGACCAAATGCTACCAGGCTCTGCAGCAGCTCGGTGCTTATAAAACGTCATAGGGATGTCACAATATAATTTTGTCTTATTAAATATGCCATTATAATTACATAACAACCAAAATTTCAACCTGGAGTGTTTGGGCTTTTTTTGAAACTGCGGTCTATTAATACTTGTTTTATACACCTAACTTCTGACTGAACAGAGTGTATGCTATGACTACAACTTTTATAGCGGTTTTGGTAATTTTAACTTTTTTTCACATTATATTGTTGCATCCCTACTTCTTCAGTCAGGTTTTTTGTGCTTACGATTTGTGATAACTGTGAATAACTGCTCACAAATACATCCAAATGGAGGCTGGACTTTTTCTTCAGCAAAAGTAGTTTTGATTAGAAGTTTGTTTCAGATCACAGAGAATCATGTACACATAATAGAATCATGTAGCAGGAACTTAACCTAACTTTAGCTTTCTATTTAACACAAAAATTTGAAAAAGAAAAAAAAGAGAGAGATGATCATGCTCGCATCTGCAGGACTCCGGCAATAGGGTTTTTCGAAGATGTAATTTTAAAATGTGTTTGTATGAACTGTTTACATTTCTTTAATAAAAACACACACTGTTTTGTGTTTGCTTGTAGAACCTTAATCAGCATTTTGACCCAGGTAGCTTCTTGCTGTGTACCTCGGGTTCTGGTACTGACACTTCACAGCGTGGAGGATGACGTCTGTGCACAGTCGCGTGGGCTGAGCTGTGCGCGCCAGTGCTGCGGGCCTCACCTGTCATGTATATGGCATGATGTATTTTTATCTTACAGAATAAATCAATTGTATATATTTTTCTCTTGATAAATAGCTGTATGAAATTTGTTTCTTGAATATTTTTCTTCTATTGTACAAAATTCTGACATCCTACCAGTATTTGTCCTACCGGGTTTTTGTTGTTTTCTGTTATGTATAATAGTATCTGATGTTGGCAAAAATTGAATTTTTTGAAGTATACAGAGTGTTATGGGTTTTGGAATTTGTGGACACAGATTTAGAAGATCACCATTTACAAATAAAATATTTTACATCTATAACAGCAGCCTGTGTTCTCTGCTCATCCCTCTCTGGGCTGACTCTTCTGCTGATGGCTGTTGGAATGCATGGACCTCTGACTTGTCCGTCAGTCTCTAGCCTCGATGTCATCACCTCCCTTCTCCTCCTCCACCAGTGACTTGACCCTCAAGCCCACTGTCGTAGCTGGTGTGCTCCTCGTGCAGCGGAGGCCGATGGTGCTGGTGCCTCCTGTGTTTGCAGTCACGCCTATGATCCCAGCTCGGGAGGCTGAGGCAGGGGGACTGCAAGTTCAAAGCCAGCCTTGGCAACTTAGTGAGGCCCTAACTAATTTAGTGAGACCCTGTCTCAAAACAATATAAAGCGCTGGGGATGTTGCTCAGTGTTGTTTGGTAGCCCCTGGGTTCAATCCCTGATTTAGCATCTGTGCTGCCCAGACTGGCATCATTTTCTCGGACTGCTCCTGCCTCAGCCTCCCACGTATCAGCACTGCCGCGCCTGGCTGGAATTTTTTCTCCTAATGGCTTTCCAGGCTTAGCCTGCGTGACAGCCTATTTAATGCATTTGATTTAAAGGGCTGCTAAAAATTGAAAATACCCAAGATCTATTTTTACGTGGTGCTGAGGATTGAACCCAGGGCCTTGCACGTGCCAGGCAAGCACTCTACTGCTGAGCCACAACCCCAGCCCCCTTTTTAAATGTTTTATGGGGGGTTGTTGATGAACCTTATTTTATTCATTTATTTTATGTGTTGTTAGGTCCTGCTTCCTATGCACAGAAGTGGTAAATTCTTGTGTTGCCTTTACTGTGACCTTGGAGTACCTGAAAACAGTGTTTAAACGTTCCCCATGGGAGGTGTCTGCTGGCCGGGGGGTGGTACCAGCAGTTTCAATTTTTTTTTTTTTTTTTTTTTTTTTAAACCAGGGCCTTGAGCCTGCGCACTGCACCCCAGAGCTGCACCCCTAGCCCTGAGCTGATGTCTCTGAGCTCTGGCTTGGTGCAGTCCTCCCCCTCAGCTTTCAGACTTGACCACCAGTGATCGCACAGAGAAGGGGACACCTTGGGCTGTTTGAGTGGATGCCTTTCCCTGTCTTCTCCCTATGGTGGCCAGGAAAGACAAGATCTTTCTTGAAAGATGGTTCTGGTCATCAGCTTCGCTCCCCTAATTACAGTCTCACGGGAAGCGGGGAGGGGAGCAGGAATACAGGAGATTATAACCCCATGGAGAGAAACCCTACAGGGCTAAGGGTCAGATTCGGTGACCAGTGCCACCTGGGTCCAGCCAACCCGGAGTCCCCTGCAGTGAGTCCTGCGCATATGTGTGGGGACTGTAAGAAGACCTTGCCTCCCCCGGGCAGACTTTACTAATTTGGCCACCTCCACTGGTGGCCTGAATTGAGCGGTGTGCGGAACACGTGTCCTAAATGCCTGAAGGCCCAAGCACACAGTAATGTGGCACCTGTGGGAAATGGAGACATTGAGGTTGCAGAGGTCGCCAGAGCCAGACCCGCCTTCCCTGGGGCAGGACCCTTCAGTCCTCCCTCCCCAGTGCTCTTGACTGGTCTTTGGAATTCTCTCTGTCCTTAGAAATTAAAATTAGGGTTCTCATCCTTGAGGACAGCTTTCTGGGACCCCAGGGGTTCTTGTAACCCAGTCTCTATTCCAGCTATGGAAGCAGGACAGGTGTCTCGTGCCTTCCTTGATGGCAACCTCTGCGTGCTGTGCTTCCTCCAGAGACCAGGTAAGCAGGGAGCGCACAGGACAGGCTGTGGACTGCTCTTGGGATCTGCACCCAGCTCCCTTCCTCCCTCCCACCCACCTGCCACCTGCCCAGGCGTGGCACAAGCTCTTCTACCTTTCAAGTGTCAGCACACCCCGAGCTTCTTTCCTGGGCTCCTCATTCTCTCCCCCGTTTCTGCAACAGGTGCACCTGGGAGTCCCGTTGTCTCCACCCTACTTCCCACCTCAGGGTGGAAATCTGGGGCTCACCTTTTGTCTCTGGAGCACTGACGACACTCATCGTGACCAGGAGTCTAAACAGAACTGCCGCCTGCATGTGAGGCCTGGCCTGCTGCCAGGAGGTGGTGGAAACTGCAGAGGTGGGGCCTGGTGGCAGTCTGGGGTCCCTGGGGAAGTGCCCTTGAGGGGACCCAACCTTTCATTTGCCGGCCATGAGGTTAAGTGCTCTGTTCCACCCTGTGCTTCCACCGTGCGCCAACTGTGCACTGACGCCTCACTCTCCCCAAGTGGTGGTCTCCAGTGTCCCCAGCGAGGAGCAGGAGCATATTCTCCCAGGAGGACCGCCCAGACCCTCCTGCTCATCTGTGCAGAAGCAGATTTTCTGTTGTTGTTTAAAAACATTTCCTCTTTGCCGGATTGTTTCCTTAAAGGCACTATTTGTCATTTCTTCCCCCACGTCCTTGCTCTCCTTCCGCGTGCGTGGCGGGGGTGCTCAGGACTGAACTCCACCGCTGAGCCACCTCCCCAGCCCTGTTGGTTTTTGAGATGGGTCTTTCTAATTGGCCAACTTGCCCTTGGACTTGCGCCTCCAGAGGTACTGAGGTCACGGCGTGTGCCACCGCACCTGGCATTTTATATTATACTTCTTTGAGGAACAAAGCATCTATTAGGTATCTCATCCATTTTTAAGTTTAGGGTTTTTGTTGAATTTTAAGCACTGTTTATGAACCAGATACAGGTTTACAGCTGACTTCATTTCCTCATGGTGTCTTGATAAACAGTCCCATTAGTCCCAATCCCATTAATGTTTTATGGCTAGTTCTTCTGGCAAGTCACCTTGCAGCAATGAAGAGACTCCCCTATGTTTTCCTCTGAAGCTAACAGTGTTGTGTTTGGCTCTGTGATGTGCCTGGAAATGGTCTGAGCCTAAGATGGGGTGTGAGGCCTCCAGCAAACGTGGCCTGGTTCCTCTCCCCTCGGGGCGGGCCAGCTCCTTGCTGATGGTTGGCTGGCTGGGCACGTGTGGGTCTTCCTGTTCTAATCAGCTCCTTGTCCTTCAGTCAGTAGCATGGTCTTGAGTTGGAACATTCCTACAAATCTTTTTTTAAATATTTATTTTTTTAGTTGTAGGTGGACATAATGTCCTTGTTTTACTTTCCGAGGTGCTGAGGATCGAACCCAGGGCCTCACCCATGCTAGGCAAGCGCGCTACCACTGAGCCCCAGCCCCAGGCCCTCCAAAATTCTCTTCAAATGACTTTGGCCACTCTCTGGTGTATACACTTCCATCTATTTTTAAATCACATACACTACCGTCTCTACAGGAGCTACTGACTCTGACCCAAGGTATGTCACCTGACACCGCCTCCCACCCACGGCCGCAGTAGCTGCGTCCCAATAAATCCCAAGCTGAAAGTGCTTTTGATACGCCTGGCCTGCCGAAGTGCCCTCGCTTAGCCTCGCTTCTGTTAAATGTGCCAAGGCACTTAAATTAGCCCAAGTTCAGCAAAACCATCTAACAGTCTGTTTAACAGTAATGTGCTCAATGTGTCTGGCTGTCCTCCTGCGCCCATTACCGTGGGGTTGAAAAATGAGTCAGGGACCCTCCATGGTGGTATTTCTGGTCTTTTTTTTTTTTTTTTGCAGGGGGGGGGTGGCACCAGGAATTGAACCCAGGACTTAGGTATTTCTGAACACTCCCGATTTTCTGTAAATTGGCAATGTCCTGCGGTGAGGACGCTCTAGCCCTTGCTTTCTCCTGTGTCCTGCTGGCCTTCAGCAGGGGCAGAGGACAGAACGGGCAGCCTAGTCTTGCCCCATCACTTACTTTTTGGTATGGGAGATTGAACCCAGGGGAGCTTGACTTCTGAGCCACATCCTCAGCCCCTTTTTTTTAAAATATTTTTTAAGGCTGTCTTTGAATTCATGATCCTCCTGCCTCACCTCCCGAGCTGCTGGGATTACAGGTGTGTGCCACCGCACCCAGCCCTGGTCACTTTTTACCTGAAACATGGTTGCCTGGAGTTTCCAGAGGCCAGTTATCTGGTTAAGGATCTTCCTTCCATCTGCGCCCCCTCCGTCCATAGGGGTGTTGAGATGAGCACTGGTGTTGCCGTCACCTGAACTCACACGTGGTCAGGTCAGTCCCATCCTCAGCTACGCGCCAAGAGTGCGAGCACAGCACTGCCCTGGAACACTGGGCTCAGAGCGGGACTGGGACACACCAAGCAGGTCGGCCTCGGGGCCGTGGAGGTTCTGCATCTTGGCTGCCTTCACCATGGACACTGGTTGACCCTCCTGACGGCCAGTGGACCTGAAGAGACTGTGCTCTGCTCCTGGTGGGGCGGTGTCCAGCAGGGCTGCTCTTCAGTTTGAGGTCACTGTGTGATGCTCCTGGGGGCCAAGTCCTCATCTTGCCTCCTTGCCTTTCAATGTTCACCCTGCATCGAATGTGGCCCTGAGGCGGCCTTGTGGCTTGGCACTGAATTCTGTGTCTCCTCTGGGATGTGAGGGAAATGTCACCTTTTTATCTTGGCACTTACAGGATGATTGAGAAGACCCTTCTGTACCCAGCTGCCTGTTTAAGGACTTCACAGGCAAATGGGTTAAAAGTACCCAAACTCATGGTTCAAGCTAAAAAACCATGAAGCCTCCCCTCGAGTTGGCGCTGCTCCCCAGCTGACAGCTCATCTGAATCCAAAAGTGCTTCGCATCCACGCGAGTCCACAAGACCAGAACAAAAACCAAAATCTGCATTAAATAATCAAAAAGATCCTTTATTTTAAATGTGGATAGTGTCATAAGTCATCAAAATAATTTATAATAGTTGACTGCCTCTTAAATATTATAAATGCCTTCCAAAGTTAAAAATCATTGTGGATTCAACCAACTTCTTCAAATGATTTAAAACATATTAAATGATAACAGAATGAGGCCCTGTAAGACAGGAAATCATAAGTTCCATCACCAAGGGGTGAGAGAAGCACAAACCAGCAGGAACACCCGCCGGGCTCAGCCCTGTGTGCCCTCCATGTGCAACAGATTCCTTGAGAGCGGCTCAGAGGGGCCGCGACGTCAGTGGAGACTCCTGGTTGCCTGCAGATGGCCGCCCTCTCCAGGATCCCCACCAGCCGGACCCCAGGGCTGGGCTGGCAGACTGGGTGGCACCCCTCACCCTTCCAGGTGCCACTGCTGTGAGGAGGAGCCATCACAGATGGCCATGGCTACGGAGCCCTTGGGACCCAGGGTGTCCACCACACTCAGGCACTGTCCGACGGACACCTGGTACAGCCAGTTATTTTTCTGAAAAAGGCAACGGGGATTGTTTGTTTTACTGAACACAGTAAAGACAGGAGAGCCCAACGGAGCCGTGGAACATGCACGAATGACTAAAAGCATCCCCGGGTCGAGTGCTCATTGGCCACCCTTCTCACACACTCACCCCAAAGGTCCACTGCTGGGATCCACCCGACCCGTGGCACTTCATGAGCCGAGGCGGGTCTGAGGAGCGGGTCTCGGACATGTCAAGACAAAGGAGGTTATTTAAAACCAACTCGTGCTCTTCATTGTAAATCCAGATCTAGAGAGGAAATCGGGAACACTGGAAATCAGAGCTGGAAAACGCTTCTCGTGCTCATGGAAGAAAACAGACTTATTCGTGTGCTAGACCCACAAGGAAGCAGAGTGTGAGGGACTGGCTGTGCTCACCAGAGGCCCATGTGGTGAAGGGGCGGTCCTCAGCTTGGTGCTAATAGGCACTGCTGTGAGGTGAGGGCTTATCTCTTAATGACCCTTGTCACCACTGAGGGACAGGAACCTCCAACACTGGGCCAACTAGACCACTCCTTTCTCAGGCGCTGTGTTCCAGCAACGCAGAGCTGACGGTGCCATGCTGGGAGGACCCTGAGTGGTGCTTGAATTTGGTTGACTTGATCACACAATCATAAATCTCAGATTATCTAATTCTCTTAACTCACAGACTATGTAGGGCTTAAGAGGGGCCAAGGATGGCTGGGGCTGTAGCTGAGAGGTAGAGCACTCGCCTGGCATGCGTCAGGCACTGGGCTCGATCCTCAGCACCACATATAAATAAAACTAAGAAGAAAAAAAAAAGAGGGGCCAAGGAGCTGCCAGTGTGCCCTGTGTGGGTGGAACCATGGACACCTCTTGTCAACCGTCTCATCTGCTGGGCAGGGGCTGGAAGGGGAAGGGCACCAGCAGGACCTCCAGAAGGTGAGCACTCCCTCCATTCAGCCTGTTTTACTCATGGCTGCTTCTACCTGTAAAAAGGGACGTGTGAAGCCTCCATCTGAAGGGGAGACTCTGTGGAGAAACAGAACATTCCAGAAAGCTATAATGTTTCACAGCCTCTTTGTCCCCTGACCTCCTGAAATGTGACTGAGGGACCAGACATTCGTTTTATTTAACAGCCACATGTGGCTACAGGATTAGGATAGTAAACTCCTTCTCCACCTAGAATAACCTCAGCATCTCAGCCCACGGGACCTGTCCCCATTCTAGCAGTGTCTACAATACTGCCACCTCTCCTACCAGGAATGGTCCAAAAATGCTCGTCACCTTAGGTAAGAGTACATTCACCGTGTACCAGAAGGGCCGAGTGGTCTATTTTTCATTCTTGCATGACACCAAGGCACCACTAGACATGGAAACGGAAATTCCGTAGGCCTTGTCTTTGACCACACACATCAGAGTGCCAAACCGAACAGCCCCATGTGGCCAGGACAGTGCGGAGGAACAGAAGGACGACAGCAGTGGTGTCTGCGGTGCTCTCTAAGGGCCACTCCCAGTGGGAAGTGTGACTGAGATCAGAACCTCAGGCACTGCGGTCCTGGGCCCGAGCCCACCTCCCAGCACTGCCTTTCTGGGAGGCCTCACTCACCTGCGTTGGGTCCCGGTAGTCGCAGGCCTTCAGCACGACCAGGCTGCCCTTCTGGCTGGGGCGGCCCTGGGCCACCAGACATTTATTGGTCTGGAAGTGGTAGAGCTGTAAGAGAGGAGAGCACTGTGACAACTTGGCATACAGGACAGCCGTCGTCAAGGTGCCTGCTCAGGAGGTTGGGGAACTGAGTCCCAGGCATGAGTGTCCAGGGACTGCAAGGCCATTAGCAGTCTCAGCATGGACTGAGGGTAGGGAAGTACACACCATCTCCACCCTGAAGTTCCAAAATGAGACCAAGGAAATAAGCACCAAGGCACAAAAAGACCCCATTAACTGGACCGTCCCTGCTGACTGCGGGTGAGCACCGGAGGCTGCTCCAGGAAGATGTACTTCACGCAGCCTCCGGTGCTGGCAGGGCCTGCGGTCGGGGGGCACTCGTCCTCCCACCTCATGAGCTTCCAACGGGGTTCATCAAATAGAACCCAAAGGGGGACAGTGCTAGGCCTGGCCCTGAAGGACACCGGCCCGGCAGCACACGTCAGCAGTGTCAAAGGGAAAGATGGGAAATGGCAGCATCTACCCATCACTCTCAAAATGCCAGGTTTGGTTTTATTGTTGTTTTGTTTGGCAGGACCGGGGATCAAACCCAGGGCTACTGAGCTATGTCCCCAGCCTTGAGACAGGGCCTTGCTGTGCTGCCCAGGATGGCCCTAGATCGCATCTGATTCCCTCCCAAGGCGCTGGGATTCTATGTGTACGCCACGGTGCTAGCCAGAAAGCCAGTTCTAAGAAACGATTCAGGAGAACAGTTCAATTTTAAGAGAAGACCCCTAAAATTTAAGTACGATTAAAAATGGGGTTAATTTCTTCTGTAATCCCAGCAGCTCAGGAGGCTGAGACAAAGAGGGTTGCAAGTTCAAAGTCAGCCTCATCAACTGAGCAAGACTTGGTCTCAAAATAAAAAGGGCTGGGGATGTAGCTCAGAAATTAAGGGGGAATGTTGATGGAGGACTGCGTGGGACATCGGGTGTTTGAAAAGCCCACTCTGTGCCACCTTCACTCCATCCAAGGCGGTCCCCAGAGCCACTCTGCTCCTGTTTTCTTCAGGCATCTACGGACCCACAGTGCCTTTCCCCACAGCTGTGGGCACTGCAGGGCGCAGCACAGGCCTGCCTGGAAGGGAGCCTCCCTCAGGCAGCAGGGAAGGACCTGGCGACAGCTGGGCTCTCTCGAGGAAGCTGGGAAGGGGTCACACCTCTAGTGAAGCACCTGCCAAAGACGGCCGCCTCACCCTGCCACGCTGCAGGACCCGGGGCCGCTTGGGTCCTCTGTTGATGAAAATGGGCTGCTGGGGTCTGGCGTTGGGCCCAGGTATCTGCATCTCTGGGTAGACATGATCCAAGTACCACCTGAAGGACTGACAGCCCAGCCTCTTCCTCAGCTCAACCCGCTCACTGATATTTCCATAGCTTTTGGTCTTCAGATCAGGCCTCAAGGAGAAATACTGCTCCTGAATTAGAAAAAGAAAAAGAATGGAACTTTGTTTGTTAAAATAAGTATCAGACAATTATATTTGAAGTTTGAATTTTTCATTCCAGTGTTTTCTTGATGTTGCCAGATGTTACCAATGGAAATTTTCACATCATTTGAAAAAAAAAAAAAAAAGGACATACCTTAAACTGTAAGATATGCTGTCCCAATTTCAGAAATGGCAAAACGTGTAAATGGTACATCTCTGCATCCATGAAACAGGTTAAGCCTGAGAATAGTTCTCAAGTTCTGTGGTCTTAGGACTCAATATTTTTAAAAGCTACTAAAGACCCTTTGTTTGCATGGGCTATTCTTTTGATTATTTAAAGCAAATATAAAAATATTTATTCATTAAAATAAACCATTTCAAATCAAACTTTAGTGAGAACAGGGGCATTTGCTTTGTTTTTTGCAAAAATTTTTGAAAAATACAACTTCATGAAAATATTGTTGAAAACAAGGGAAAAATGGGCACCGAGTAGTTGTTAAGATAATTACTACACCAAACTCAGTAACTTTCTGAAGTGTACTTATAGCTGGGTATGGTACATATGCTCCCAGCTACTGGCAGGCTGAGGAAGAAGGATCTCAAGTTCAAGGCCAGCCATGTATGCAACTTAGCAAGACTACAGGCATGTGCCATCCACCCAGCTTATTTTTCATTTTAAAACGGTGCGGTGGCACATGCCTGTAATCTCAGCAATTCAGGAGGTTGGGTTAGGAGGATGGTAAGTTGAAAGCCAGCCTCAGCAACTGGCAAGGACCTAACTCCAAATAATAATAAAATAAAAAGGACTGGAGAAACAGTTCAGTAATAGTTCCTGAGATTTTCATACTTTTGCATTAAAATCTTCTTGCTCTTTTACTCATGAAAGATTTTATACCATGTTGCCTTTAGTCAATTGGAAAATACTGACTGGCCCACTGAGTTATGCAGTTCTTCCAAAATTTAACTGTACAATATTTAAATTCATAAATATCACTGATCTGGTTCATTTTGAGAAAGTGTCTTGTCAAACACCAGAGGTCTGAACCACCACGCGGTCAGGCATCCTGGGAACAGGGGACGACGCGGATCAGGGCATCAGGCTCCCTCCCACAAGCTGCACTGTCCGCACAGGCAAGCACATTTACTAGGATGTGTTGAGATTTTTACCATTTCATGAATGACATTCTTAAATTAAACTGGCTTTTGCTGTGAAATGCCTTATAGGTATACAAGTTTGTGTGTCAGTAACACATGCCTTGAATATAATCTGCACCATGTCCAGCCAGAGGCTCCTCTTTCCTTCTCCTCCTTCCCTCCCAGGTTCCTTCTCTTTAATTGGTGGTCCTTCTGCTTTTTTAAAATTGGTATTTTATAGAATGCTTTATAGAATATCTCAGGAGGCTGAGGCAGGAGGACTGCAAGTTCAGTGCTAGCCTGGCAACTTAGTGAAGCCCTGTCTCTGAATAAAATACATTTTTTAAAAAGCACTAGGGATGTGGCTCAGTAGTTGATGACCCCTAGGTTCAGTCCCCAGTACCAATTTAAAAAAAAAAAAAATTCACTGTGGCATAGTCACATAGGTTCCTAGTGTAATTTTATCAAGTTAATTCTGCATTTCCTCCCTTTTCCCATCCCTCCTCCCTCCCCCACTCCACTCATCTTCCCTTTTTGTGGGATCTGCCCTCTCCCTTTCCTCCTTAATTTGACCTTGCACATGAGAGAAAATGTGGCTTATTTCACTTAGCACAATAGTCTCCAGTTTCATCCACTCATCGGCAAATACCATCATCTCATTCCTCTTTATGGCTGAGTGAAACTCTTTGTGTACATGTGCCAGATTTTTTGATCTACTCATCTGTTGATGGGCACTAAGCTATAGTGAACTGCCCCATGTATCACCATGGTGTGCCGATTGAGTTCTTTAGGAATGGCACCACCACATGTATTTATCCTAGTCTTTTGAGGACTCACCATTCTGCTTTCCAAAGTGGTTGTACTAATGTGCAGTCCCACCAATGATGCAGGAATGTACCTCTTCTCCCACGTCCCTGGATTTTGGTTTTCACTTCTGAGTATGAGTTGGTGCCAACATCTGATTGATTCTCGGGCACCTGCCATTTTACCCCTGTGCTTCTGGCCATCAGTGCCACGCCAACATGGCAAGCATGACAAAGGCTGTACCAATCTGACCAGGCAAACGGCTTTGACCTGGCAGATCACACTGTGGGATCTGTCAGGTAAAGATGGCTCCAAATGAGCACAAAGTTGAATCTCAAGGAGCTCACAGTCTGGCAGAGGAGAGGAGAGGAGCAAGCAATACTGAGGAGCTGCTCAGGGTCCCTGCTTCTGCTCCCAAACACTGCCTCCACCTGCATTCATCTCCTGTTGGAAATCACTCACACTCCCTTATTCACCTTTTATCCCTGTGCCTGAGAGAGTCTGGCACACAGTAGGTGCTCAATAAAAGAGTAAAAATGTACACATTCACAGCAGCATTTTTCATAATTGTCAAAAATAGAAACAACCTCAATGTCTTTCAGCTGAATGAATGGAAAAGTACTATGTGATATATTTACACAACAGAATATTAGTATTTTGTCCCTTATTATTCAATAAAAAGGGACAAAATACTAATACATGGTACAACATGGATGAATCTGAAAACATTAAGGCCCAGTAAAAGGCAGAGAGAAAACACATCACGGACAGCTTCATTTGTGTGAAATGTCCAAGAAAGACGGGTTAACTACAAAGTCATGCCTGGTGACAAAGGGAGTGGCAGATGAGGAGCAGGGTGCTAGCTTCTGAGGAGATAAAAAATGCTACAAAATTGATATGTGAACACATTCAAAAATATCACAAAGAAAATATCAAAAGTTGGGTGAGACAGAAGAAAAATCGGAAAGGAATCCCAGGTGGGCGGAGCCTAACGAGGGAAGCATGAGACCCAAAGCCAACTCTGGCAGTCCAGGGGGATCAGAACTAACTCAGGCAGGCGCGGCACTGCCTCTGACAGCACAGCCACTGTTCAATTCAGAGGAGGTGAGATCCGACGCTGAGTAAGAGAGTGAAGAGAAGACTTGGGGACGAGGCGGTGCTGGGCGAGGAGAGAAGCCCCTGCCCATGCAGTGCCTCTGCCCTGGGCTCCCACTGTGCCCTCAGGCCTCACCTTGTACTCGTCCAGCCAGACGTGAGCCAGCCGCAGAGAGTTGTGTGTCATGGTGTCCTGGCCTTCAGGAGACCCGTAGGGCCGCCTTTTTCGGAAAATGTGTCCTACTCTGGAGCAAGGGATGATGAAGAGCTTACCGCCACACATCCAGATCTGGCCAGAAGCAAAGTGTGCGTTAAACGCTGCTCAGTGCTGCAGAACCACTGTACGAGTGTTCATACAATACATCTTCATTAAATAGGTCTATAACTTTGCAAGCTGCTTCATCTTAATAGAAATATTCAAAGAAAAAAATCAGAGGGACATTTTTTTAAAAAATCACACCTTTCTAAAATGCACTAAAAGTGTACTAAAAATGCTAAAGCAATGTAATATTTTTTTGCTGTATATGAAAGATGCTCACCAGACTTTGCTGCTTTTACCAGGTCAAAGAACTTGATCTCAGAAACTTAGGGACCAGGAATGCTGATTAACTGGTCTTCCAACTTCTTAGGTACTTTATTATAAACATATATGTTTTAAAAGAAATCCTATGGATTAAGAGTCAAAAGACCTTAGTTCTGGTCTAAATTTTGCCCCTGATTATGTGAATTATTTAGTTACTATTTAAAAAAAAAATAAGTTGCAACGAATGATAACCTATATGCCTGCCTTTGCCTTTAATCTTAAAATTTTAAAATTATGGAGGAAAAAACTCTTAAAAAACACGCAGTCAATATATCTGCAAAAATACAAAATGATGCACCCGTCCATACAGTGGTTTATCCTCCAGGGCTCTGCTGACTGCACCAGGAGATGGGAGGCCTCAGTTCTCCCTCCATCCCCCTTCCTGTCCCCACAACAGTCTTATCACAAGGTCCCCCTGGCCATAGACCCAGCCACACCATGCCCTTTCAGAAGAGAATGTGGAATTTCCCCTCAGGTGGGAGGACTCCAGCTAGAGGTGATGGCAGGTCCAGCTACGGACACAGTGAGATGGGAGCCTCGAACCTCCAGAAGGGACGGGACCCCCCCACCACATGTGCCTGGCAGCAACAGTGACATGCAAGCTGATGAAGAGTGGAACTCCAGTCCCTGGGAGGCTCACTCAGGCCACACCCAGCCCTCTGAGGACAAAGGCCTTCCGAGCGCTTCTCCATCTGAGCAGATCCTGTCCATATCACAGGCTCTGGTAAAGCAGCCCTAACTCGGGACTGTGTCCGTGAAGAAAGCCAAGGAGCACTTACAGAAAACAGATGTACAACAACAACAACGTTTCACGCCACAGTTAGTAATTGAACACAAAATCAAAATTACCCGAAATGATATTTCCAAATTTTCTCCTCCCCAGATATCCATGCCACTGTCGTACTGTCCAAGCTCATTGAAGTACTGTCTGTTCATGGCAAACAGTCCCCCCGCCATGGTAGGTGACCTAGGAGGAAAAGAGAATTCCTGTACCAACTCTGTAAGTTACACAGGGACATGCCATTACCTCACCTGCCATTTCTGTTTTTAAAAATTCAGTGCAGCTCTGAAACAAACAGATTAACCATTAACTCGACCTACCATCAGGGAATGAAATGAGCTGGGCCACAAAAGAGGATTTTCTAGATTGCTAGTGACGTGCTCAGTGTTGCACACGAGAGCTCTTTTTGTAAGTGTCAAGAGTCCCTTCTCATTATCCCATGTCTGACAGGATTCTATCTGGAATCAATCATGATTTCCTCCACCACACAGAGCCACTGGGATAAAAATGACTCCAAGGTCCACCACAGACTTCCCAAGTCTTGGTCCCTTGAGCAGGACCAAATGTGTCACCAGTGGCTCTCAACTGGGACAACTTCGTTGCCTCAATGGACAAATAACAATACGAGCATTCTTAGCTGTCATGACTTGGCATGTGGGTGGTGTGGAGGGGCTGCTACTGGCATTCTGCTACCTATCCTAACACACAGCAAATGACCCTGGGGTCCTATGGAGGGCAAGAGGCTGAGAAGCCTGTGCTGGAACGAGGAAGCAGAAGCAGGCAGCCTCTGTAAGGCTCAGGCCCAACTTCCAGCCATCTCATTCCTCAAACTGGATCCAGGGGATCATGGGTTTTAGTGACCCAATGTCTGGCCCTAAGCAAAAACAAAACAACAAATAACCAGGCAATGAGGAAGATAAAAACAACATGAAGGAAAATAAGAGAAACAACCTACCATAGAAACAAACAAGCAGGGTTTTCAAAGATGAAGTTATCAAGTAGAGACTTCAAAGTAACTGCTCAATATGTTCAAGGACAAAAGAATGAAAGTCTGGCAGGGAACTGGATACAATCAAAGAGGAAGTCATAGTTATCCTAATCTAAAAACCAATTCTTGGGCTTGAGATGTGGCTCAAACGGTTGCATGCTCGCCTGGCATGTGTGAAGCACTGGGTTTAATCCTCAGCACCACATAAAAATAAAATAAAGATATTGTGTCCATCTAAAAAATTAAAAAATAAGCATTCAAAAATAAATAAGTAAAATAAAAACCACTTCTGAAAACTGAGACAAATTTAATCGGCCAATGAAAATGAGAGATTATTTCAAAGAAAGCAAAGTAAGACTGACGCTGATTTCTCATCTGAAATAAAGCCAGAAGGTTCTTGCATCCTGAAAAAAAAAACAAAACAGCCAAACTACATCTGTATATTGAGTATGAATATTTTTTAAAGGAACACACCTGTAATCTAGGTAGCTAGGGAGGCTGAGGCAGATGAATAATTAAGTTCAAGGTCAACCTCAGCAACTTAGCAAGACACTGTCTCAAAATTTTAAAAGGTTGGGGAAATATCTCAGGGGTGAAAGTGCCCTGGGTTATAAATCCCCAGTACCTAAAAAATAAAAAACAACAGTGAAACTGGACATTTTCAGAAAAGTAAAAACTGAGAAATAATAAGGAAATAACTGAATACCACTCTTTAGCATGCAGATGCTGAAGGAGCAGGTAACATAAAGGGGGAAATAATGTGCACAACATAAATGCTGATTACACAAAAACATCCTGTGGAGCTTAAAGTACATGCATCTCATCAACAGCATATACCTCAGGAGGGAGGAACTAGAGTATGAACATTCTAAGACCCTGGCAATGTTTGAGGAAAGTGCCAATTTATATTAAACTTTTACAAATCAAAAATATACACTGGCCAGGTGAGGTGGTGCACACCTATAATCCCAGCTATTTGGGAGGCTGAGGCAGGAAGTTTCAAGCCAGCCTCAGCAATTAATAAGACCCTGTCTCAAAAAATAAAAAGGGTAGGAGATGTAGTTCATTGTCAAGTGTCCCTGGGTTCAATCTACGGTCAACCCTCCCCATACACACACACACACAAAATGTCCAGGGTGACCACTAAAAAACAGTAAGAATATGTGCCTTCTAGTAATGGGTGGCAGCTGGAAACAGAACACAAACATCTGAACTCAGTCCAAATAAAGGCAAGTAAGAGACAGAAACAGACAAAGCGAACGGCGCAACTAGGGTCTTGAAAGACAGAGCTTTCACACTGTTCTAAAAACAAAGTGTGAACAAGATCCACTGTATGCCCTTGCATAGGGCCAATCTAGACACAAGACCATGGTGGCACTGACAGAGCAACCAGGCTTGACGACACTGCAGCCTAGGGGACCGAGGACAGGGACCAATGTCCTGAGCAGTCTTCATGCTTCATGTCCATAGAGTCTAAAGTTGCTTAATCCTGAAAAGAGGATGGTACCTATCATCTGGTGTCCAAGAAATAAGAAACAAGGCCAGGAGCAGAGATGGCCCACAACCTGCCTCAGAGAGGAAGAACAGGAAGAAAGGCCAAAGACAGCCTGACCCTCCCCCAAAGATCTCCACTTCCTCATCTAGGAACAAATGCGTGTTTCTGATTAAAAATACTAAAATTTAAGCAATAAAAATATCCCCAAAGTTGGTGAAACAGGTGAAGAGATTTAACTAGCTACTAAGAATGAGAATACATGCAACAAAGTCTAGGGAACTTCTTGGCATTGAAAAAGTTTAGGGGGAAAAAAAAAGACGACTTTACTCAACTGCATGTTGAGTAAAGCTTCTGAAGAGGACCAGGTCCAGAGGAGGGAGGAGAAACAAAGGCGTCCACCCCCTGGGAGCCTCGCTGTGCCCCGGGGGTGAGTGCATAGAACGACCAGCACTTGGAGACCAGAGCTGTGCTCTCCTCAGGGACGCCCCTCCCTCTAGGAGGAGCAGCAGCAGGCCCACCAGAAAGCGCAGCAGAGACAGGACCCACTCTGCTGGGAGATCACATCTGAACTTGGAACCAGGCACAGACCTGTCAATGTCCCCTCAGTGGTTCAGATGCACACTAACCAGGGCTGCAAGACCATCGGGGGCACTCTGGACACCTGACCTGCTGAGAAAGCATCTGCTCCATCTTCAGTAGATCATCTACCAAAGCTGAGGAGAGGCGTGCAAACTCACCTCACTAGACATCACAAATGAGAAGGCTAACAGCTCTGCTTATAAAGCTAAGAACACCACAAACAGAAAACAACCAAGTGTCCCACCAACACACAGTGAGCTGCATAAATGTCATGCTGGACTCCCAGAACAGACCACTACCCAGTAGTGAAAATGAGTCACCTGCAGCCGTGTACCACACGTGGAAAGATTTCAAAACAATGTTGAACAAACAAAGTGAAATTAAATAATGAAGCGAGTGGGCATTTATATAAAGAGCAAGAGCAGGCAAAACTATTCTGTGTAAAGACCCCTCCCTGAAGTGCCACTAATGCCGGAGAGCAAGCACATGTCACAGCAGGGGAGCAACACCTGTGTTGTCAGGCTGGGACCAGGGCAGCCTGGAGGGGCCTCTGGGTCCTGTTCAGAAGTGGCACTTACTTACAGAGTGTCATGACATAACCACTGTCAAGGTGCGTGAACTGCAGCTTGTACTTTTTATCTATAAGTATGTTAATTTTGCAATATATGTTTTTTAAAAAGACAATGACCAAGGACTTTAAAGTTCTATAAAATCTACATAAAAATTTTAAATAAAAATAGGACAGGAAAAATAACATGAGAGCAAATTTATAACACATACTATGGATGACACTGAAATAATTAGTACACTAGGATCAGTATTTGTACCAGTTAAGAATCCATCTTTTGAAAGCCTGATTAAAGAAAAGGCTGGTATACTAATGTTCTTTAGCACAGCATTATTCTTATTATAAGTTGCACATCCCTAATCCAAAAACAGAAATGCTCCAAAATCAAACATTTTGAGCACCAACATGAAGCCACAAGTGGAAAATTCCACACCTGACTTTGTGCGACAGGTTAGGTATACTAAGACCACTCCAGGCTATATGTATAAAGTATATGTATATGAAACATAAATTTCATGTTTACACTTGGGTCCCATCCCCAAGATAACTCATCATGTATATGCAAATATTCCAAAATCCAACAAAAATCCAAAATACTTCTGGTCCCAGCATTTTAGAGAAGGGATACTCAACATGTAGCAAAGAACTGAAGACAAGTTAGTGAATGATGCAATAAATTATGTACTTTGACGACATGATACAGGACACCAAGTATTCCAAGGTGCCTCGTGCAACAGTGACCAAAGGATACTGCCGCATCCATCTGCCTCTCTCATAAAACCTTAAAGCTTTAACTAAAGTTATTTGCAAATCTCTCTTTAAGATTTGGCAGGGCACAAAAAATTGAAAGAAATGTTTAGTGGACAAATGAAGTCAATACTTCCCCCTACAAATGAGCAGGAATTATCTTTAACGTACTTTTCTTTTCCAAGGAAGTACTGAGACTTTTTAAAACATGAAAGCAAAGTCTTACCTTATTGGTGCAGTGGCTCCGTCTGCCCCACCCAGCTCAGTAAGGGGGACCAGGTCCCACTTGAAATGCAGGCCCCAGTTGAACCCTCCGCGCACCACTGGAGACGAGCTGTAGGCAAGCGTGTCGGCGCTGATGATGTCAATCACTGGGCACACCACGGTATGCGGGTCCCCATGGATGACTGCTAGCAAGGGCTGCAGCCACATCACATTCACTTCACAGTGGCTGTCCAGGAACACAAGCACTTCTCCTGAGGGGGCAAAGGGCAGAGTTCAGAAGAACTGCTTCCCACCTTGCTGCGCGGTTGCCACCAGCCAGTACAGGGGACGAACAAGAAGCTGGTACTCTTTATTTTGCCAGCTGGGAACAAGAGAGCACTCTGCCCAGAGCATTCTGCTGTCATCTGCACAACCCGAGAAGCTTCTAGACAATGAGGCATCTACTTGGGAAAAGGACAAAGTCTCACAGGGACAATTAAATTCTTCCAAGGGTCAGACCCAGTGAGTCAAGATGTTTTGGTACACAGTGGCCTGCTGTGTGGGGCTTTTTTCATTACAACTACTTTAATCAAAATAATTCTAAATTTAGTAACATACTCAAATAGATTGCCTGCCTCGGTAAACAGTATAGGGAACACACCGCTTCTCAGCTGGGGACTTGGAAGCACCACTAACTGTTAAGAGTGTGGTGATTCTCTCCCTAATGAGAGCAGCACTGCTCCTGGCCAGATGCCACCAGCTAAGGTGCACCCTCCATGCCTCCCATGGCCCTGCCTTTCCCATATTCCTCTCTTCCATTTCCTACATTTCTAATTTCCCCCACTCTCTCAGCTTTAGTGGCTCTCATCAGCCAACACAATACATCTTCCTTCTAGTTTGCAAAATATTATTCATAAAAATTTTATCTTGCATTTTTAATTCCTCTGATAAATGTGAGCAAGAATGAGGACTTCTGTTCTTGATAATTCCAAATTTCTTTGACATCATCATAGTTACTCTGAGCACTTGGGAAAATAAACTCTCATCAGGGAGCATTATTACTCTAAGTGTGCATCTATGAAACCTCTGATATAGATTTTACATGAGTTACCTAAAAGCACAAGGTGAATCCAATTTCAATGATAAAAGAAATACCTCAGGCAAGAAAGTTTTCAAAGATGACAGTGAATCAGTCACGTAGAACAATGTTTGCTAACAACCTTAACGAGAATTCAAGATGGCACACGGCTCTTGGCTGCTGCTGAGTGCAGAAAGGCAAATGCTCAGTGTGTGCATTAAATGTGAAATGAGACCAATTTAATCAAGGTTTCTTTGAGCAGAAGTGTATTCATAGCTTTTCTTAATTCTGGAAGTGTTACTTCTTCCAATTAACTCCATTTAACTAGAGGAAGTAAAATTACCCCAGATCACAATGAACCTGCTACAATAACTTCCTCCAAACTAGCTTCCATATCTGAAAACTATATATGACCACCAGATCATAATGGGAAAAAAAGAAATCCTGAAATCCCAGTGAAGGTGGTGCACACCTGTAATTCCAGAGACTCAGGAGACTGAGGCAGGAGGATCGTGAGCTCAAAACCAGCCTCACCACTTAGCAAGACCTTAGCAAGACCCTGTCTCTAATAAAATATAAAAAAGGGGCTGGGCATATGCTCAGTGGTTAAGTGCCCCTGGGTTCAATCCCTAGTACCACAAAAACACCTAAATAACTTTTTGTATATACCTTTATTTTATTTCTTTTTATGTGGTGCTGAGTGCCTCACACACACAAGGCAAGTGCTCTACCACTGAGCCACAGCCCCAAGCCCCTAAATAACTTTTCATCTGAAAAAAAATACACAACAGTAAACGTGTGTAACTTCAGGAGTTCAGACAGCAGGGCCCGACAACACCCAGCCACTGCTGTACCTTGCTGCCTTCAGTAACTGCGCAGCCAGAACAGCAGTCCTCAACTAGAAGAAATCCAGGGGACATGAGCAGGATCTCTGTCCGCTAACTGCCACAAGTCACCGTGGGTTGTAGAGGAGGAATGGCAGTGGCTGCAGCTGGAGCAGGTAGGGCAGGTGCCAGCGGCTGGGTGTGCGGAGCAGAGCCTTCGGCGAGCTCACACCACTTCTGAGTCCCTTCTCTATGTCCACAAACTCTCTGCAACATCACATCTCTAATTCTTTAATCAGGACCACAAAGGAACATCAGGAACTCAAGACCCACACACTTTTTGGTGACCACAGGAAGCAAAGCAGAACCCTGGCACAGGGGAGCCCAAGCTCAACCCAGCACAGCAAAGACACCGCAAGGGTTCGGGCAGCTGAGCTGGACTCCTGTAGATGCCTTCTCTACAGGAGTCCCCAGTTGACACCTGCCCTTTCTTTTTCGAGTGGACAGCTAGAGATGGTGAATGAGAATTTAAAGAGCTATTAGAAACAATGGAGACATCCCCCTCAACGGAATCAGAATGATTAACAGGGAGGGTTTAACCCCTTTAACAGCCGTGAAGCCCAACCCTAACCTACCAACTGAGATCTGAGATCCCCACTCATGGCTTCAAAGGCACGCACCCCAAGAGCTAGGAGCCTAATGCAAGTGAAACAGCTGGGTTTGTGTGCTCTAAGTTTTGTATTAGTTACATTTTGGTTTGGACATTTTTGCTTACATAGTAAAACCTAGCTGAGGGACAGTAATGAGCAACAAGGGCCAATGTAACACCATCCCAACAAGTATTCTAGAGCTTCCTCTCCGCCCTCTGTGCTCTGGAAAAGCAGAGTCAGAGCTACGAAAAGGCCTTTCCAAGCTGTCAGCCTTGCCTCCAGCCAGCGGCACTCACTCAAGCCGTGGGGAGGCTCTGAGGACCCGCCCTCGGAATCAGCACCGGACACCAGGGAGAAAAACACAGGGGCAGCTGTACCTGTGGCCTGCGCTGCACCAATCATCCGTCCTCGAATCAATCCCTCACGCTTTGTATTTCTTATGACTTTAATTTTTCCAGGGAGGTATTTTTGTACATACTCATCTAATTCTCCTTTTAAATCATCTGAAAATAAAGAGTTCCATAATTATTCAAACTGTATGAGACACACACACAAGCATTTTATAGCTTTTCTAAAGTTGGAGCTGGTATGTGCCAAAATCCACAACAACAAATTTTTGAGCAAAACTACAGAATCTTCTATTTTGAAAGAATACCTAGCTTCTATAGGAAGAAAAGAAAATGAAGGGCAGGAGGAGTCACTCCCTGCAGGCCCTGCTGTCCATGGGAGAGCAGTCTCTGTAAGAGCAAGGTCTGGAGTCCAGCAGCCACAGTGAAAAAAGAACCAGGCTGGGGTCTGCTCTGGGCGACCGAATCCGACTTCTCTTAGAAAGTTAAGAAGCCACTTCTATTTCCCCTACCAATAACATGAAATCGCACATACAAATATGACCTTGGTTATATAATTTAGTGTCTTCCTTCGAAGGGCACTATTGAATTTCAGGGTGTGCACCTTTCATAATAATGTCAAAAATCAGAAAAGATAATAAGCAGTAATACTTTTCACAGATGGTCAGTACACAAATAACTGTAAATTATCACGAAATTTTTTAAAGATAAAAAAGACAAATCAAACTGGCATGGTGTTTAAGTACCAGTCCTGCTACCTGGGAGGCTGAAGCCAAGAGGACTGCTTGACCCAGGAGTTCCAGGTCAGCCTGGGCAGCATAGCAAACCCCAACTCAGAAACAAACAAACCAAACCAAACAAAAACATCAACTATAAATTCCAGCAATTAGTCTTTAGCAAATCCCCTTGGTCCAGACTTAGAATCACTCATTTATTAAAGTAAATTTTTATCTCCTTCCTTCCTGGAACTGGGGATTAAAACCAGAGATGCTTAACCACTGAGCCACATCCCTAGCTCTTTATAATTTTTTTATTTTGAGGCAGGGTCTCACTAAGCTGCTTAGGGCCTAAGTAGCTGAGGTTGGCTTTGAACTTGTGATCTTCTTGCCTCAGCCTCCCGAGTTGCTGGAATTACAGGCAAGTGCCACTAAAGTTTTGATTTCCAATAACCTTTCCAAATTTTCTACTGTGAATTTCCGATATTTTCCAAGGTTTGAGAATGTTGGTCCTTTGGGTATCAGTGTTGGTATATGGAAGTCACATGGTGCCAAGTCCTTGGTGGTTATCAGAGTAGCTGGGCGCTGCATGAGTCGACAGCCTTCTACCTACTGGTGCATAGTGAATTAAAGACAGGTGTGGACAGTGCGCAGGGCACCATAATGTACTGGCAGGCAGAGGTCATCGCAGAGCTCTCAGTGCAATCCACCTGGGTCTGGGACAACTGACCAGTCAAAGCACTATGCCCAGTGAAAAATGACAATCTCACAAGGACTGAATGATTCCTTTTACTAACATGTTCAAAATGACAAAATCAGAGAAGAATGGTTGCCAGGGGGCAGCACGAGCGAGGCCACCTGCTGAGGGAACAGTATAGACCTCCACTGCAGCAGGGGTCACAGGAGTCTGCATGTGGCTAAAATACACACATTTTATCATTCCTGCTTTCCTCATCTTACTAAAATTTTGTACAATGTAACCAGTAAAGAAACTGATGAGGGATAAACAAAACTTAAATCTACAAATATTTCTTTAAAAGTCAGCCAAGGGAAAAATTTCAAGGGCCAAATTCAGGTCACAGTTTATAAACAGATTACAAAAATAAGGCATATCTTCAGAATGATCCTACAGCAATGGACAGGCATCTCGGCTCAGCTGCTACTGCATGTGTAGAAGCTGTACCCAGCGTGTGTTCAGTCACAGCCTCGGTGCCCAGGGCCTGGCACAGTGGCACCTACCGAAGTCGCTGTTGTCGTCCACAAGGATGACCTCATGCAGAAGGTGTGCGGGCGTGCGGTCCACCACGCTGTGCACTGTCCGCAGCAGGGCAGAGAAAGCTTCATTGTAGAAACAGATGACAACACTAGCAACTGGCAGGTCGACTGGGTAAGATTTTTTTTTACATCTGTAAACATAAAGAAGAGAAAACCTGACATTTATTTAAAAACCCCAGGTCATTATTCACTAAACAGGGATAATTCCCTAGATCATTATCCCCTTGTTTGGCCTTTTTCTTACATTATTATAAATTTTCAAAAGCACAAAAGGAAACACTATGCTCTTTCCTTCAAATGTTTTATATTTTGTTAATAATTTCTCCCTGATACCTAGTATCTTCATTACTGTTAAATAGTTGTAAAACTTCAAGGTTTTTTTTGTGTGTGTGTGATAGAGAAATTACATGAGTTATTTCTGCTAAAATCAATGTTTAATGAACACCTGAGCTATGTTCAGCTTCTCCTTAGTGAGCTTTCAAAAGGAAATAGAAACATCAAAGGAAAACATTTGAAACTGGTTATTTTTTGCTCAATATTACCAAAAGGGTTGATGATAAGCCCACAATGTCTCAAGACAACAGAAGAGCTTGCAAGTGAGCACTACTGTAAGAGTGAGGTGGCTGTAAGTGACAACAGATTAGGAAGCCTATAATCCAGAGTGCTGATTTCCTCCACGGCATCCACATGGCAGTCCTGGGGGTCAGCTCGGCTTCTGCTCTTCTCCCGCAGAGCCCAAGGGCTTTGGGTCAGTCCTGGCAACCTTGTAAGACTTGAGCGTCCTGAGCATCTCCACCAGCTGTTCCTTCACGTAGAAAGGCCTCTGACCTCCATGAGGCCTGCCTGACCTGCCCAGGCACCAGGTCCCCACTTCCCTGCTTCCCACCTCAGCCCCTCCCCATATGCTGTTGCGTTGCTCTGCTCACTCCTCTGACTCCCCTGCTGGACCCCGAGCCCTGGGAATCCAGAGATTACGTCTTAATACTTCTGATTTCCAGGGCCTAATAGTACTTAGCAAATAGAAAGCCTCAACAAATGTCTGACAGTGGAATGAAAAAGCCTTTCAAAGAAAAAAATGAAACTGTAAATATTATAAGTGAAAAATTCCTTACCGACTCTAATTTGTTTTTGCGATAACTCCAAAAAAATAAACATTTAAAATGAGCTTAGGTTCAGGTTATTTAATCTGCAGCCCCCTCCTCCTTCCCATGTAAGGAAATTTCAGGACACAGAAAGCTCCAGGACCTTGTCAGTAAACCTCAGACCACAGGGCTTCCAGGAAACAGAAGTGGAAAGCCCAAGCCCACCACCCTTCTGACTCAGACCAGCACTAAAAGGACCATCACCAAACTCCACGAGCAGAAAGGAAGAGGGACGGACGTACGCGGCATCCCTGGTGTCCGGCACATCTCTGCGGTAGCCCAAGCGGTTGCTAATGAGCATATTAAAGGCATGTTTCTGATAGCCCAAGTCTCTCAGCTCCTGATCACGTTCATTGAAAATCATGCCTACAAAAGAGTGAAGTTACCATCAGCGCACATGTTGTGGAGAGGCTTTCAGGTTACTGCCATGATGTCCAAGTTTCCCAAGTCTCAACTGGACCCTATAATTTACCAGATAAGAGTCATGTTTCTCAAGTCTCCAGCTACAAATAAATAAACTGAGATCAAGGTCAAATTATTATTATCAGTCTGGTAAAAAAATTAAGTTTGTCCTAACCATAAGCAACACCTGCTCACAGGTCAAATCTTAAGAGCATATTATATTCAACAGACAAATTGACCTCTGATCAAGAAAAATTTTCTTCTGATAATTTTCCTCACAATAATGAATTATTAAATCCCAATGGACTTTGACAACTGCCAATCTTGGCCAATTTTTATATGAATGCTGCCCCAAAAGACTACTGACACACTGTTAGAAGGCTGCTCCATCAAGGAACTCCTGCACAGACCTCATCAGGACTTCTGTGCTTCTCCCTGCGTCCTCTCATGTTCGTCAGAACTCTCATCTGCTTAGAAAGAAAGTGGCTCCTTTTGTGCCTCTTTCCCATGCAGACCCCTCAGCTCTCCTTGCAGAACAACTCGCTGTGAAACAGCATTTCCCAGGTCTGTTCACGGAAAGCTAATCCCATGGACACCAACATATGTTGAAAAGAATAAAAGATTTCACGATCAAAGGAAATGGAGAAATGCAGGATTCTGAAAGTAAAGGGACAGCTCTGTTCTTTAACATGAACTCCTGTCATTCAGGTGTGGCGGCTGGTCCTGGGGTGTCTCCCAGTGCTCCTGGCCACAGGACACCTGGTGCCTGTGGCAGCGTGAGCTCTGTCCATGCCTCTGGCCAGAGCCTTTCCCAGCACATGACAACACATCACTATTTGCATTTCACCAAGGAAACTCTAACAGAGAAGAGGCTTTGAATTGCTCCATACCCGGCACCCAGGTTGGCACCTGGCAGTCTCAGCCCTTCTCCATTCAAGCATCACCACACAGACCTCCTGCCCAGGACACAGAGAACCTTTTCCTAATAGAGATCTCTTGATGAAAAATTATTTTAAATTAAAAGATTGCTTCTACACACTTTTCTCCCTTCCCTGCTCAAATACAATGACAGCCAAACCTCATTAATTAGCACCTAAGGAGTTATTTCAATCAACTTTATAATTACCTGCAGATTAAATGAGAAAACATTTGTAATTTTAAATTTACTGCTGATATCTTTCTAAAATGTACTTTTCCACTTTTTTTTCCATAATTGTTTACTGATAACTTCATAAATCAGCATACTTTTAGTTATTACTATACTGATTTATACTAATTCCTTCTGAATTGTTTCCTTTGTAGAATTTATACAGGCTTTTTCATTTTTTAATTGCAGTAATTAATTATCCTAAAAAGTACTATTACTGACATTTAGCACAATTAGAGTACTGTTCGCTGTAACAATTATCTAGCTGCATAACATTTTCCCCACTCCACAGGAACCCTGCACCCACCCATGCAGTGCCCAATACCCTGCCCTGCCCGGGCCACCACTAGACTCTTTCTGTCTCTATCCACATGCCTCTTCTGGACATCTCAACACGAATGGACCCCACAGCATGCGCCCTGGGTCTGGCCTTTCACTTGGCATTCTTTCAAGGTTCCCCTGTGTTGAATCATGTGTGATAACTTCGTCCCTGTCTATGTCTGAATTATACTCTAATATATGGGTAGACCACATTTTTTCTTCATCCCTTCATCAGCTGATGGATGCCTGAGCTGTTCCACCTTGTCTAGTATTAAGAACAGTGTTGCTATGAACATCTGTGTACAAGTTTTTACACCCATTTGCAATTCTTTTGCATGTGTGGGTGTGCAGTGCTGGGGATGAAACCCAGGGCCTCACACGTGCTAGGCAAGCTCTCTATCGCTGGGGCTGGTGTTGGCAATTCTTTCAAGTATACACCCGGGGGTAAAACTACTGGGTAGGTGGCAACCCTTCATCCCTTACTGGGGAACCACCAACTCCTCCACAGCGGTGTGCCACCTGACACCCACCAGCAATACGTGAGGTTTCAGCTCCGCTGTGTCCACTAACACTCATTGATCACTTGCATCTTCGTTAGTGCCATCCAGGTGGGTGTGAAATGGTTTTAATTTGTACTTCCATAATAACAAATTCTGTTAAGATCTTTTTGTGTCTGTTAGTCACTGGAATGTCTTTCAAGAGAGATCTAACAAATCTTTTACCCATTTTTTAAATCAAGCTATTTGTCTTTTTATTGTTGAGTTGGAAGAATTCTTTATATATTTAGGACACTGGGCTCTTCTTAGAGATATGATTTGCAAATATTTTCTCCCATTCTGTGCACTATCTTTTTTTTAGTGTCCTCAATGCCCAAGTTTTTATTCTGATGTAGTTCAAATTATCTATTTTTTTCTTTATTACTTGTATTTTTGATGTTATATCTAAGAAATCACTGCCAAGTCCAAGATCATGAAGACTTATCCTTGTAGGTGTTTTAAGGTTTTTCACTCTATATTTAGATCTGTGATCCATTTTGAGTTAATTTTTGCACATGGTATGAAGAAAGGACCCAAAAACATTCTTTGCACATGGATAACCAGTTGTCTCAATTCTGTGTGATTCTTTCCCCATTAAATGGTCTTAGCCCACCTCCTTTTTTTAAAAAAAAGTTTGTTTTTCTCAATTTGTTCATGACAGTGAAGTGTATTTTGACATATTATACATACATGGAGTATAACTTATTCTAATTAGGATCCCATTCTTTCTTTCTTTCTTTACTTCTTTTATTTATTTAGTTGTTCGTGGACATAATATCTTTGTTTATTTATTTATTTTTTTATATAGTACTGAGGATCAAACCCAGTGCCACAAGCATGTGAGGCAAGTGCTCAAACACTGAGCTACAACCCAGTCTGGGATCCCATTCTGATGGCTGTATGTGATGTGGAGTTTCACTATGACCTATTTATATATAAACATAGAAAAGGTATGTCTGATTCATTGTATCTTTCCAATTCCTATCTCCCTTCCCTTCCCTTCATTCCCCTCTGTCTAATCCACTTAACTTCTATATTCCTTGTTCGTGTTAGCATCCACATAATAGACAGAACATTCGGCCTTTGGTTTTTGGGGATTGGCTTATTTCACTTAGCATGAGAGTCTCCAATTCCATCCATTTACCAGCAAATGCCATAATTTCATTCTTATTTATGGCCAAGTATATACACCACATTTTCTTTAACCATTCATCTGCTGAAGGGCACCTTGGTTGATTCTACAGCTTAGCTATTGTGAACTGAGCTGCTATAAACATTGATGTGGCTACGCCACTGTAGTATGCGGATTTTAAGTTCTTTGGGTAGAGATGAAAGAGTGGATAACTGGGTCAAATCTTGGTTCCATTCCTACTTTTCTGAGAAATCTCCATACTGCTTTCCAGAGTGGTTGCACCAATTTGCAGTCCCACCAGCAGTGTATGGGTGTACCCTTTCCCCACATCCTCATCAACATTGTTACTTGTATTCTTGATAATTGCATTCTGGTGGGAGTGAGTGGAATCTCAGTGTAGTTTTAATCTGCATTTCTCTAATTGCTAGAGATAATATTTTTTCATGTATTTGTTGGCCGATCATATTTCTTCTGTGAAGTGCCTGTTCAGTTCCTTTGCCCATTTATTATTATCTGGGGGTTTTCTGGTGTTAAATATTTTGAGTTCTTTATATATCCTGGAGATTAATGCTCTATCTGAGGTGCAGGTCTTAGCCCCGTTTTTTACAAACCAGTTGACTGTGCATTCACTGGGTTTATTTTTGGACTCATGTCTATCCATATGCCAGATAACTGTTTTAATCACTGTAGCTGTAAGTTTTAAAACTTCTGAGTCCTCCAACTTTGTTCTTTGTTTTTTTTTGTTTGTTTGTTTGTTGTTGTTTTTTTTAGTTGTTGATAGACTTTTATTTTATTTATTTATATGTAGTGCTGAAAAATTAAACCCAGTGCCTCACATATGCCAGGCAAGGGCACTACTACTGAGCCACAGTACCAGCCCCAACTTTTTTCTTTTCTACAAGTTTTCTGGCTATTCAGGGACCCTACAATTCCATATTAATTTTAGAAAAAACTTTTCCCAACATTTTAATCGAAATCACTAGAATTTTGACAGAAACTGCACTGAGTTTTATAGGTTGTTTGGTGTAATACTGACATCTTAATAATATTTAGTATTTCATTTAATAAAATAGACTGTCTTTCTACTTACCTAGCATTGTTTTGCAGTTTTTAGCACACAGGACTTAACCTCATTGGATAGATTAATGTCTAAGTATTCTAACCTTCTTGACACCACTATAAATGGAATTGTTCTTATAACATCATTTTTGGACCATTCATTGCTGATATATAGAAATCCAACTGATTTTTACACATCTAGTACTCTCTTTACTACTCTAACAGTATGTTTGTAGATTCTTAAGAATTTTTTGGAAGGAATTTAATTTTCACTTAGGTAATCTGGGTTTGTCACTTTGAATATCTACAATTCTCTCCCTACTTCTTTCAAAGGCAAATACAGTGGGCTGGGACTGTGACTCAGTGGTAGTACACTTGCCTAGTATGTGTGTGAGACATTGGGTTCAATTCTCAGCACCATAAACAAATAAAATAAAGATTCACTAACAACTAAAAAACATTTTTTTTAAATTTTTTTAATTTTTTTATTTATTTTTTTTTAATATTTATTTATTTATTTTTAGTTTTCGGCGGACACAACATCTTTGTTGGTATGTGGTGCTGAGGATTGAACCCGGGCTGCACGCATGCCAGGCGAGCGCGCTACCGCTTGAGCCACTTCCCCAGCCCAAAACATTTTTTTTTTAAATGGCAAACCAAATGCTACTTTTCTATTAACGTTTCACCAAAATAAACATAAATAAATTAGAGCCAGAAAAATTTTCACTCATGCTTTTAGTGGCTATTTGAAAAAGATCAGGAATGTATGTGACAAAAACTGAACTAGATATTAGTTTCTGTTTACACACAGAATCTTAATCAACTTTAATAGAGAATCATTAAATACTCAAAACTGATTTTATTTCTTAAAATTGTTTTATTCTATAACAATATCAAAGTTAACTTTAAGTTTTAAAGATAATCAAAATGGCTCATTTATCCCTTAAATTAAAATTTGCTAACCAGGACTACAGGAGTTAAAGTATTCAAAGGCATTCCATCCAGTAGATGCCCGTTTCCAGATTAAACAGAATATAATGGTGGGGGGACAGGGAGGGTCCTATTTCGTACTAAGATTTTGTAAATTATATTTAATGTATGGTTCCCATGGTCTTAATTCTCACAAGTGGAATCTTATTAGATATGAGTAACCCCAGCTTTTCTAAAACAACACCTTATGTTCCGTTTAGTTAATCTGCCTTTCAAATAAGTTATACAGTCATCTTTCAAATATTTCTTCCCCTCATTAAAAATCCTAGTAATTAAAACCTTCTCCCACAGTTCTGTTTTCTAACTCTTTTTCTTTATTTATTTCCTTTTGAACCTTATTAATTCCCCCAAGTCCTCATAAAATACTTAAGAGATGGAAAATTTAGAATATATTTCCCCCACTGATCTGGGGGAAAAAAAAATCACAAAACCTCAGCTAGTTTTGAAACAAAATAAATCAGTGTGAGAAAAAAATGACACATTTCTAGTCCTCTGAGCAATACAATTTAAAGAATAAACTCCCACTGACTAAATACTTTGACACAGCTGCTGGTACACTTACCCAACTCAGAAGAGAATTTCAGGTGGTCTTTTTCTGGATCTTCAATGTGATTACCCAGCACATCACCAATTCTATTTGCTTTGAGCTGTGGCTCTAACACTCGGCTTGGACCTCGTGTGAAACGGGGGTAGAATTTTTTGGGAAATGGTCCGTGGGGACCAGACCCCTTGATGGGCACATTCTTAAGTGGCTGAGTCACTTCACTGAAGTTAAAGTAAACAAAGAGCAAAACTGTCCAGGTCGCAGATGTAAAAAGGCACCCATAACAGAAATATCGAAGTGTAACACTTCCCATTATAGACCTAGCATAGCTGAAGGGCCATTTTCAGTTCCCTGGAAAAAAGGAGAGATATATTAGATGCTGTAATACACTTTAAATCACCCACCAAATACACACTCGCTATTTCCCAAACCATTGACTAAGACCCATGTACGTACTGTTAGTGGATTCAGCCACAGGGAGATCCCAGACAGCATGGAGTTGTTAAAAAGGGTCCAAGGATTAGAAGGGCAGGCCAAGGTGCTGAGGCCCAGAAAAAAACAGGCCCAGAGCCGATTCACACCTCCTTGCCACAGGCACTGTCCACCTTTGCCCCCAGGGCTGTCAGTCTGGCAATGTTTTCCAGATTTTAACTTTCTATGAGGACAATGCAAGCATCACAGGTGCCACCACAGGACATTTACAGTTTTTTCCAACTGTAAAGGTACAACACTCTTTCTGTATGTTTATGGTGCAGGGGACAACCCCAGAGCTACAAGCATGGCAGGCAAGTGTTCCAGCACCAAGTGATATCCCCAGTCCACAGATCACTTTCTAATGCAAGGATCTTAAAATCTGTTGTTAAATATAGTAAGTTAAAAAAAGATTCTCATCTCTAATTGAACATTACACCTGCCCCCAAACCTACTCTAGATCTAACAGTTATTTCCAAAAAAATTTTTGAGATAATTCTGTTTTCCCTGTCCTTATGATGGGAATTAGAAAGGAAGGGGTGAGTGAGATATAGTTTAGATACTAAAGTAGAGACCAGGAGGTCTACAGGCGATATAAGCATATAAGACCAGGCACCCACATCACATGAGCAGGCCCAAAAGGAGATCCTTGAGGACTGGCAAGTGCTATACCCCACCTCCAGAAGCTCCGCCCCCAAACCAACCCTCCCACCCTGAGGGTGGAGACATCAGCAAACAACAGACAACCCCACCTATAGGATGAGAAGGGAGCTGGAAAGATACTGACCTCCAACAGAAACAATCCTTTAATTTTCCTTTGAGATTTTTTCTTTTCTTTTTCCCCTTCTTTTACCTCTCCCTTTTTCTGCCCTCACATCCCCAACATTTGTGAAACAAAGTACTTTTCTTGCATTAGGCTACTGAGGACTGGGACATCTGAATAGTATATTACAGTGGTGTTGTATATTATTTTATCTCCCGTCTTTACATTTTTAATTTTTCTTACTTTTTTATGTTTGTTTGTTTTACTCTCTCTATTGTCTTCAATACCCATAAATCAAATGCATTTGTGTACATCAGTAATGAATCCTCTGAAAGAGAAACTAGGAAACTACTCCATGTACAACAGCCTTAAAAAAACAAACAAAAAAAACAACACCTGGGAATCAATGAAAGGGGTGAAAGACCTCTACAATGAAAATTACAAAACTCTGAAGAAAGAAGTTAAAGACCTTAGAAGATGGTGGAAAGATCTCCCTTGTTCTTGAATAGGCAGAATTAACATTGTCAAAATGACCATGTTACCAAAAGCACTATACAGATTCAATGCAATTCCAATCAAAAATCCTAAAGCCACTCCTCATAGAAACAGAAAAAGTAATCATGAAATTCATCTAGAAAAATAAGAGACCCAGAATAGCCAAAGCAATCCTGAGCAAGAAGAGTGAAGCAAGTAGCATCACAGTACCAAACCTTAAACTATACTACAGAGCGATAGTAACAAAACCAGCATGGCATTGGCACCAAAATAGACTTGTAGACCAATGGTACAGAATAGAGGACACAGAGACAAACCCACATAAATAGTTATACTAGACAAGGGTGCCAGAAACATATATTGGAGAAAAGATAGCCTCTTCAACAAATGGTGCTGGGCAAATTGGAAATCCATAGGTAGCACGCACAAGACTGAACTCAAAGTGGATCAAGGACCTAGGAATTAGATCAGAGACCCTGCGCCTAATGAAGAAAAAGTAGGCCCAAATCTTCATCATGTCAGGTTAGGCCCCTTCTTCCTCATCAAGACTCCTAAAGCACAAGAAATAAAATAGAGAATCAATAAATGGGATGATTTCAAACTGAAAAGCTTCTTCTCAGCAAAAGAAACAATCAGTGAGGTGAATAGAGAGCCTACAGAATGGGAGCAAATTTTTACCACACACACATCAGATGGAGAGCTAATCTCCAGGATATATAAAGAACTTAAAAAACTTAACATTAAATATAATAATAATAATAACTCAATCAATAAATGGGCTAAGGAACTGAACAGACACTTCTCAGAAGATATAAATCAATCAACAAATGCATAAAAAATGTTCATCATCTCTAGCAATTAAAGAAATGCAAATCAAAACGACTCTAAGATTCCATCTCACTCAGAATGGTAGTTATCAAAAATGCAAGCAACAATAAGTGTTGGCAAGGATATGGGGAAAAGACACACTCACACATTGCTGGTGACACTGCAAATTGGTGCAGCCAATCTGGAAACCAGTAAGAAGATTCCTTTAAAAACTGGGAATGGAACCACCAATTGATCCAGCTTCCCACTCCTTGGTCTATACCCAAAGGACTTAAAAACAGCATACTACAGGGACCCAGCCACATCAATGTTTACAGCAGCACAATTTATAATAGCTAAATTGTGGAACCAACTTAGATGCCCTTCGGGTTGGTTAATGGATAAAGAATGGATAAAGAAACTGTGGCATATATACACAATGGAATATTACTCAGCACTAAAAGAAAATAAAATCACGGCATTTGCCAGCAAATAGATAAGAGTTGGAGAATATCATGCTAAGTGAAGTTAGCCAATCCCAAAAAACCAAAGGCTGAATGTTTTCTCTGATAAGTGGATGCTGATCCATAGTGGGAGTGGGGGAGGAGCATGGGAGGAATGGAGGAACTTTAGATAGGTCAAAGGGAGGGAAAGGCAGAGGAGGCAGGGGATGGGGGTAGGAAAGACAATGGAAGGAGATGGATATCATTACCCTGGATACATGTATGAAGACACAAATGGTGTGACTCTACTTTGTGCACAACCAAAGAAATAAAAAATTGTGCTCCATTTGTGTACTATGAACTGAAATGCATTCTGCTCTCATGTGTAACAAATTAGAACAAATACATTAATTAATTAGTTTAAAAAATAATCCAGTTACAACCAGTCAGCATAGGCCAAAGTAACCTCGAGTTGTCATGGCAATGGGGACTTGAAAGTCTAATGCCACACTGCTGTCAGTCAGAAGTCAAGAGGTGAACCTGGGCTGGACTCTCTGGAAACTTCCCTGGAACCCCAAAAAACTGGAAGGCAGGAGAAGCACACCTCTCCTCTCTCCTGAGAGGACCCACTCTCTCCCTCAAGAGTGTGCCCTTTCCCTTTTCCTATCCCTTCAATAAACTCATGCCTGTTACTCTGGGTGCCATGTCTGAAATCTTCCTGACTCGATCGCCAGATTGGGGGGGGGGAGTTTCCTGGGAGGAGCCAGCACTGTAACAACTATGAGTCAATATAAAAACAAAAGTAATTCAAACACCAACCAAACAAAAATCCCCACTAGTGGTAACACCAGCAAGGAAGCTAAACTATGGTGCACAGGAGCCAAGCCCCAAGGAAAGGACTGCCAGGACAGGTGTACTCTGCTGCTCACTGGACAAAGGACATCTCCCAAAGGACTGTGGCTGGCTTTTGTCATCTGTTTCTTCATTGAATTTCCTTTATATGGCACTATGAATATCCCATAAAAGATGCTAGAAAATATCTACAGAATGAATGTAGCAGAAATTCAACAAATGGTAATTTTTTCTCAAATATTAATCTTTCCTCATTAGATCTAAATTTAACATTTATTATATAATATAAATGGTACCCATCTGCTATTATGACTACAAGTTCCTACATAACCTGACATTTTACCACTTTGACTGTATCTCCCACTTCTTCACTGAGCCCTAGGTACAGGGCTCCTTGTGGGTGAGCAAACACACCAACCATATTCAATTAGGGTCTACACTTTGGCTGTGCCTCTGCCTCAAGCCCTTCACCTAGCAGGTAATTTCACAACTGCTCACATGGCGCCTTCTCAATGAAGTGTGAGAAGGCACCACACCTAAACTACCTTATTTAATTAAAATGCAACCCAAACTCTAGCCATCAGACCTGTCTTCCTCAGTCCACGGATCTCATTCCCTTCTTGCACACAGCAACTCGCTGTTGGGCTTAGCAGTTGCTGTCTAACCTCTTCTGTGCCAGAAAGGCAGGTCCACTAGAGCAAGAGCTTTTGCCTGTCCTATTCCATGCAGTATCCCCTTGAGCTTGTAACAGCTGAATGAAAAACTCCTGAAAATGTTGGTCATCAACATCCTGCAAAATGCGGGGAATTTCTACAAAAACATATTACTCTTCTGCAATACCTTAATGCTATGCATGGAGATCATGACTACCTCAGTCAACAACAGTATGAGAATCAGGTCAGAACAGCCACCACACTGTATATTTGGAAAAGGTATGCGAAACAACTCAAGAAACTGATTGTCCGATTTCAAAAGTAAAGTTTCTGTGACAGAAATGGGAAATGCCTTTCCCATTTTGTTCACTATATGATCATTGTTTTTTTCCTTTTGGTTGCCTATGAGAATCTAAGGGTAAAATGAAGAAGTTTTTTGTTCAAAGACTTCTCCCACAGGAAGTATCCAATCTTGATTCTTCACCCAATAACTCCCTAGCTCCTCAAATCCAAAATAGCACAAATCAAGATTCAGTTTCCAGAATAGTAAAACGTATTAACTCTCAGCAACTCTATTAGACAACTATTATTTTTCCCACACCATGTTATAATTCTTTAGAGAATATTTCTTGTGTAGCATATCATTAGACTAAATTAAAGAACATAAAGTGAGACATTCATAAAATCAAGTCATTTATGTAATTAACCATAACAGTATTCAGAAATAAGTTTTTAGAGAGCAAGTCATTTCAAATACAAAGAAAGTACAAAGCAAAACAATCAGATGCCTGTAACATAATAAAGTCTTACTGCTTAAAGATTTTAAAACAGTCAAACAAAAATCAAAAGCTGAAATTTTAATTCAATATATATAGACTGATAGACGACACATCTGGCACCCACACGCCACTGTCTCTGCTTTGTACTGTTGCCTTTGTCTTCTACAGACAACTACCCCTGGCTTCAGTACCTACAGCTAAATGCTTTTAGAAGGAAGGTCAAAGCACATAGTTAATGCAAAACAACTAGTGAGTGAACTCTTTCAAACATAAACCAAATAGTTAATAGAGTCAAAAATTGAGCAGTTAGAAATCAATGGAATATATTTTCAGAATTAAATGATCAAAAGGCTAACCAGGTGGAATTTAAAGTCAGTTTGGTTTTCTGTAGTCATGGTCTGGTAGCTGCTCAGGAACAGGTGTCTTTGAGGTGTAAGGATTTTCCAGGGAGGTACTAAAAAAAAGAATGGGGCAGAGTACGTGCACCAGGATGATCATAATAACAGACCACAAATTTAAGCTAGGCAAGGAGAGGCATGAAGGAGAGGAAGAATTTCTGAGAATGAAAATGTGGATAGGCCAGTGCATGAGAGGTGATGGTGTAGCTGAGTAACAGCTGTTGCCAGACAGTGTGCTGAGGAGTGGTCAGAAAGCCCTGGGCCTGCAGATGGGCACAGCTGATGACAGTAGAACCATGCTCCAGACGTGTGAACTGGAGATGTCTCAACCAACAGTATGCAAAGCCAGGCACCGAGGTATGCACCTATAATCCCAACAACTTGGGGAGCTGAGGCAGTAGGATGTCAAGTTCAAGGCAGGCCTGGGCAGCTTAGCAAGACCCTGTTTCAAAAATAAAAAGCCTGGGGATACAATTCTGTGGTACAGCCCCTGGGTTCAATCCCCAGTATCAAAAACAACAGTATGTTTACAGTGTGAGCATGGCTCTACCTGCTGCAAGCAAACCCTTCAAAAAGACAGGATCATCTGCACTTTATGAAGCCAACTATTTAGCACAGTGCCTAGGTTAATAGGCACTGTTTGCCTCATTTTTAAAAGCATATTTG